AACAACGGGTGAGGGCGAGCGCCTTTCTATTTTTGCGCGTGTTGCCACTTTACCGGAGCAGACTAAAAAGTTCAATGGAGACCGGCCGGGCAGTCCCTAACGGTGCCGAGCCACGAAACAGACTCGTTCCATGATACCGCTCGTCTCGCTTGTTTGAGCGAGGAGATTGAACTATGTGCATGGGAGTTATCTCACTGTGATATGGTTACGGTGCCTCCTCTCAGAGGGGAAAATCGAGGTGGCTGGGTGCCATTACGATGGATCGATAGTTGGTCGATACGGGGAATTGAGATCTTTAAACGAGCGCCCCCTTTCTTCGTTCTGAAATGTAATGGTGACTTTTGTGTCCTGTGCTACTCCAACGGCGCATGCGACCGCTAAGGTATCCACATTCCACGGCGCCTGGACTCTGGAGGGTTGACTTTCCTTTTCTCTCTCCCTCGCATGCTCGCATTGGTAAAGGCCCTGATGCAGACAGAGAGGTACACTCGGTACAGTCGTATTTGGTAGCATCTTATCATATCACCGACCCAACTTGCCATCATGCAGGCGCGCTGGCCGTGGTCAGATATGCGTTGAGGTACCATTCCTCAAGTGAGGTACAGTAACTTCGCAGGGTACGGATCCCCGTTCCTGGCGCAGGCTCTCAGGCGTGGCTAGCTGCGTCGGGCTAGCAGTAAACCCCTTAAAGGAGGCTCAGAGCAAAGGAGGGATACCCTGCCCTGGATCTCCAAGACTCCGTACCTTTGCTACCTTAGTGCACGACGTGATGACAGACAGCCGCCATAATGGGCCAGGAACAACAAAGGGGCGAAATACCCCGTAGCCTACATTTCCTCTTTAGCAAGAAGGACAGCGTTCAGAAAACGGTAGCAGATGCCTCACGTATTAGGAGAGGTAGGATCGGTTCCTAATAGGTAAGGATTAATGAATAGACCCCCATTGATATTGGATATGGGGAAGAACCTAGCCGATGGGGGTCGTGTGATATTGGACTGGTAGAGTGGTGCCAGAATTGAGGTTCCGGGTGCGGCAAATCTCTGCCCCTGGGGTACATGATTCAGTAACGGTCGACACGCTGGGAAGCGGTGGGTAGCACGTACCGCCCTGCTGTAGGGTGGTAGGTGGCCCCGCCGGGTTGATGTGCAATTGTGCGGTGCAGGTGGGCTCAGAAACGGCGCTGGCCTCCTGAGATCCCTGGCCGCGCTCATTAAACTTAGCGCAGCCAATTCTACGTGGTGGCCCCTTTGGGCAAGGTAATCTGCACTCTAGCGCAGTGACCTTACCATCGTACCCTGACAACCACGAAGGTCTCACCAAACCCCCAGCGGACGGAAGGTACCATACACAGCAAGGCGAAGAAGGGAAGGAAGTACCTAGCTACTTAACAAAGCAGGAAGTAAAAGAAAGAGGAGCAGGAACAGAAGGAGGGTGGCCCCTTCCCCATCCATCCAATCCATTCACCCATCTGAGCCCTGCCTCCTGAAAGGAAAGAGCGTCCGTCTCTCTAGCTATAAGTCTGTCTATCTGGCTGGCGTTAGGTACCTAGGTACCATAGTTACCCTAGCTGGCTGCAGCTGTCTACTTGGGTCTTGTTGGCCCGGCCTAGTGCAGTCACGTCTGGCCGTCTCTCTTCGCCCTCTCTCCTTCCTCTACTACTGGCACCACCACCACCACCGTTCGTTCATTCACTCCTTCATCTTTTCCCCTTACCTTGTACCTAACCTTACCTCATCTCGCCAGAGTCCCCTCTCTCCTCCTCTTTGCTCTCACTCTCTCTTGTCTTCTTTTCACTCGCTCGCTCACATTCTCTCATTCAGAGAATCCTCCTCTTTGCATCAATCCTCTTATTCTTCTTCGATCGTATGTCCTTCTAAACCTGCGCCGACCACCTCCTTGTCCAATCCTTTCTCGCCTTCTTCTATTGGTCTCGCCGCTCTGTAGTCTTACCAGACTCGTTCAACCACGCTCGTTAACCTACTACTACAACCGTATACCTGTTATAATACTTCACTTCGCCAGGAGAGCATCTCGCAAGCTCTCTCATACCATATCGGTCAATTCGCCTGTAGCGCAGCTGTTTTTGTTGTGTGTCTGCAGGTCTCCCTTGTTGCCGCTTGCTCGGGTCTAGATACCTCGCCTCTTTGTGTAATATCGACGCTCTTTGTTCGTCTAGCTCAAGGACAAGAACGAATTGGCTATCTCGAGTTGTCACCTCGGCCGAGCACACTTCATTCCAAACGACGTCGCAACCTCGACAAGCTTCGGGGACAATCGTCGAGAACGCTCTCCCTTTTCGAATTCAGCAGCTTGAGCACCGCTCAGTCCTAGCTTTAGTCCAGGGCACGACTTTGGTTGCACATACATCATATCTGTAATATACAGGTTCCAAGCTATTTGTTCGACCTTTCTCCCTCATCGCCGACTGTCCCACGCCGCTGGTAGTCATTCGACGATACGAACCCGGTCCTTCGACAGCTCTTCGGCTTACAAGGACATTGTGATACCCCATCTATAGTTGCTCAGTACCGGTGTATTCCGACGCGTCTAATTCCTTTTCGAATCGTGCCTTCCCCAGGGCACGTCTAATCTTTCAAAACGGCTGTTCTATCTCACGTCGCTCGGGACAGTCTTGTCCCCCCTCATCTCCTCGGGATGCAGGATCTCAATGGTCCCGTGGGTCAGTCCGGACCGAGCGCGGGTCCGGTAGGCCGTTACCCCGGACATGCTTCGAAGCCCTCCAACAGTGACACCGGCTTCTCTCATGGCGCCTTCACCTCGAACATCTCCGGCTTTGCTGACAGGCACCCTCGGCGTGGAAACATTCCTTCTATCAACACCCAGCCAATTGCTGCTCCTCAGCCTCCCACCAATGGCCCAGACATGACTACTCCCGGTACTGCCTTTGACATGCAGTTCACCCCTCTTCTGCCATCTCAGCTGCTCTTGGGCAGCCCTTTCCAGCCTGGAACGCCAGCTGCTTTTGCCAGCCCACAGTTCCAGAATCTGTCTGGCTTTCAACATGCTCAACAGCAGAGTGCGCAGCAGCAGAATGGCATTGGAAGCCCGGTGCAGCAGAACATGTCACCTCAGGCTTACCAGGCCATCGTCTCGCCCTCTACTTATGGTGCCCCCCAATTTTACTCTCCGCAGTCCCCTACTGCCGGGTACGGCAACATGGGTGGCCAGGTAGCTATGCAAATGCAGCCTGGATCCCCGGTCCAGATGTCTCCTGGTGTGGTCAGCGGCACGAGCCGTACAGTCTACCTAGGTAACATCCCTCAGGATACATCTGCTGAGGAGATCCTCGGCCACGTCCGCAGCGGACAGATTGAGTCGGTTCGCCTGCTGCCCGACAAGAACTGCGCCTTCATCTCTTTCCTGGACGCGAGTTCGGCGACCCATTTCCACTCTGATGCCATCTTGAAAAAGCTCTGCATCAAGGGCCAGGATATCAAGGTTGGTTGGGGCAAGCCCTCCCAAGTACCGACATCAGTCGCATTGGCGGTTCAGCAGTCTGGTGCTTCTAGGAACGTATATCTGGGCAATCTGCCCGAGGATATCACGGAAGAGGAGCTGCGTGAGGACCTTGGGAAATTTGGCGCCATTGACACAGTGAAAATTGTCCGGGAGAAAAATATCGCGTTCATTCACTTCCTGTCTATTGCCAATGCGATCAAGGCTGTCTCCCAGCTTCCCCAGGAGCCGAAGTGGCAAACTCCTAGACGTGTGTACTATGGCAAGGATCGATGTGCCTATGTTTCCAAGACACAGCAGCAAAACGCTGCCCAATACCTTGGAATTGCTCCCGGCTATGCTCACATGCTGACCGGTGCTGATCGTGATCTCATTTCCAGTGCCTTGGCCCAGCAATCTGTGGCTGCTGCTGCTGTGGCCACTACTGCTGGTGGAATCAACAACCTTGGTAACCGAACGATCTACCTCGGAAACATTCACCCCGAGACGACCATTGAGGAGATCTGCAATGTGGTTCGTGGTGGGCTCTTGCACCATATCCGTTACATCCCGGACAAGCATATCTGCTTCGTGACGTTCATTGATCCCACCGCAGCCGCATCGTTCTATGCTCTCAGCAATCTCCAGGGCCTCATGATTCATAACAGACGGTTGAAGATTGGCTGGGGAAAGCATTCTGGCGCTCTTCCCCCAGCGATCGCTCTAGCTGTTAGTGGCGGTGCCTCTCGAAATGTATATATTGGTAACCTGGATGAGACGTGGACCGAGGAGAGACTTCGACAGGACTTCTCTGAGTTTGGCGAGATCGAGCTTGTCAATACTCTGCGTGAGAAGAGCTGTGCCTTTGTCAACTTCACGAACATTGCCAATGCCATCAAGGCGATCGAGGCTATCCGAAGCAAAGATGAGTACAAGAAATTCAAGGTGAACTTTGGTAAAGATCGTTGTGGAAACCCTCCGAGACAGTTGTCGCAACAGGCTCAACAGTCGCCTCGAACTGAGACTGTTCCATCCCCGCCGCCTCAGGGTAGCCAGAATGGTGGATCACCGACAAATGGCCAAACACCAACGCAACCTGCATTGTTCAATAGCAACAGCAACCCGTTGACGATGTACCTGAACCATGTCTCTGCGCAGGCTCAACAGCATCATCACCAGCAGCATCAGGTTCTTGCAGCTCAGCAGGCCGCCCTCTTCGGAACGGCTGCCTCATCGCCAAATGAGCTGACTCTGGAGGTTCCGCAAGGCCCTATCTCTGGCCACGGCCAGTCTGCCAGCATCTCTAACGGATATGCAACTCAGAATTCCGCATCTGGTGCTACCACGATCGGCGGGCTTCTTGCGCCAGGCCCACGTGGCCAGCACAACCGAGCTGTGAGCTTGCCGGTGCTAGCTCCTGGTTTCGAGAATGGGGGAACAAGCCCGAACAGCGTTCCGGGTAGCAACGGTGGCAGCGATGGTGAGCGAAGAGGTCACCAGTACCAGGCCAGCTTTGGCGGGATCGGCAGCGGACTTGGTCTTGCCATCCATGGCGGTTTGAATGGTTGGGTTGAGGAAGAGGTGGCCAATTGATGCGCAAAGTATCAGCAGCCACGCAGTGACTTTGGAAAGAGATTGAATACTTGTTCTAATTGATGTTGGTCTCTTGGCTTGATTTTGTTCGGGTTCTGTTTCATGTTCCATTTTTATAATATCCAAATTCCTGTATGTTTTTGGCTCAATCACACCCCGATTCCTGCGAGGAAGAGTTTCTTTTTATGTCGTCGAGGATGTTCCACATTCTGGGGACCTTCTCTGAGATGGCAAGTTGGAGGGGTACATCCTCTAGGATATGCGTCGATGAACGTTGAAAACGTGGGGCGGCCCTGAAATAACGGGTTGAAGATGGATGAAAGAGGAAGGATAATACTCTCAAGAGTGCTCTAGCGACATGCTAGTCTTATCATTGCGAGTTACTCGGCGTCAGACATATGGAGCATGGATATGGAGATATAGTTAAATAACAGATGGAAACACCTGTGCTTAAAGTGTGCTGTGCCTATCGAGATGTGATCATGATAGATTATGTGCGCCATGCCATTTAAACTTCAGACTTGGCGCCGTGAGAACCTTGTTCACACTCATCGCATCACTTATTGTCACGTAGAGATAGTAAAATGTCATATTCATTAGGACATATCATGCGGGAGGTATCAATGCTACGTCAATGCTAGTACATCAGTTTTTGACAACTCATCTAAAGAGACTCAAAGTGCTCTCCACATCTTGTAACGATTCCAAAAGCCCCGGATCACCACCTCTTACTTTACTTTTCAACTGCTTTGCAACACCCAATATGGCACTCGTCGAGTGCGCATAACGCCGCTGTACCCCTGGATGCGTATTGGCCAAAAGAGCTGTGACGAGCTGCAGAACGGCCACCTGGAACTCGTAAACGGCGGGCGGCTGCTCGGCGGGCGGCACGTCCCACGCGGCGACCTTAGTAACGACCGCCATCCACGCCTCCCTGGCCCCCGGGCGCTCGGCCTCCGCGATGGGGAGCAGCAGGCGGACGATCTCGGTGGCCCTGAGCGCTTCGGCCTCGTCGCTGATGGCGGAGCTGGCCTGCAGAACGGCCAGCATGTCCTGGCTGAGGATGTCCCACCCGTCCTGGTCCAGAAAGGCCTCAACGCCCTCCTCCACGGCGGTGATGCCCTCGAGCGCGACGACGACCGGCGGCCTGAAGTCCTGCGCCGCCGACCTGGCGCCGCTGTCCCGGTAGAGCTCCATCAGCATGTCCGCCAGCGCGGCGGCCTCCCTGCGGAGGGTGTCGTTGTCGTCCTCGCGCAGCCAGATGGCCAGGCTGCGGACGGCGGCGAAGATGAGCGCGTCCTCGCCGGCCGCGTCCGTCTTGGAGTCCCAGGCGAGCGTGAGCCGCGAGCCCGCGAAGGTGTTGGCCGTGCCCGCCCGCGCGTCCGGGTGCAGGCCCAGGGCGCCCGCGACGGAGGCGTCCCACCTGTCGCGGAGGAACTCGATCGTCACGGACATTGTCTCGGAGATGCTCTTTCGCAGCTTGAGCAGGAGGTCTGGCGCCATCATGTGCGCGGTGGACGAGCTCTGGAGGTTGTCGTCGTCCATGTAGCGGACGAGGAAGCCAATGAAGGATGAGATGATGTCGAATGCTGACGCGAGACGCCTTGCTATTTCACTGTACTCCGGACTATTGAGCTTTTCGAGCAGGCTGGGGAAAGAGGAGCGGAGGTCAACTAGGAGTAGGTTGACGAAGAGGTAGGAGAATGGCTTCTCGGCCTCGATCTCCTCAGAGAAGAGAAGTTGCGGTGTCTCGCTCGGGTACACTTGAAGAAGCGTTGCGGCGAGATTCGTGTAGGCTGCCCGGCCTTCAGCAGTCGGTCGGCTGCTTACCACGTTGCGGATATACGCGATGAGTTGCTTGATCCATGGTGGGTTCCTGGGAAGAGACTCGGCGTTGAGGCTCCTGAGCAGCTTTGCCAGAAAGGCAAGAAGAGTGATCGCATCAGTGCCCCTGAACGTTGCCACTAGACTGCGGATGGTCGCGTCTATCTTAAGCGATAGAGTTGCCTTTGCTTCTGGTAGTGACATGGAGTTTAGCCATGTGAAATAGAGCACCTCGAGGGCAGCAGGGTAAGTTGGGGCAATCTCTACCAAGGAGCTGATGTCTTCCATGTGTACCAGCTCCTTGGCACCCTCTGGGAAGCTCGTGAGCGTCAGGAGAGTCTGCAGAGTTAGCTGTGTTGTTTCTGGCGAACTGCAGTCTACATTAGTCTGAGATCCAGTATAGGGGATAGTTGAAAGAGGGCTCTCGAACCTGTACAGAAGCGTGTTAACCAGCATGGGAATTCTGCTAAACATCTTAGACTCCCGTTTTATGTCATCGGGGAGGAACACCACAAAGGTATGGTGAACCGCGACGGCGATATCGAGCATGTCCTTGGCATCCTTCTTCTGAGTGGCGCCTGTTCGCAGCAGGCGGTCCAGGAAGCGCGACGGGATGCTGATCCACAGAGCCGTGATAGAGGCCTCATCTTCTCTCAGCTCTGGGGAGTTGTCCAGCACAGACTTGAGAAGCGCCAGGCCGACGAATCTCGACGTGTCGTCCTTGGCCTTGAGCAGCTCCTGAATTTTCTGTATCGACACTTCAGATTCTCCGCCCGGTGGAGCGTCGCCGGCCGCTTGGGCTGATCCTCCAGCCGGCCCAGACGAAGGCGCTGATGAGGCCATCTTTGGAGGTTGAAGAAGCAGAACAAGCCGGCTTGGTTACCCCATTATTTGAGGGACTGGGCAGATCCTACCCTCATTTGAGGGCTGTTTTCGCAGATTTCTGTGTCTTGTATGACGACGGCGTGTAAGTCGGAGTCTGTGGCTGGAGCAAGCCTCCTCGAAGCGGCTTAGGCGCCCCACGACCCCTGTCCGTGACGCTGCCGCATTGCCGTAGTTGGGGCTGGCTCCCCCGTACTAAGCCGTAAAGGCACGCTGCCAGCCTACTAAGTCGCCGGAGATCGGTCAATTTAGTTGATCCAGCGCGGGAGCCTCCCAGATAACGTTAAGCTCCCTTATCCAGCCTGCCGGAATGGGGAGCTGGACTGTGAGGTCACTGTAACTGTTACACTAACGCACGCCAGCCAGCCACAGCGACCGACTGTCTCATTGTTCCACTCGACCACGACAAAAGCCACAGAAACCAGAGATCGATACCTGCAACCGCACCGCCCGTGATCGCGCTCTGAAGGGGAAGTGCTAGGAAGAAGATGAGGGTGTCTACTGTTTGTGGGAAGCCCCAACGATGAATCACGGACCAGCCAGCCCCGAGGCATCCTCGTCCTCGCGATCGGAAGCCGGGGCACAGCCGCACGACGACAGAGATTCGATCGATGCGCTTTGGTCGGAAGACCGCGACGGCGATGTTCTAGGCGATGATCCTCTAAATCAAAATCTCGACGAGCCCTTGTCATTCAAGAGGAAACAGAAGAGAAGCATCTTCTCCCAGCCAGCGCGATTGATTTCGTCGCTCACAGGCGGGGCCCCACGACTTGACACGACTGGTAATATTGGGCAGGCATCAGTTGCTGGCGGACTAGACGTGCAGGAAGATACTTTCCTAGGGAGAGTTTCTCCCGGACGGCCTCCGAATGGTTTTCGAACCAACCAAGTCAAGGATGGAGTGCCCTTGGACTGGTACGTCGAAGGGCCGGGGAGACGAGTAGGATATGAAGATCTTACGGCAATCGACTGGATCTTCGAGTACACGAAAGAGCGCCAACGTCTTCGAGTCCTGTATTCAAGCGCGTCAGGTTTGATGGGGTACGCCCAGCGCTTGCTGGATGCTAGTCAGGTCTGGGTCATCCTTGTCCTCACAGGTATCGCTGTAGGATGTGTCGCAGCGAGTATCGATGTTGCGACAGACTGGCTGGCTGACCTGAAAACCGGGTACTGCTCCACAGAGGATGGAGGTGCCTTCTATCTCAGCAAGACTTTCTGCTGCTTGGGCTACGACGAAGGGGCCATGTGCAAGGGATGGAAACCCTGGGCAACTGCACTTGGCATTTCATCCGCGGGTGGGAAGTGGTTCATAGAATACTTCTTCTTTTTGCTCTTCGCGATTACATTGGCCCTTTGCGCAAGCATCTTAGTACAAGAATATGCGATTTACGCCAAGCATAGCGGTATACCTGAGATCAAGACGGTCCTGGGTGGATTCATTATTCGAAGATTCCTAGGGGTTTGGACCTTGGTTACAAAGTCTCTCGGGCTGGTATGTCGTGTTCTTCCTGTCTGGGCTATTCTCGAGACTGATTTCTTTGTGTTAGTGCCTGTCTGTGTCATCTGGCATGTGGTTGGGTAAGGAGGGTCCCTTGGTTCATGTGGCCTGTTGTTGTGCAAACTTGTTCATCAAGCTATTTCCGAGCATTAACGGCAATGAAGGTATGCATGGTTGTTTTCTTGGATGGAGGTCATTTCATCTGACCGTTGCTAAAGCCAGGAAAAGAGAGGTCCTCTCAGCAGCCGCGGCATCGGGCATATCTGTTGCTTTTGGTGCTCCAATCGGTGGTGTGCTGTTTAGTCTAGAGGTAAGACTAAGATGAACTTACAAAACAACCGAGCTGACTTTCGAAGCAACTTTCGTACTATTTCCCGGACAAGACAATGTGGCAGAGTTTTGTTTGTGCAATGACGGCTGCTGTCGTTCTGCAGGCGCTTGATCCTTTCCGCTCAGGAAAGCTCGTGCTATATCAAGTGAAGTATAGCACCGGATGGCATGGGTTTGAACTTATCCCCTTTGCTATTCTTGGGATAATAGGAGTAAGTGTTGCATCTTCGTAGCTCAATGAACACTGCGCTGACGTATTCAGGGTATCTATGGGGGCCTCTTCATCAAGGCCAACATGAGCGTGGCGAGATGGAAGAAGTCCACATCATGGCTCCCAGGCCCAATAACGCAAGTCGCTCTTGTAGCTGTGTTGACGGCTCTCATTAACTACCCTAATCTTTACATGAGGGCTCAGTCGTCGGAGCTTGTCTCCAACCTTTTCTCTGAATGCTCGAAGTTGCTTGATGACCAGTTTGGTCTTTGCAAGACTGGAGCTGCGACAGCAGGCACCATCGTACTGCTTCTATTTGCTGCAGTACTGGGCTTCTTCCTCGCCGCAATTACCTTTGGTCTGCAGATACCCGCAGGTATTATCTTGCCGTCTATGGCCATTGGCGCCTTAACTGGCCGCGCAGTTGGAATCATCATGGAGATCTGGGTGCATAATCATCCGACTTTCTTCCCATTTCAGTCCTGCGAACCAGATATACCGTGTGTCACCCCCGGGACATATGCCATTGTTGGAGCTGCGGCAACACTTGCAGGCGTGACACGGATGACAGTCTCCATTGTCGTCATCACCTTCGAGCTGACCGGCGCTCTAACCTATGTGCTGCCTATCATGGTTGCTGTTATGATATCCAAATGGGTCGGCGACGGCTTCTCGAAAAGGGGCATTTATGAGTCCTGGATCCATTTCAACGAATACCCCTTCCTCGACAACAGCGAGGAGATGATCATCCCAGACATCCCCGCATCCCAGATCATGACGAGGATCGAAGACCTGGTCGTCCTCACTGCTACCGGGCACACAATAGCTAGTCTTAAGAGCATCCTGGAGACACACCCCTATCGGGGTTTCCCAGTTGTCTCTGATCCAAGAGAAGCCATTCTACTTGGCTACATCTCGCGCGCTGAACTGGCGTACAATCTACACACCTCGACACAACCGCCTCGATCCCTCCCGCCCGAGACCGAGGCATTCTTCTCCCATCAGCCTCTCGCAGATCCCCGAACCACCCTCGACCTGCGGCCGTGGATGGATCAGACGCCAATAACGCTTCCTTCGCGGTCAAGCATGCAGCTGGCCGTGAGCTACTTCCAGAAGCTTGGTCTTCGATACGTGCTGTTCAGTGACAGGGGCGCTCTCCAAGGACTCCTGACCAAGAAGGACGTGTGGTACGTCTTGAACGGAGAGGAAGAAACTCGAAGAACAACCGGAATTACAAGAGACATGGGCGTGGAAACTGGCATCACTAGAGAAGATGGCGAGGGAGAACAGAGAGGACTCCTACACTCCGAAGAGGGCGAGGAAACTCGAAGCCCGGCGGGAGACGCCGATTCGATATTATAGATGATAATACAGCTCGAATTTTAAGATAACAATGAGCAAAGCGTGTCCGTCTGTAATGGCTCATTACCAAGCCATAATTATTACTGGTAGCTCATGAGCGTAGTGATTGTGATTGGACCCTTTCACACTGATCTATTGATGATGCGATATCTCCGTATGATATGTAAACCAGAAGCTAAAGCCACATGCCAAAATCGAGTACGCTTCGAATCTATGAATACATACAATTGCGAGTCCTGGAACTTGGAACTAATATTCGAAATCATCATCGACAGCCGGCCCCTTACTCTTCGTCACGGCCTCCTGTTTGCGATACATCTCCGCCACCTGTCGACTAGAGGTTGCCTCATCCGGCTTCTTATCGTCTCGTACCTTAATAAACCGTGGGAAACGAAGACTTATGCCTTTCCCGTCTTTGTCCACACCCTCGTGCGCACCAGCCTTGTAACGCGGACTTAGCGTTAGATCGGCTGTGCGGACCTCCCAGACGTAACGCGGCTCTAGCCACACATCCGGCTGATGCTGCCCACCAGAGCTGTGAGAATAGAAAGGCTTCGGCCGATCGATGACGATCTCGCTCAACTGAGCATGCAGTTCCTCTAGTACAGCCTCAGAAAACCCGGTGCCGATGTTGCAAACCGTTTCGTACTGATCGGTTGAAGGGTTGTAGCAAGCAAGAAGGAAAGCGCCGTATACGGATGTACGCTTGCCCTTGCCGTAATAAGCACCGAGAACGACAAGATCCAGTGAGTCGCCGACCCCAGCAAGGTAATCTTTCTTGATCTAAAACATGATACAGTTAGAAACGGGATTAGTCCGGAATGGGAGCAAATACGCACCTTGAGCCAATTTCGGCTTCGTTTACTGGGCTCATATCCACTCTCTGCACCGTCCAACATCTTGACCATCAGGCCCTCACATGATGCCTTGACACTCTCGTCGAGGAACGTTTGAATCTCGTCAATCTCCTGGCCGTCCATATGTGTTGCAAATGCGAACTCTCCTTCAACAGGTTCAAAGGACTTTGTTAGAAGCTCGCGGCGTTCCCTGAGGGGCTTTTCCACGATAGCTTCGCCGTTCAGATATAGCATGTCGAAGGCAAAGACACAAACCTTGACCTTGACATCTTCGATCTTTACATCCTTCTTCTTTCTGGTCATGAGTTGCTGGAAGGGCAGGACCTTCTTCTCCTCCATATCCCAGGCAACAGTCTCACAGTCTAGAACAAAGCTTTTGGTATCTGGCTTGACCCATGTATGAAGCTTCGCCAGGATATCCGGGTATTTTTTGGAAAGATCTTCCGAGTTTCTCGAGAAGATAGACGCAACACCATTTCCAGCTTCTTTCGTAGCACCAGGTGCTGATTGACTGAGCTCCTGATCCGCATCTTTCGCCACATAGTGAATTTGCGCTCTCTCGCCATCATACTTATATTCACAGGTGAAAGTCTGGTCCTCGAATCGATCAAGCACTTCAGTAATGGCCTTAGTCGGTTTCGCCAACATAGGTTTCAGAGGCACACCAGGTTGTAGCTTGCAATTCTCCCTGAGTTTCATGATACCGTGCTCAATCATGGCCGGGATGATGACATCGTAACTTGGCAACTCGCTGTCATCGGTTAGCATTTCTTGATGCAAAACAACGCTTCAGCAGCACAAACCTGTAGACAGTCTTCAAGATGGACTCGGCCTTCTCGATTTCCGCAGTGCTTGGAACGTTGCCCTTCTGCTCAGCCTCATGAGAGATGACTGCCTGGGCAAGTGAGACTAAGACTGTCCTCTCTGCAAGGCCAAGTCTAAGCTTCCCTTCCAAGAAACGTACGATGTATTTGGCTTCGCTGGGGCCACCCTTGTCCTTTGTAATGTCTACTTTGCCAGTTGATGCAGAATCGGCCGCCGAGAGAAGCTTCTTAATACCATCAACTTTTCTCCCTTGGGCACCATTGCCTGTGACAGTAGCGATGCCCATCAGCCCCTTGTGCACGCCGCGGACCGTTAGAGGCTTGGGCTTGAACATGGTAGGCTGTGTAGATCTTGACTTGACCGCAACAAGACCAAGATCTCCTATCTCCTTCTGGTCTTGTTTGATCACAGCAAGACTGCGTCCAGTTGACTCGCCAATTGCCTTCATAATCAGAGACTCGCCAATACCCAGCTCAATGCCGGAATAGTCTGGCGCGAGTTTGTTGATCATGAGGAGAACGGTCGGAAGAAGGTCGTCCGGCGTGAGTCTCATGACTTGACGCAGGAACAGAGAGCAGTGAGCCATAATCTCCAATCGCTTGGTGGTCAGTTCGATGAGCGAAAAAGTCTTACACAGCGCGGCGTATGGCACAGGCTCGCCTGATTTCCAGTCAGGATATGGATCCTTAGTCTTGGACTTTAGAGTCGTCTGGACAGTCTTTCGAGCCTTTTCAATAATCTCCGGCTTTTCGTCCTCATCCTCTTCTTCAGCCTCTCGTTCAGCATCAGCATCAGAAGCAGATGCTGCAGAATCTTTTTCGTCCTCTTCCTCCTGTTTAATCTCTTCTACTTTCACGGCCGCTTCCTTCTTAGTACGTGTCGGTTTCGGAGAGGCTTTCTTCTCTGACTTGACTTGCTTCTTCGATCTACTTGGCGCGGTAGCGGCCGGCGCATCATCCATGGATTCATCCTCATCTTCATCCTCCACGACTCTACGAGATTTGCGCGCCTTCTTCGCAACAGGAGCTTCCTCGTCGAGCTCATCGCTCGCCTCAGTTTTTATTGCCTTTCCCGTAATTGTCTTGGCGGCTGATTTTCCATCACTTACTGGGCGCGATCTTTTCTTTGAGTCTATTTGCTACGTCAGTTTGAACAACTTCGTATCGAATGCAAAGACGACGAACCTGGAGATGGGGTCGCATTTTCCTTTCCACTGGCATCGGCCGAGCTGCCCTGACTTGATCTCTTCACCTTTGAATCCTCGACGTCTTCTGGGGCATTATCTGTCGTCGGAGTTGCGGACTTCGTGCCCGACTTCGTCGCAAACGATAACTTTGTCTGCTGCTGCGGGGCTTTCGGGGCTGTACCGTTCGGCTGGCCGAAGAACTTCCTGTAGACAGCAAATTGGATTAGCGACTGCAATTGACATGAAATTGAAAGAATTAGACGCTATCGCGCAAAACTTTCAAATAGACAAATCTGGAGAGGGCATGTTCTTGTACACACCCCAAGGTGGTCTGTGATGGCTTAACGTACCCGAGGGTCGCCTGCTGCTTCTGCTTGGGTGCCATTCTGAGCAGTATGCGTGACGAGATCGCCGCAAATCTGAAGAATTGCCGCGAAGCCAGACTGATTGAGCGGTTATGGGAGAGAAGAGAAGGAGGGGCCAAACAATTACGAGGAGGAGGTCAATTATGAGCACAGGTGATGTAAATACGCCCGTTCGAGGGGAGTCTAGGCAGCCCACGCATTAAGCTTCCAGCGGCGCGAAATCGGTGACGCGACTGGGACGTGTTCCTTCCTATTAAACTCGCGCCCAATTGACACGGGTCACGTGGGACCCCTCTAGGCACCTTCCAAGGCTTCCACTGCTGTGCAGGCCCAAGCCCATCGTGCTTTCCAAGACTTTGCTAGTTATTTGACGAACATGAAACTAACACTCCAAGTCATTAAACTCTGCAGCCAGGAAGGTGCCTGGGCAACTCAAATTGTGCCCCCAAGACTTGTCACTTTCAGTTCCGCAGACACAAGCAAATATGGCAAACAGCGACATTGACGTTCAAACGCATCCATTCCAGACCTCTATACTGTATAGGATATTGTACATGAGAGACAAAGGGGTTTAGACTAGCTAGATATCATGCGGGATGGATGGCCGCAGTTCATGAGGGGGTGGTGGGTATGGAGACATTTAGTTGAAGTAGAAGAGCTCATCAGCCGTCCGGCCACGGATGTGGCTGGGCTCAGTACCGCGGACGTAAATATCCTCGTAGAGAATCTTCTGCGTCGGCTCTGGCGGGGCCATGGCCTCAGCAGCGGCAACCTCCTCGTTGACGAAGCTGCGAGCCTCCTTGTCGAGAGTCTTCAGCTCGTCCTCCGTCACAACAGTCCAGTCAAGCAGCTTCTGCTTGAGCCCTGCAATGGGGTCGTTGGTTGAGCGCATGCGCTGGATCTCCTCACGGGTTCGGTATGTGGTGCCGGGGTCGGACATGGAGTGACCACCGTATCTGTAGGTAACATACTCAAGCACAAGCGGGCCGTGGTCCTCCTCGGTCCACTGCTTTCCGTACTTGACGGCTGCCTTAACAGCAAGAACATCCATTCCGTTGACCTTCAGACCGGGGATGTACTGTCCACGCTTGTAGTAGTCCGTGAGAGCGGATGAGCGGGATGCAGCGGTACCCATACCATACTTGTTGTCTGTTTCAAGAAATTAGAAGACGCTTTTCACACAAACGAGCATGCCAACTTACTCTCGCATCCAAACAGGGCGGGGAGCTTCCAGAGCTTGGCCATGTTGAAAGCCTCAAAGACTTGACCCTGGTTGCTGGCACCATCACCGTACAGGATGACAGCGGCCTTCTTGCTGTTGGTGTACTTGTGCGCGAAAGCTAGACCGGCGCCGACGGGGACCTGAGCACCGACAATTCCGTTGCCGCCGTAGAAACCCTTGGTGAACATGTGCATGGAGCCGCCCTTTCCGTAGGCAATGCCCTCTCGTCGACCAAGCAGCTCGCCAATGATTGAGCGGACAGTGCCGCCGCGCATGTAGGCGAAGCCGTGGCATCGGTAGGCAGTGATCAGATCATCGTCCTTGGTGAGAGCATGCTCGATACCGACAGCGACGGCCTCCTGACCAGTTGATAGATGGCAGAAACCCCGAATCTTCTTCTCCTTGTACAACCGATCGGCAGCCATCTCCATTTGTCTAGATGCGATATTAACTCAAACATTCCATGAGACACTGGCTCGACAGGCCAACATACCGGATGACCACCATGTCGGAGTACATCTGCTTAAGCTCCTTCTTGGTGATGTCAATGCTGTAAGGAGGCGGGTCCAGCTCGTACGTCTCGAAGCTCTCGTCGCTCAGGTTGACCGTGAAGGGCTCATCATCGGACTAATTGACACCGAAGTTAGTTTTGGCTGCTCAGCAAGCAAATGAAAGCGACAAAGCGAGATGTGACGGGTAACTGGCGCATCAATTATGCCATCTCGCCCTCGCCCGAAAACACCGCAATCAAGGCTTACCTCAGGGACGGCGCTCTTGTCGACGTGGGAGGAAGCGGCATCGGTGGTGACCAGCCTCCTGGCCGCAATTGACGGCACTGGAGCGCGGACGCGCAAGGGCATCGCCCGCGGTACCCTAAGGGCTCGTGAGAACATGGCGATGTCGATGGTGGTGGTGGCTCTGAGGATGAGAGGCTGTCAACGACGACGTCCGGAACTCAAGAGCTGCGAGATAATGGACCTCCGAAAATGATTTTCTGCCAGAAAGGCGTTGGGAGGTAGCTTTGGCCTACCAACCTTGTTGTTGGCCGCGAGCTAACCCACTTATGGACTAGTCGTCACCAGGGACACTCCGATTATTTTATAGCGCCTCCGATCGCAGCCGTCGCTGGCCATTGGTGGTCAAAGCTTTCTTCAAGGTTGTCTCGCCGGCTCACAAAAGCTCATCTACTGTTTGATACAGGCAATGGAATCCCAGGACGAGTATCAGTAATGCTTGAATTTCTAGCTGGCTTGGAAGCTCCCGTATAATTATCTAGGTTTTGTACCTATACTCATCCATAATTCTCGTCCATAGCTCATAAGCCATGCCAGCAAAAGCTCCTCTGCTATGCTTGCTTCCTAGCCGATATACTCAAACAACGCCTTAGCCATGCACGTACGTATCAGTTTCGTCCAGCCACCACTGGTTTTGATAACCAGGCCATGCTCTCGCTCGCCTGAACTAATGCCAAACTGGTAAGAATGTGCTATGTGAGCACATGCAATGCGTAGCAATCATCTAACGCGGGTATGTGCAATGATGTCCCTGTTCCTGTATAAAAAGAGCATCCAGTAAGACCTGAGACTTTATAATAGTTCTCAATAGGTTGTATAAATGGTGTAAGTACTAGTCGTCATGGAAGAATGTTTGGCTTCCCTGCTGTAGAGGAGCCGTGGAAGGGCCGGCATCCCTCATGTCGACATCTTGGTTGGGTGATCCTCTGCGGACGAGCCCTGGGAGGAGGCCTTGAGAATACTCAAGAGGCAAAGCACTCATGGGTCGAGCGGACCCGTCCAAGGGTCTTTGTGGGAGAGAAAGAGGTCTCTCATACATGACTTCTTCCGGTGGGGAGAAAGACCACACCTAAACAGATTGTTGTTAGTAACTTTTCAAACGCTTGAAAGGCTCGCGTTGACATACCTCCATGACCGTCCGATTGTTACGCAGAGCCATGGCAACACACTTCTCATCCTCAAAAGCAACTCGCCACACGGCTTCGCCCTGTGCAATGAGCTCTCTGACTAGATGCCCGGTCTTCAGATCCCAGACTTTGACGCGGCCGTCACTACCGCCGCTGACAACGCGGGTATCATCAAACTGCAAGCTGGTCACACTGTTGTCATGAGCAGCGAGCCGATGAATCGGGGCAAACTTAGAAAGCGACCACACGCGAACGGAGCCGTCCGAGCCTCCAGTGACTAAGGTGTCACCGCGCATCTGCAGCTGTCCCACGAGTGAAGTGTGGCCCTGAAGGACTGCCTGACATTCACCAGTGGCGGCATTCCAGATGCGAACGCTGGTGTCAAGACTGCCAGTTGCAACTCTGGTGCCGTCAAAGGCTATGGCATATATCTGACTGTAATGCCCTTGTAGAGTGTGAAGACAACGCCCCTCGGAGATGCTCCACACCTTTGCTGTAGTATCGTAACTTCCGGAAACCACAATGTCGCCTTTGATCTCGAGGCATCGGACACTAGCCTGATGGCCAACAAGAACGTTGCGGCAGAGACCTGTCCGTATATCCCAGATACGGAGAGTAGTATCACGAGATCCTGAAATGGCGGTATTTGCGTCTGACATCTTAAGGCAACGCACGGTGGACGTATGACCGCGAAGCGTATGCACACAAGCGCTAGAACGGTCAGTAAAGTGGCGACATATGGTACAGGTGCAGGTTCTTACCCAGTCGTCAAATCCCACACTCTCACATCTCGATCACAGCCACCGCTGACGAGAATGTCTTCCCATGGGACCATAGCCCATACTCCCATAACATGGCCTTGCAGAGTCCTCTGAGCATTTCCTTCCGTATCGAAAACATGAATCTTTGCGTTATCGAGGGCCACAATGATATACTTTGGCGTTAGGTGGAGGCTTGTAACGACCCCACCGTCTTGTGTGATGTTCCTCGTGATATTGCGACCGCCAGTCCTCCACGCGGCATCTACCAAGTAACGTTGTTTGAAATGTGATTTGTATGACTTGAGCCGCGGTCTTGAGGAACCGCTCGAGGAAGAACCATCGAAGCTACGGGAAGCAGTCATGGCCAACGCAGAAGATGGTAGCGCGCCAGGGAAGCTGTGGGTAGCAAAGTCATTGTCGGGGAGGTTCAGCGGATGAGCACCGGGGCGTGCAAACATTGGCATTGCCGAGTAGACTTCAGAGAGTCGACGGCCATAGTCATGCTTGACACAGAGATTCTTCCAGGTCATGTCATCACTAAGTAGATCCCGCCATCGCCTAGAGACCTGGGAAGCCCGTGCTAGAACCTTTGGGTCGTCGATGAAGGAAAGGATCTGGGCAACCTGTAAGCGGCATACAATGTAGCGAGATACAACTTTACTTACTCGGAGACACAATTCGTCAGGGAGGCTGGTAAAAGGATCCTTTTTCAGCAAGGGACTGACAAATTGGTGTACAAAGCTCAGCTGTTGACTGGTGCATAGGTTCAGCAGGTCTGCGAGTATCCTAGTTCGCTGAGGACCTGTGCAGCTCTGGAAATGCTGGCGGACTTTGGCCAAGAAGAAGTCCTCGTCGTCAGCGGCGTCACTCCAGTCGGGTTGGGAGTGGGAAGGACCCGGTGACGCAGCTGGTGTTGGGGGAGGCGGCGGTGATCCAGTCAGTGTCTGGTCGAAGTCTGCTGCAGGTGTGCTCATGCTCGGCGTTGGAGGGCCTCGCGGAGGTCGGGGTTGGGCGATCTTGACACTGCCCGTTGTGTTCAGGTTCAACTCTTCGCAACTGAACACACTCCCCCGTCTCTCCGAGAAACTCAACGGCCGGTGATAGCCCGACATGGCTGGATTTGACGTGTAAGACCGATAAGTTCGAGTTTTGGGCCCTTGAGGGAGAACCGGGTTCGACAAGAGGTGGGCTTATGGTGGGTAATCCGACTTTGTATCGACCCGTATCGAGATGTAACGGGTATGGGGTTAGGATCGATAGACACTACTTGGCAATAGGCCAGACTTGGAACTTGACAAAGGATGCATCCACTGGTCTGGTCCAAGATAACGGTAGTGAAGAATATGGTATAGGAGTTAAGTGGTGAGAATTCGAGGAGGTGATGGCTTGCGAGAATGACGAGGCGGCGCTAATGCTGGTGGTGATGGTGGATTATGTTATCCAGCCAGAAAGCCACATTCAGAGTGCCAAAACGACGGGATTGGGGGGTGATGAGTGATTGAAGACCACAATGGATGACGAGGCCTTTGAATGTGTCGCTTGCGGCACTATTTGACGGGAGAAAAGATCGGGGTCGAGTGAGTTTCAAGTCGGTGGTTCACACGGAGGGAGGTGAAGAGCCCGCCAAAACTGGATTGGGATGGAGGAGACTGCGGAGAAGGGAGAGAATCGAGTTGTGCAGCCCAGCCGAGGACATGGAACATGGGATATGGACAGAGGAAGCGGCGATCGGTTACAATGCAGCTGCCGTCAGCAGGAAACAGCCATTGAGATTCGAGGTCGGTTGTGCAGGTGAGGTAGTAAACAAATTCGGGTCTTGAGGTCGTCCTGCATCGAAACTGCCTCTCTCCTTCCTCGAGCCCGACGACGACGACACTGCTGCGAAATAGGTGGTTGAAGGTTGGAAAGAACGACCGGCCGACCGACAGACAGACCGACTGACTACCTGAGCGACTGAGGGAGTCTAGTGTGTGTGGGTGTGTATAGGTGTACCTATGTATGGGGCATGGGTGCAGGTGTGGCCCGGGATATTCGAGCCAGCGGCGGGAGGAGTGGCACCAGTAACAGTGACACAGCGCTGCGCAGGCCTTGTAGCAAGGCGTGACCAGTAATACTGCGTGCTAATCAATCGGAAGAGGAATGGGCGGGAATGGCAGAGGGAGGCGGGAGGGCGGGTCCAGGTGGTCTGGTCTGGTCTCATCTGGTGGTCGAATGCGAATGAGTGTCAAGTGAGGAGACACTACCTAGACCTGGAGGTACAGCCAGCCAGCCAGCCAGCCCCGGCAAAGGGGGGTGATGGGACAAGCCTGTGGTAAGTGATTTTAAGGACGTGCACACAAACGCATAACATATACTCTTAATATCTACCTCCTCAGTCTAGGTACTCCTTTCTTCCTTGCAAAAGGTGCTGACCGACAGGAGGAAAGGAATTAGGTGTGTGCGCGTGCACCTCCACCTCCTTGATAGTCAAGGTTGCGCTGTGAGTTTACCTAGTGAATGCCTTTACTACTCCTCATTGTTCTTCTCTGCCGGCCAAATCCAGCCACCACGCGCGCCAGCCCAGGTACCTGCGTGAGCTGGCTGGTTCTTGGGCCTCCGTTTCGGGCTTCAGGTGGCTCTTATTAGCTACCTTAGCTCGGTAGGTTGCGAGAACCATTCAATTGAAGTATGCGACCTCCAGACTCAAGCCCCTGGCTGGTGCCACGATGTGTGTGCCTGGATTCCACCTGGCTGACGGCGTTGGACTCAATTGGCGAGCAAACCACTTCAGGTAGGTATGAAGATGGGCTACCTGAAGCCCAAAGTGGCCATCTTCCACCTACCGTTCGCATTTGACCGCACCTCTCTCTTCTTCTCGTTTGATGCTCTTAATTAGGAAACACCCTGTCCTGCTTACTCTGTACTTGATGTTGAGCCTAGCTTGGCTTGAGCACCTCGGTTCCGGAGAGTTGATCTGCATACATGCGTTTCTCGATCACTTCACCCATTATCTGTCAATTCAGTCCAAGGGGGTACTTGTGGAAGCATGTGTACCTACCTAGACGAATAGACAGGAACTCTGTCTACTCCGGTATAAGTTTACCATGACCGTCAGAGATTCTCTACCATCGGCCACCAAGGGAACCACACCTGACATAAGTGCAAGCATGGTTTGGGATCGAAGGCGTATGCGCGCCTGCGACATTGTCTCTCACTATAGCCGATGCTGAACACCACCTGTCGCGAGGACTGCATGATGAATTCCAGTTTTCATTTTAATTGATCTCATTGCACTGCGCATCAATATCAAATAAGACGGCAAGATAAGGCAAGGAGCGAAGGGGCGATCTCCGCCCAGCCTTTCTGCAAAGGCTTTTCTGATTCATGCACGTCAATACAAATCAGTCGCTGGAAGGATTCCCATTTGCTCTCCCCGCCCTGCCAGGATCATCAAGGTCAATGATTTGCACCCTGTCACTTATTGTCTACCTAGATAGCTACTGCGTAGGGTTTGCCTTGAGGTTCGCATACAATATTCATGTAGTGTAGTACATTGAAAGCTAAATCATTCCATGGCCTCGGTGCCAAGTGGCGTAGGTATTGCCATCAGCATGGACATCTCAACATACCATCTACCCTTAATTTGTATCATTGTTTCCAACGAGCTCCGCAAAATACTTCCTTCGTCAATTGACTTTACAGATGTCGCCAGCATAGAAACGGGACCGTACCTGACTGAGGAACCACTGAGTCAGAACCAAGCCGAGGTTAGACTTATTTTATCACAACGCGACATATCGTTGGTTTGATAGCAAGGTTTTCCGCCTTTCACAGTTTGGCACACTGGCGGCTACGGTCCGGTTCCCGTCATGCCTCGAGGGTGTCTCTGTTGCGAACATCCAGCGGTCTTCCAGGCGGCTTGCTATTGCTGATGACGAACTGCATCAGCCTCCACAGCTCGTCCTCCTTTACTTCTGGCTTCTTGTCCGCCGTGTCACGGCAGCTCGGGCAAACCCGAACCAGTTCATATGAATTGTCATTCCCAACATATCCCAGCCTGCCGATAGATGACGCTGTGCGACTTAGACTTTCGCGAGAAAGAGCGTAGTGCGGTTGCTCAAGTCACACCTCACATTTTGACAGACGGGCTCGATGGGATCCTGATGGTCAAGGTGCGACCCGCCACGACGGCTAAATTACCATCTCCCGGTTGTTTTCGCGAAGCGCACTCCCCTTGCAACCGGGTCAGCCGAGCAGAGGAGCTCAAGGTGGGTTGTACGAGTTGACCAACATGATTGCATTCTCTTGCGCGCAGGTCTACGAAAGCTAGGTCTGCTTGTGGTGCCCATCTAGGTGATGTTGTACATATCCACACCCGAAAAATATTGATAGCATCCTGAACTCCCCCTATGCGACTCCTGAAGTCATAATGTCCCAGATTTGCCTCCCCAGTCTAGTATAAACGCCGTAAGCCGAACATATGGAGTGACATGACACGTTTCAATGGTGATGACCAAACTGGGTCAGAAGAGGTAGAAGCATACCGATCACTGTCGCAAGTGTATCGCGCATCTGAGGTCTGCTTTGCTTCCTGGGTGAGCTGGGCCCATCCGCATACCCATTCGAGCCAGAATGATGGTCATGTCCCAACGAGGCACTGTCCTCTTCCATTGCATGCATGGCGACGTATCTATGGAACTTGTTAGCAAGCTTGAGACAGAAATGTGTAAAGCGACCTCACAGAAAAGTCCCTGCGGAGAACAGGAGAAGCATGCCAGTCCACCATTGGCCCGATGGCCCATCCATGTTTCCTCCTCCCAGAAGGGAGATGATGAGATACGTGGCTATGGCTCCGAATGGGGCGGCCAGACTGAATATGATAAGATGGCCTCGAGCCGCACGTTTAGATAGCCCTTGCTTCAACAAAACAGATGTTAGGCCGAAAGCAGCCGGCGCTTTGTGCACCATGATTGCGACGAATATAATAAGGCCAAGTTTCATGTCGGTTGTTGTCGCCGAGGCCCCCATGGCTATTCCATCCGCCGCGGCATGTATCACAAGGCCTGTGGTAGTAGCCAAGCTCCTCGATTGCTTCGGTGTTGGTGCCAAGGAGCCCAAAAAGCCGTCGGTCTCCTCCTCGCCCGTTACACTTGACGATGCAAGGTTGTCAAGGCTGATATGTCTGGTTGTTGGTGCCGCCTGGAACCGCTCCGTAGCATGCTGTGGCAGCTTGTCGATCAAGAACATGAGAGCAAAACCTAGAATGAGAGCTAATCCAATGAAGAAGGTGGGTAAACTCGATTGCTCGTGCTTTTCCGCATCGTCATGGTTATCTGGCCCAGAATTGCCCGCTTTGCCCGGTGTCTCGTCTTCTCGACCGTGGAGGAGTGCTTCAAGCTTATCGTCAAATGCACCTCGTCGGTCGACAATAGCATGAACGGCATTTGTATCTGCAAAGCCACCCATATCTCGGCTATGCCATCGAACTGCTGTGTGTGCTGCACTGTCAAGGGTCCTCGTCTTATGAGCGTGTGACGAGCCTCCGGTTGTGACGACTGCTTCGATGCCTTCAGGTATGATGACTATGAGTGAAGTGCCAACAAGAATTCCGATACCGATGCTAGATATGAGCCGAAGTTGCGATTGGGAAAGCGTCATGGATAATGGTAATGCGCCAGCCAGAAAGGAGCTGCGAGAAAGGTAAGTCGGTGCTAAAAGTTAAGGATTACGCGGTCGCTCGAAGGGATCATGTACGCACGCCAATGCCATTATCACCTATACAAATGAGATGTTAGAGCCCATAGGGAAGACTAAACGGAGGTGAAGACATACACAGAGGGCAAGTAGAAGTAGAAGACCACCCATTTTGCCGCAAGAGTTGCTGAATTGTCGAGGCCAACGAGGGATGCTTGCTATCGATGCATGGAAGTATATAGGTTACAAGATGATCCCGATCAGCGTTATCAGTGTTTAGCAATAGAATAATCAACAGGACAGTCTCTCTAAATGATCTTGTATGCGACCGGAGGAAGAGGTTGCGCTGGTCGCACAAATTGACAGAGATCACGATTGACGTATGTTGGCCTGACCAACAGGGTAAAGCATTATGTACCACCAAGCTCCTGGAGTTTTGACCTTCGCAAGGACCCCTGTCGAAACCCGCTACGCCTTGCCAGCTCCCTGCCTGCTCCCTGTCCATTAAAAAGGGAAGCTTACTATGCAGTATACCTAGTACGGAGAGCAACCAACTGGCCCGTGCGCGATTTCAATTAAGCCATTGTGAAGCGCAACGCGGTACACCTCACCCCTGTCGCGACTTTCGCGTATCTCTTGCAAAGCTATCTAGAGCCGACCACCAGCCCAGCATCAAACTTCTTCCTACCAAAATAAACCAAGAGACTAGGCTGCCGAGGCAGAAAAGATCCATTTTCTGAGCACATTTGTCTCAAATCTCTGAGTACGGGAAGACTCAGTGATTGCTGCGAAAAAGCATCAGCCAAGATGGCCGAGGCAGATGACACCTGTATGTGCCATTTTCGCGCTCTGCGCTTTCGTTGTCTCTAATCAGATTTAGGGTCTGTCAATGCCAATGATGCCCTCCTCGTATCACTAGTCAAGCCATCGACCGACGGATTGAAGACGATCGCGAGCTTTCAACCTGAACACACATACCCTATCTTCGGAGATGACCAACGCATCTTCGGTTACCAAAACCTCAAAGTTAGTCTTCGATATCATGCCAGCGATATGCGCCCGAATCTCCAGGTCTCCTACAGCAAGAAGTTCAAGGCAGTAGGAGATACTGAGCCGACAGATATCCACGAGGCACTAGAGGGATTCCTTCCATCCGGTAGGTTGCTTCTACTTTCAAAGATGTTAACGATGCTAACCTTCCAGTTGCGCTTTCGAGCCCGAAGGACTTTGAAGCGGCGATTAAGCAAGTACCGACCTCTTGGACGCCGCCCGGAGAGCTTGTCACCAGCTTCGACACCAAGGACGGACAATATGAGATCTGGAAAGGCAGCTTGGCGGATCCAGCTGTAAAGCAGCTGGTCAACCGAATCCAGATTCTGGTCTCCTTGTTCATTGAGGGAGGCACGCCCATCAAGACGGAATCTGACGATGACGGCGAAGCAGACCCGCTTGATCGCTGGGCGGTATTCTTCCTATACCACAAGCAAGAGGTTGTAGGACAGCCAGATAAATTCTCTTATGTCTTCGCTGGCTATTCCACTGTCTATCAGTTTTTCCTATTCCATGGCCCTACACCCCCAGCTACTCCTACCAAACAGAAGGCTGCCATTCAACCGGCGACAAATGATGCATTTGAATTGCCTAAGGGGGAGACTCCCTTCACTGACTTCCCATGCCGCTCAAGAATATCTCAATTCGTCATCATTCCGCCATTCCAGGGCAAGGGCAGCGGAGCTCGTCTCTACAACACTATTTTCAAGCACTACCTGGACGCAAAACAGACTGCTGAGATCACGGTTGAAGACCCGAACGAGAAGTTCGACGACTTGAGAGACACATCAGATCTCGCATTTCTCCGGAAGATACCCGAGTTCAACGACCTCAAGATCAACACCAGCATTGCTGTGGATAAGAAAGGCCCGGCGCCTCGAGACATCGTTGATCATGAGGCATTGGAAAAGTTGAGACTGAAATACAAGATCGCACCACGGCAATTTGCTCGTGTCACCGAGCTGCACCTCATGTCTAAACTTCCGCCGTCAGTCCGGCCAGGTATTGAGGTGCAAGACTCGAAGAGACCCGTGACCAAGGACCAAGAACATGAGTACAGACTCTGGAAGCTGCTTGTTAAGCAGAGACTCTACAAACACAATATTGATGCCCTTGGTCAGCTTGAGAAGCCCGAGCGTATTGAAAAGCTGGACGAGACTCTTGCTAACGTAGAGTTCGAGTACGCGCGACTCTTGACCTTGTTTGACATTCGCAATCAGAAGTCTGGAGCAGCGTCCAATGGCAAGCGGAAAGCGATTGATGAGCCTGGAGAGCCCACGAGCAAGAAAGCGAGAGTTGAGGATGCATAGGTACATCTGCATTTTGCCTGATGGGGCTATTGGATGGAAATGCAGATTAAGGATTGGTAATGGCGTTGTGGGATTTGTTGATACCTCCATTGACCAGGCCTATGTACAAATAATGATGCCTTCTGGTAGGTCGGACGGACGAGAAGCAATGCTACTTGAATCCCTAGCAAGCTGCCTTTAACGGTAGGCCCCTAGGGTGAAAAGCATCTGCACTAAGGCAGGGAAACGAAATACATGCGATCTGCTCTACCACCAGCCATTGAAGTGCTTGTCTACCTAACGCCTGGGTGTTCCTCCAATACGTGAGCCCTTTTGTTCTTCTCCTCCATGTGCAACTCCAGATGACGGTTCTACTGGAGCTGGTGGGAACCGAATCTTGTCCCATTCACTCCCTGAACCCCCTTTCCTAGCTGGCTCGCAACTACAGTAGCTTCACGTACGGCTCTAGCCACGGTTCCTCTTACTCGACCTTCTTCGAGGACAAGCAATCCACCGATCGTACATCCACCCGGGGTGCTGACCTTGTCCCTCAGCAAAGCAGGATGGTCGCCGTTCAGCACCAGTCCCGAAGCACCTCTCATGGTCTGCGCGGCCATCCGCTGGGCCTCGGCGCGCGGCAGGCCCATAGCCACAGCGCCATCGATGGCCGCCTCAAGCATCAGGGCAAAGAAGGCGGGGCCGGAGCCGCAGAGTGCCGTACTGGCATCCATGGCAGTAGGTGGGAGGTAGACGACTTCGCCAATGCGCTTGAAGATCCACGTCACCAAGCTGGCTTGCTGAGGTGGTAAGGGAGGTTCGCTGGTTGCAATGACAGTCATACTCTCGCGGATGAGGGAGGCGGTGTTGGGCATGGCGCGAACGATTGTGCATTGCTGGACCTCGTCGTTCAGGTACCCCTGGATCTGGTCGACAGTCACGCCAGCGCATATACTGATCAGCAGCTTGCCAGTCAGAGCCGCAGCCATGCCAGGCTCGTTGAGTATGTCCTTGACCATTTGTGGCTTGCAACCAAGGAGGATTACCTCGGATTCGGAGACCGCATCAACGTTCCGCCCCTCTAATACCTTGACATTCCCAGATAGGTCCCCTAGAGCAGATGTTACCCTCTTGGCTGACTCTCGTCGCCTCACACAGGCGACGAATTTGCTAGGGAGGCGGGAGGGCACCTCATCCTGGAGAGTGGAGATTCCAGAAGCAGAGCCTGACTTAGAGATAGGAGTATCATTCAAAGACGACAAGATACCCGATAAAATGGCAATTCCCATAGTTCCTGATTACCATTAGGCTATTGAATTAGTTCTTCGGAAGAGGAGAGTGAACATACCACATCCCAGCGCACACAGGGTGAGCTCCCCAGAGCTCTGATTTTGTGGCATGGCGAATTTCCAAGGTCCAGTCACACAACGCGTAAACTTTCGTTGTGAGAGGAAAAAAGAAAAGATTAAAACAACCAGTGCCTTTCACTGGCAAATCCGCTTGATATTGCAAAATGAAGGGAATGAGAACCCGAGAGAGTGAATAAGATATAGGCGAATAGTATGTGCATTGCACGGGGGATGTAACGAAGGCTTCTGTATACTACGTTTGATTTATTAGGAGTTTGCTTTTTCGAAGGCCCTCGAAAACCCTTGTCCTTTGAGATCTATGTTCAGCGAAAGCTGTTACATCAAGCAGGACCTCGAATCGTTGTGATAAACTTGGATACCAACAACCCTCACCGAAATTTTCTAGTCGTCGATATCGGAGGTAAACCGTCTTGTCTACCGTTGTTACAGCACCTTACTCCTCCATTAGGATAATAAATGTTAGTTCGCCAAAGGTATCAGTACCTCTTCAGTAAGGCATTACTACCTTTGTAGAAGTTGATAGACGTAGAGTAAAAACAGGATATTCGAGAGCTTGATGAGTATTACGACTCTCAGCATCGAGTATCTTCACCCTTTAAGAATTAACGTATATTACCTAGGCACCCTGGCGGAGGAGTATATCCCCATTGTCTGCGCCGGTTCAGCGGTACCTTCGCACGGTTCCGCGCTAAGAATGTATGCCGCCACAGGCAACTGGGGGTCTCAATGCGGCTCGTTCAACGCCCTGCCCGGTCCTGACCTAACACTGGTGGGGTTCCCGTCTTGAGCTCCAGACCTTCAAGTCCTTCCACAGCGTGATCGACGAGGAGAACAACAACCTTTCCAGTATCATCAATCGAAGACCATCCAAGATGGCCGACCCTTTTGAGGTCCGCATGCGCTTTACTTCACAGCTGCAACATCTCAACGCGTCGGTCACTTCAGCGCAAAAGGCTGCCCAGTATGCGCTCAAATATAAAGACATGGATGAGGATCTTCACTCATGCATACTCGAGCAGCTCGAGCGGGTGGGTTGATAAATCGCTTCGTTGTATCTCATGACGGAATAAGCCTGTTAATTGTAACTCCAACAGAATAACATGAACACGAGAGCCAACATCATGTACTTCATTGAGCATTTTCTTGAGATGGCTCAGAAGGACGGCCATGTCGATTATGTTCGGATGATGCAGCGAGACATCATCCGCGTCGTTGACGCCGTCGCTCCGGATGATGGTACAGGCGCCGCTAACGTCAAGGTGGTTCGAAAGGTGCGTCGGAACGTCGTCGAGGTATTCTATGAGTACCGCTTTGCTGACCCTAGGACAGGTTCTCCAAGGTCTTCAACATAAAAGCTTTCTGCAAGCTCAGACTGTCACTGAGATTGACGAGATTCTCAGAGAGCGTGACACCTCAACTCACGACGTGAGCATGTCTTCGCCGGTCAACGGCGATGCTAACCTAGGCGACATGCCACCATCCCAGACCATCCCGAAGCCCAACCGTGGTCCAGCTCCGCAGCGTCTAGACAAAAAGCAGATCGAGCAGCGCATCGAGGAGGATCGCGAACGCCACAAGAGACTCCGTGAGAGTATCTGGGCCGTCCCCACAGATCCCAAAGATGCCGAGATGTGGAAGCTTTTTGAGGAAACGAGTGACCTTGGTGACGATGATTATCTCATGGCCGAAGAGGAAGAGGCAGAGCGTCAAAGGTGTCTGCAACAGAGTTGCCCTCATCGTCAAGGCGATCCCGAGGGCCATGCCCCGAATGGCAAAAGCTCCCACTGATGTGCTTCACCTTGCCTTCGACATCGCATTCAGACCACCCTGCGATCATCAGTGTTATCGGACGACTGGAAAGACGGAGCGAGATAGGCAACTTGTCTTATTGAGTATGCATTCATCAAGAGCCAGCTGGACAACGCAATGAGCAAATTGGTATGTGGCAAACGCCCTGATGTTATTTCGACGCTAATAATGCCAGACACGAAGGTCAAAATAGTCGACTATTCCGCGTACGAGGCAGTATTCGATTGGCCATTGCAAATGGCCGGGGTCTCTACAGCTGTTTCGGCACTCGAACGCCGGTACTGGCTTACATTGAGATATCGACGAGAGGCCGAACTTTAATCTTGATAGGCTCGGCCATGCTATCTCACAGAGTATTCTTTGTGCCGTTATATATTAGTTATAGGCTGATTCGGGCAGGATATCTAAAATCACGTATGATACCCAGTCTCGTCTTGCGAGACATAGAAAATAAAAAATTTCACCAATCTCTGCCATAAACACCGTGATGTTGTGGAGAAGATTCATTATATGGCCTTCTTCTACAATGTTGGTACACGTGAATTTATACATGTAATGTTTCCTGCCATGTCTTTGGCCCGCCAAGCAATTTCGTACAAATCACTCCATCACAACCGTAGCGCCCAGCTCCTTCATCGTCGCAAGGATCTTCTCGGCTTCGTCCTTCGGTACGGATTCCTTCATCATCTTTGGTGCGCTCTCAACAAACTTCTTCGAGTCGACCAAGCTGAGGCCTAGCAAGTTCTTGATTTCCTTGATGACCTTGGGTTTCGAGCCAGCCTCGAATGCCGTCAGTTTCACGCTGAAGAGAGTCTTCTCCTGGGCTGCAGGTGCCGCGTCGTCTGCCTCCTCAGCCGCTGCTTGGGCTGCAGGAGCTGCGGGAGCCGCTGCGAAGCCTCCGACTGGCAGGTCTGGGATGTTTAACCGTGACTTGGACAGAAGTTAGTTTCCACCAGCCTAAGCATATATTCATCCCGTTCATGTATTCGTCTCACCTTCAAGCTCGCAACAAGGTCGGCAGTCTCAAGGAGAGTCAATTGGCTAATCTGGTCGACGATTCCGGTAATCTTGGGGTTCAATGCTTCGGTGGATTGGTGTCGCCGTGATATCCTCTGGTGCACAAGAGATCCAGAGGTCCGGATTGCTGAGGAAGACCGCAGCTGACGAGCGCAGCATTGCGCAGCATAGCGGCACGACAACGACATATTGAGAGGTCGAGCTGGGCCGCTAATTGAGGGACGAATTGAGGTTTACAGATGCGGAAGCTATAGACTGGACTGTCGATGCTCAAGCAGATTTTAAGATCAGGTCAAAACGCTCCTAGCATACCCGAGCTCGCGATTGGCACGGCACCTCGTAATCCCGATCCGCTAATTTTTTTGGGTGCAGACAGGGACCTTCTTATCGATAAAGAAAAAAGTTCCAGTTGAAGGTCTCAGTGAAAGTCGTTGCTTCACGCAAAAGACGACTTTTCACAGCCAACATGGCGAATATCGATGTGAGCCAGCAGAGGCTGTCTCTGCTAGGCGACGCGACCACACTGGGGTATCTACCGCCCGAGTTGCTTCACATCATCGAGGATCAGAGCGCGACGAACGTCTTAGATGTCATTGCGCGGGTGGCGCTCACACCTCGACTTACAGGACGAATTTTCGCCCATTTTGAGTCTGTCTTCGCAGATATATGCGCAAGATGGGTTCTCAACCCACGACCAGGAAACGAGAATGATTTAATAATAGCGGCATTTGCGAGAATATTGCCGTTTGCGCCATCTCTTTCAGTCTTTCTTGACAAGTATCTCGAAAGTCGATCATGGAATGAAGATGTTTCGCGCGAGGCCAGCACTGATGTTTTCAATTTCAAGCAACTTGCAAGACCAGCTCATGCAGCCTCACTATTGCAGAGCCTGCTAACTGCATGGCGTCTCATTAGCTTTGATAGGAGGAAATATGCCCGTCTCGTCAACCCCGAACACATACAGGAGCTTTTCACACACCAAAGGAGTCCTGTCAAGTACGTGGCAATCCGCGTATTTTGCCAATTACTCTCCGCGTCAGATCACAAGCTCGAATCTCTCATTGGACAGTATATCTCAAATGATGAGTCTCTGAATGGTGACTTTGACGGCCAAGACATTGATTACACCTTCTTATCCTTATTCGAGCATACTCGTGCGGAGAGTATACATGACCAATGCAAACAAAATCGAGAGGCGCTGCAGTCTCATGATATCGACACCATAAGAAATGCTCCAGAGTCACTCACTCCTCTCGTGTGTCGCTATGGGAATGTCTTGCTCCCTCGCCCATTAGGACCTCCCGCTCAGTCACCATCACTGGTGTTTACACCAAGAACAGTCGACAATCTCGAGAGTCTTGCCAAGCTTCTTCTCCAACCAGGCCCTATCCTACTCCACGGACTTCCTGGAGCTGGTAAAACATCACTTGTCCAGGAGACCGCCAGGGAATTAGGCATGGACTCGGGTCTAGTGACTTTACATCTCAACGAACAGACAGATGCCAAGATGCTCATCGGGCTTTATACAACCGGCGTGAAGCCAGGATCGTTTGAATGGCGACCAGGTGTTCTAACCACAGCTGTCAAAGAAGGAAGATGGGTTCTGATTGAGGATATCGATCGAGCTCCAAACGAAGTGATGAGCACTCTGCTTCCACTGATCGAGCGTGGCGAGCTTCTGATTGCGAACCGTGGCGAACGGATCAAAGCTGCCAGTGGATTTCGTATTCTCGCAACAGTGAGAAGTTCTATCGGCATGAACGGGCAAGAGAGCCTTCCATCTCTACTAGGCCTGCGCTTTTGGCAATTGCTCTCTGTTCAACCTCTCCCTGAAGTAGAACTTCGAGACGTTATCACACAAACGTACCCTCGCCTTCATAAATTTGTACCTGAGATACTCTCGGTTTTCAACCGCGTATGCACACTCCTTCGTACGCCAGGAACGGTATCTGGAGGATCCGCTGCATTAGAGCGTCCAATCAATTCAAGAGACCTCTTCAAATGGTGTAGACGACTTGACCGGATTCTACTATCTGCCGGAAGCAGAAATGGCGATGAACCGATAAGCGAGACTACTTTAGATTCCATGTTCATGGAGGCCGTGGACTGCTTTGTTGGAAATGTCAAGGACTCCAACATTCGCGACGTTCTCACTATCAAGATTGGCGAGCTTATGGGCAGATCCGAGCAACGCGTCGAGCACCATCTGTCTTCTCATATTCCGCACCTCGAAGACAAAGAAAGCAAGTTCGCGATAGGGAGAGTGATTCTACATAAAACCAAGCAGCACGATCGCATGACGAGGTCAAAACGACCATTCGCAACGACATCGCATGCAAAGAGACTATTAGAGCAAATTGCGGTTGCTGTCGATCTCAGGGAGCCGGTTCTACTTGTAGGAGAGACCGGCATTGGTAAAACTACCGTTGTTCAGCAACTCGCGGAAACCCTCGGTCACAGGATGGTTGCAGTCAATCTTTCCCAGCAAAGCGAAGTTGGTGATCTTCTTGGCGGCTTCAAGCCTATTAATGTTCGAAGTCTTGCAGTTCCACTAAAGGAAGAATTTGAGGATCTTTTCGCTTCCACTGGTATTTCTGCGGAAAGGAATCAAAAATATCTTGACCAGATAGGAAAGCGCATGGCTAAGGGAAAATGGACCGAGGTAGCGAAGCTTTGGCGCCAAGCACCGAAAATGTTCGATGAAATTCTCAGAAAGCTTGCGGAAAGTGAGCTCCAAGCAAAGGAACGAGAGGATGGCCAACCAGCAAAGAGACGAAAGACAGGATCATCCAGGCTGCAAACATTGCGAGAACTGAAACCGCGATGGGAGAAATTTACTCAGAATCTGGGCCAGTTTGAAATCCAAGCCTCGGGCGGCTCAAATAGCTTTGCCTTTGCTTTCGTGGAAGGCAATATTGTAAAGGCGGCTCGGAATGGAGACTGGGTATTGCTGGACGAAATCAACTTAGCGTCTCCCGATACTCTGGAAAGCATAGCAGATCTTCTGCAGTCGGGTCCAAACGCATCTCCATCCATTCTCCTCTCAGAAACGGGAGAGATTGAGAGAATCCATGCCCATCCTGACTTCAGGATCTTCGGTGCCATGAATCCAGCGACGGATGTGGGCAAGCGAGATCTACCGATTGGCCTACGTTCAAGGTTCACCGAATTATATGTCTCAAGCCCAGATAAGGACGTCAAAGACTTGGTAATCATCATAAAAACGTACCTGAAAGGCAGCAGTTCGACAATCGACAAAGCTGCCGACAACGTCGCTAATCTCTACTTACAAATCAAGGCGTTGGCTGAGTCGAAAGCGTTGGTTGATGGTGCAAATGAGGTTCCGCATTTCAGTCTACGTACTTTGACTCGTGTGTTGACGTATGTTAACGACGTTGGGCCATTCTACGGACTCGAAAGAGCTCTGTATGAAGGTTTCTGCATGGGTTTCCTGACTTTGTTAAGTCAAGAGTCTGAAAAGCTTGTGGCACCTCTCATTCTAGACACATTATTTGGTAAAAATCCCAATCGCCGACGTTCTCTCCTCTCTCATCCACTCAAACCGCATAACGACGGGCGGCAGTATATCCGCTTTATGAATAAGGATCATGATAGGCAGTACTGGCTGCTCCAGGGCGACCAGCAGCCTCAGGAGCGAAATGACTACATTCGCACCCAGTACGTCGAGCGAAATCTGCTTAATCTTGTCCGGGCTACATCAACAAGAAGGTTCCCGATCCTTATCCAAGGACCAACTTCTTCGGGCAAGACAAGTATGATTGAGTATCTCGCCAATTACAGTGGCAACAAGTTTGTCCGCATCAATAATCACGAGCACACGGACCTTCAGGAATATCTGGGGACCTACGTGTCCGGATCCGATGGCAAGCTTAAATTCCAAGAAGGTCTCCTCGTGCAGGCAATGCGTCAAGGTCATTGGATTGTCCTTGATGAATTGAATCTTGCCCCAACAGATGTTCTCGAGGCACTCAACCGCCTTCTAGACGACAATAGGGAACTCCTGATACCGGAGACACAAGAAGTCGTGCGACCTCACGAGAGCTTCATGCTCTTCGCCACACAAAATCCGCCCGGCTTGTATGGAGGTAGAAAGGTCTTGTCGAGAGCTTTCCGTAATAGGTTCCTTGAATTACATTACGACGATATTCCCGAAGATGAACTAGAGTATATTTTGCAGAAGCGGAGCTTGGAGACCGCACCGTCTGACTGCAAGCGGATCGTTACTGTCTACAAAGAGCTCTCGCGGCTTCGGCAGACTAGTCGCGTCTTCGAACAGAAGGACAGTTTTGCTACCCTCAGAGACCTTTTCCGATGGGCTCTCAGGAAAGCCGACAATAGGGAGCAGATTGCAACGAACGGGTTCATGTTGCTTGCAGAGAGGGTCCGAAACGAAGATGAAAGAACAGCCGTCAAAGAAGTCATCGAAACGGTTTTCAAGGTGAAGATAGAACCCGATCGTCTTTACACTCCAACCTTCGGCCCTTTGGCTCAATTCGAGAGGAAACAGAACAGCCAAGGCGTTGTTTGGACTAGAGCGATGCGACGACTGTATGTTTTGGTGACCCAAGCGCTCCGGAATAACGAACCAGTCCTTCTTGTTGGCGAGACTGGTTGTGGAAAGACGACAGTCTGCCAGTTGCTTGCAGAATCCATCGGCAAAGAGCTCCATATCGTCAATGCCCACCAGAACACTGAGACAGGCGATCTAATTGGATCTCAGCGACCTGTGCGAAACAGAGGAGCAATCCTTGATGCACTGAGACAAGATTTGGAGTCAGTCTTACAGCAACTGAAGCTGTCAACAGAAGGAAGCCTCGAGGACCTTTTTGAGAAATTTCGAGCCCTGCCAGATGACGTATCAGCACAGATTTCTGAGAAGGTGAAGGACAGAATTGCCTTGAACGAGGTTAGAAGCAAGGCTCTGTTTGAATGGTCAGATGGTAGTCTTGTCCACGCAATGAAAACAGGTCAATTCTTTCTTCTTGACGAGATATCCCTAGCAGATGATTCTGTTCTCGAAAGGCTGAATTCTGTTCTTGAGCCCCAGCGAACCCTGCTACTTGCTGAGAAGGGAATTGATGACTCTTTTGTCAAAGCCACACATGGTTTCCAGTTCTTTGCCACTATGAACCCAGGGGGCGATTTTGGTAAAAAGGAGCTATCACCAGCACTAAGAAATCGGTTCACCGAAATTTGGGTGCCGCCAATGACCGAGAGCCAAGACGTCTTGGATATCGTGGTCGATAAACTGAAGAGCGAACTCAGCAACTTGGCAACAATCGTTGTGGACTTTTCGTATTGGTTTGGCCAGACTTTCCGGTCTTCTTCAGCAACAGCTTTCTCAATTCGTGACATCCTCGTTTGGGTCAAATTCATCAATGAATCGTCTCATTTGTCTCCTGGTTTGGCCTTGCTACATGGCGCTGCTACGGTGTTCATTGACACATTAGGGGCAAATCCATCGGCGTTGATGGCTCTGGACCCCAAGACCATGAACGAGCAGAGGCAATTGTGCCTGGACAAGCTCAGCACCCTGATAGGAGATAAAGTGGATGTCACCCCGATGTACCGGAATCAGCCAACCATTCATTTTCACGATGAAATACTTTCCATTGGCGAATTTACTATTGCTAGGGACGTCACTGGTGACTCAGAACCGGGTTTTGCATTCGAAGCACCAACCACAAAAATGAATGCGATGCGAGTTTTACGAGCCTTACGGGTGAACAAGCCCATTCTTTTGGAAGGCAATCCCGGTGTGGGCAAGACAACATTGGTCAGTGCTCTAGCAAGGGCATGTGGGAGACCTTTGACAAGAATCAATTTGTCTGATCAAACAGATCTCATGGACCTTTTCGGCACTGATGTTCCCGTCGAAGGAGCGGAGGCAGGCAACTTCGCCTGGCGAGACGCACCCTTCCTGCAGGCCATGCAGAAAGGTGAATGGGTACTCCTGGACGAGATGAACCTTGCATCGCAATCGGTCCTCGAAGGTCTAAATGCATGCTTAGATCACCGTGGAGAGGTTTACATCTCCGAATTGGATCAAATGTTCAAACGCCATCCAGACTTTCGTCTTTTTGCTGCCCAAAACCCTCATCATCAAGGAGGCGGTCGAAAGGGCTTACCAAGCTCTTTTGTGAACCGTTTTGTGGTCGTCTATGCGGATGTTTTCACGGTGGAAGATCTCTTGCTCATCGCCAGCAAGAGGTTTCAAACAATTCCGGAGGCAACAATTAAACATATGATAGAGTTCATCGCCAAATTAGACCACGAGGTGGTTGTTCAGAGATCATTTGGTTCACATGGTTATCCGTGGGAGTTCAACTTGCGCGACACTCTTAGATGGCTGGAGCTCCTATCATCCTCTGACACTTTACTGGCTTCAGGGACAGCTGCAGACTTCTTGGATGTTGTGATCAAGCAACGTTTCCGGAATGCTCCCGATAGGAAAGCAGTGGAGACGATCTTCTCCGAGGCATTTCAGACAATGCCTGACGGCCACAACCTATATCACAACTTGAATTCGGGTATTGTCCAAGTTGGACTGAGTCTAATGACTCGCAACATATTGTCTCAACCTACACCATTTCCAAATATTAACGACGTATCGAGACTTGCGGAGATCGAATCTTTGATGATTTGTGTCAAGGAAAATTTGCCTTGCATTCTTGTTGGTTCGTCCGGTAGCGGCAAGTCTGTTCTATTACAACACCTTGCAGCCCTCGCAGGGAAAAGCTTGGTCATCTTCCCTCTTAATGCCGATATTGACACAATGGACCTTGTTGGTGGATTTGAGCAATCGGATCCTCTGCGAGAGATTCACCTTTGCCTCGATGAGGTCCGTAGCGCTTTGCAAGATTTCATCTTGTCAACCGTTCCGAAGCAGATATCACGGGCTGCAATGGCCTTGCTGACCCGGCTTGACAAGTTCAGCGAATCAGATTATTCCGATATCTCTTTGAGGATCCAAAATCTAGCCACAGAGGTCTCTGTATCCTCACAGCTGGGTCAGTTGCTCGAGAAAGCATACCGTCTTTTGCAACAGCCGACAACACTAGCTGATCCACGTTTTGAGTGGTTAGATGGTGTGATCGTGCGTGCGATGGAAGGAGGTCAATGGCTCGTACTTGACAATGCAAATCTTTGCAGCGCCTCAGTTCTTGACAGGCTCAACTCACTTCTTGAACGCCCTGATGGGTTCCTCAGCATCAACGAGCATAGCGGAGCGGATGGCGAGCCTAGGATTATCAAACCTCACCGTGACTTCCGTATTTTTCTGACCATGGATCCTCGGTACGGCGAGCTCTCACGCGCAATGAGAAACCGATCCATCGAAATTCATATTGACGCAAATCTCACGCGTATAGCGTCATATACTTCGCACATCGCCGCAGTAGAGTCGAGCATGCAGAGATACTACGCGATCACCCAAGTGGTCAACGAGCCAGAGTCAGATCTCAGCAACGATCTGTCGAATTTGGCTCTTGGTAACCTTTCTCTGGACGATTCAACGATGCTCTCAAAGTACCGTCAAGCAGTAGAAAACGGACCTTTGATTCAGAAAAAGTCAAATCTAAGCTCGTTCTGCCAACATATTGAGACATTACTAGAGTTCATTCGATCGCCCAGTGCCGCTAGACAAGGCATCCTTCATCTTTATGAGACCACCACCAACTCTATTCATGTTAGCTCTAGTGTGGAGTCAAAGAGCCCGACACCCCTATCCACGCTCCTGACACGGACACAACCAATCTACCCACTCAATAACGCTCCTTTGGTGATACTGGTTGGAGGAGATAGCCCGGTAGTGGCTACTTGGTTGGCACTGAGCTTTGACTTCTTTCTTGAGGTTCAAGCTGCTCGCCTCGCTGGGCTGTTCCAGGAAAGACATACAGACAAGACCAAACCCTCATCTTTGAACCGGTTCCAGCGCTCATGCATTTCTGGTCAGATAGCAACCGTTGCAAAAGACTCGACAGTTCATGTTTCACGCTTTCTATCATCCGCAGTTCAAGACTTGAATATCTTCTTCCAGAGCGATGACAACGAGATGGCGGATGTACCCATAGAGGATTCACAATCGATGGTGGCCAACTCATCCCCGCGAACAAGGTCATTCATGCGCGCTTTGATGCATTACTGGTGGAGAACTTTCAAACTTGTCACTGGTCAGGTATTCGACGAAGCAAAGTTCCAGGCGCACCTGAGGCAAGGAATCGATTTCTTCACATCAACTTTGTCGACAGTTGGGCAGGGTCCCGTGCAGCAACTGATACACAAGATCCTGCACGGCATTCAAACCGACTTTGTGACGGGTTTCAAGCTCTCCACCGGCTTGAGTATGGAAGCACTTTGGGAATATCTCAGGCCTGAGCCTATACGTGACGAAATGGCATTGCGTCTCACACAGAGCGTCGAGCAACTGGCAAAACGATTCGATAACATCAAGTGGAGATCCAATGCCTCTCTAACCGATTTGGCTCGGGTGGTGTCATATCTCAGCAAGGCTTACAGTGATATTCTCACAGGTGCTATCAACGTGAAGGGGCTGTTGGAAACCCTTACATCAGATATTCACTCGTTGGAGTCCAAACTCCAAGAGTCACAACAGCTATCTCCTTTCTTCGCAGTTGAATTCGAGATGCTAAGGCAGTCATTGATTCTTCATCAAATTTCTTGTCAGAACACATCCTTCATTGGATCGAAGGAATCTCTTCTATCAGACGTACCGACAATCGTGGAAATGCACATTCGAACTCGGAGCCCATCAGACATAACTTCGCTCATCAATTACCTGATGTGTCAAGACTCAGTTATACACCCTTGGGTCGGTACACAATCAGCGTCGCTGATCCACAAATTTGACTCGATAGGGGCAGCGAGCCTCTTCTCATTACGATCCCTAGAGGTGGAAATACCGCATATGGGCAAAGCCCTCGCAAATTCTTCGGAAGCTACCACCGCAGACACCATCGCTATCCTGAATGGGATCCTTCTTGACCTATTGAGGGCAATTGCTTCACATACGTCTCAAGAAGCAGAGATCATAATGTCGTCGTATGAGCGCCTATGCAGACAAGTGGCGAGATCTGATCTCCAGGTAGAAGATTGTGGCTTTGTCGTGGACGTACCTATGTCTGAACTGAAGCTTCAGGATTCGAGTCTGGATCACGCGTCTGAAGTCGTGAAAGAGCATTTCTTTCCCGCACTCCTTGCGCTTGAATCTGCTAATACACCTGGCAATAGGAGGATGGCCTTCGCGGCAATCTCTTGGGTTCAATTTGCGATTGGATGCATCAAATTATACGTCCCAGATAAGGTCTTTGACCCGTATCTCAGGGCCGAGACGGAACGAGAATTTCACGAAGGGGTTCGCGAGTTATTGCAACATAAACTGCAGGCAGCCCATGAGTTTGAGCAGATCTTCACGGGTCAAGTCTCCAATTTGAGAACTGTCTCCCTGGAGGCGGAAATCAGTGAATTGCCACAACTTCCGCCAACAGCACAGATGATATATCGGCCATCCAATGTTGAGCTAAGCCGCTTACAAGGAGAGTTCAACAACGTGCTGAACGCTGTGCTACGGAATAACGTCTCTTCTATGCATTTCAGATATATATCCAAGCCCTCTGCATCAGGAGCACAAGAGCTGCAACTTGTCAAAGATAATGTAACGCAGCTGATCGGGCGGCTATCAACTCGCTTTCCAGCATATCAGGATCTCACGGTGCCGTTGATCAACTTCCTTCGCTGTCTCCAGGTCGGGCTGTCTTTAACAGACAATATCAAGCAAACAAGTTCACAAGACTTGACTCCCAGTTTCCTCGAGATAACCCCTTTTTTGGGCGGAGATTTGTCCATTGTCCACAAGCCCCTTCCAGTTCGAGAGCTTGAAGTATTATCGGTTATTGGCTCTCTTTCGAGTATAGATGGGGTTGATAGGCTTGATCCGCACGTACGGATGTCTCTTTTCGAATCACTACACTTCTACTACAATGAATGGAGTAGAAAACTTGAGACGGATCGCAAAAACGAGGCTGCGAAGAGCAGTTTGTATCAGTTCAGGGGTAGTCTGGAAGATGAAGAGGAGGTGGATGCAGCTGAATTCGAGCAGCTCTTCCCCAACTATGAAGAGGATGACGGCAACCGAAAGCATGTTGTCCGAGACATATCCGTCAGGTTAGCTGATCTCCACAGCAATATCTTTGTGTCGCCCAAAGAGTGCCAACAAAGCTTGCAGGCTCTTTGCAAGCTTGTTGGCCGGAAGCTCTCTAAGAACACGCAAAAAGGGTCTGAATCCCAAGCAGACACGGATAAGGCCTTGCTCCCTGCTGCTCTCCTAGTGCTCGAGGAGAAGGTGCATGAGTTCAATTCGGATTTGTCTTCCAAGACCTGCAACTTCTATACTGAGGCTAATCTCATTGAGGCTCGGAAGCTGGTCAGACTTGTTAACGCTATCCATGCTCGCTTCAAAGAGCTACAGTCAATCGATGAGATAAGCATTCTCCAGACCATCGCTGATGTCATAATGGCGTGTGATCATATACTGGAACTCAGTCACACCGAACCGCTCGCAAAGATGATAATCAGGGTTGAGAAGTTGCATCAATTCGTCGATGAGTGGGAATCAGGCCATCTAGCAGCTCGTCAATATGGAATCCCTACTCTATATAAGGAACTCGTATCGATGATAGTAGATTGGCGGCGACTCGAGCTCGCCACATGGAAGAGACTATTCGACATGGAAACCAAGAATTGTGAGGACGACGCCAAGTCCTGGTGGTTCGTGGCCTACCAAGCGGTCATCGCCATACCAATGTCGAAGTTAGAATTGGGAGAGAATCTTAGAGACTACGCCGCGCAACTGGTGTCTGACTTGGATATGTTCTTTTCAACAGCCATTCTAGGTCAGTATCAGACACGTTTGCGATTATTAAAGCAATTGCAGGCACACCTCAAATTGTTGACCGTGGACTATCCCTCACTCGACGTGATCCGAAATGCCCTACAGAACTTCATCTCGTTCTATGGACGCTACGAGTCCAGAATAAGAGACACCATCCACAAAGAGAGAGAGTTACTGGACAAGAAAATGAATGAAGTACTGTTGCTTGCTAGTTGGAAAGATACAAACATTCTCGCATTGAAAGAAAGCGCCCGGAGGTCTCATATGAAGCTATTCCGTATCGTCAGAAAATTTCGTGGACTACTCGGGCAGCCCGTGAAGTCAATCATTGATCAGGGATTACCTGATGAACACCACCATACCGGTAGTGAAGGGCACACTAGCGTACCATGGTCTAAGGCTGTCACCAACATGTCTTCCGTCACTTTATGCCAGCAACTTATTCCACATTGGGGAGAAGATTCCCAGAGTAAGCGCCTTTCAAAAGGAGACAAGATCGTCGAAATCATGGCGAAGACATCTCGTCTCCCAGATTCATCAGTCGAAGCTGCAGAGGTGGTCGATATTTGGGTCTCAGACCTCGCAGCCTCGATGACAGCACTGAGGAAGGAAACACCGCCTTTCTTGACCGACGAAAATAAGGAGATAGTCAAGCATCTTAAAGGCAGGAAGATGAGACTGTTCGAGGAAACTTTGAAAGCTATCCGCCAGATGGGCTTCACTCGCAACCTCAGTGAAAATCTCCAGAAAGGTCAAAATAATCTTGCAACTGCCTTCGCAAGAATCGACCCCCTTCACTCTAGTGGGGGTGACAGCATTGCGGAGATTGACTACTACTTCCACAAGGTCCTTGATCTAGCTCCACGTTTCCGCCAATCGCTCCAAAACCACTCCGGAGATCTAAGTAATGATGCTGTCCGGCGAAGCACAGGCTACCTGGAAGGAATTCTTTATGTGCTGATACAACAACGCGGCCGACTCGCTGAAATGCAAACCAATCTATCAATATTGGATAGCGAGGTCACGAATGTCATGGCACTTACTGCTATGAAGTGCGATGATGTGACAAAGGTCAAGGGCAGAGTCTCGGACCATGGCCGGGTTCTGCGCTGGCTCATTCAAATAATCACTTTTGGGCTACACCTAATTCAAGTCCATGGACGACTTGGAGACCTTGACAACTCGGACATCCGCAATCAACTTCAGGAGTGGGTGACAAGGTTCCAGGAACTCCAGGAACGTATACAAACAGAACCAGTCCTTCCTAAAGGATTTATCTCCAATGTTCAACTGAAATTACAAGACCAATTTGTTGATGATTTAGAGACATTTCGAGCAAGCCTAGAGACTCTCGAAAATGCACGCCCAGATCTGGCTTTCATCATTCAACAAATCAGACTTTGGACGACAATGACCGCAGAGGACGATCAAGACGGAGCCACGAGTGCGAGTATTGCAGCCTTCACTGAAGAAATCCTAATTCTTTCGAAGAAGATTCTGAACGCAGTACAGAAGCTTCAAGATGCCGCCTCAGCGCTACCCACGTCAATCGAGGATGCATCTTGGCTCTTAAAATACAGCAGTAGTCTCTCGAATGCTCTTGCGGCTCTCCATGCTAGTACGGTTGCGGACGGCATAAAATCAAGCTTATCTCAACTGAGAGCTCTTGACTTGTCATCTCCGTCCAATAAGCAAGCTGCATTTGCCCTTTTGGGTGTGGTGCTCCCGTTGTTTCAGCAATATACGAACATCTGCCACGATATCTTCGGCAAATTCACTGAACTACACCGTTCCACATCCAGAATGGCATATAACCTAAGTAGATCTTTCACTCAGCTAGCCTCAGAGGGCTTCTGTACTCCGCAAGAGAAGTCAAACGAAACATCTGGAGATTCCGGAAAGCTCGAGAGCGGTACTGGTCTCGGAGACGGCGAAGGGGCAGATGATATCAGCAAAGATATTCAACCAGACGAAGACCTGTCGGAGTTGGCGCAAGAACCAGACAAGGAACGAGATGGTGAGATTGAAGACGAGAAGGATGCGGTAGATATGGCGAATGAGGAGATGGAGGGCCAAATGGGAGATGCCGGCGGTGAAGAAGAAGACGATGACAATAACTCAAAGTCAGGGGACGAAAACGAGGAGGACGAGATGGATGAGGAGGTCGGCGACGTGGATGATCTTGACCCTACCGCTGTCGATGAGAAGATGTGGGACGGGGATGAGGAGGATGCCGATAAGGATCAACAAGGCGATCAGAGCAAGGGTCAGAAGAAGGACGATGAACAAATGGCGGCTGACGGGGCCGACAAGAAGGATGACCAACCCGAGAAGATGAATGAACCAGGGGAGCCCGAAGTGGACGAGGAGATTGGGCCAGAACAGGATGATGTGGTGCCACAGGATGAGCTCAATCGCCAAGATCAGAACGTTCAGGAGAACGAAACGCTTGCCTTGCCAGATGAGATGGAGATCGACAAGAATCAAGACAGCGCCTCCTCGGTCGATGACGGCGACCTAGATGCTCTCTCGGAAAAGCAAGATGATACCGAAGAGCAATCCATGAAGGAGCCAGAAACCGAGAGCGTAGTAGACGGCGATGACTTGCCGGACACCAATCAAGAGATCATAGACAAGGACAATGAAGAATCCGAAGCTCTTCCAGAGGGCGAGGAACTTCCAATTGATGACGACAACTTTGATATGGATATCGACGAGCAGGACGGCCCTGAAGACATCGAGGAACAAGATCAGATCAAGCAAGAATCACTCGATAATGCGAATGCCGACCAAAACGCTGCTCCAAGCGACGTGAAAAGCGGAGCCGGTCAGGAACAAGATGCCATTGAAGAGAGAGCAAATGAGCAGGATAGTCAAAACAAGGCTTCTCAGCGCGACCGTGGCGAGATGGGACAAAATGCAGAAGATCAAGAGACAGCTGCGGGCAACGAAGGATCTATGTCTCGACTAGACGAGGATCGTTCCCAAAATGACGAGAATAAGCCCTCCGAGACCTCAGAGTCACAGCCTTTCAAGCAGCTTGGAGACGCTATGGAAAGGTGGTACAGGAATCAGAAAGACATCAAGAATTCCACGGAGGATGAAGACCGTCCACCGCAACAAGACAAGTCCGAGGCTGAGATGATGAAGCAAGAATTCCAACACCTTCAAAATGACGACTCGGCCGCCGACGCTGAGGCGTTGGGCACGGCCTCAGAGGAGGAGGTTCGTCCCATAGACGACTCTATGGCTATTGATGACGAGACTCGGGATACTGAGAGCCGACTTCTTCCAGAAGACATTGAAAAGGAAGAGACAGAGCAAGATCAGGACATGAATGATAAGGAACTCACGAGCTTGGACGAACAGGAAACTCCAATGCAGGAAGATAGTCGTTCTGGCGTTGCAACTAGACAAGGCGCTTTCAACCGTGATCGATCCCCGTCTCCAGACGAGACCATACCTGCTGACAAGGAAGACAAAACGATTCAAGAAACGTCCACCCAGCTGTCAATTACTCACATCACCGATCGAGATAGGTCCTTAAGAGACTATTCTGAGTCTCTGGAGCAATGGGCTTCCTTTCAAACCAAGACTCATCCGCTGTCCCTGGCACTTACCTCTCAGCTGCGCCTGATATTAACACCATCTCAGTCAACTAAGCTCTCCGGATCATACCGTACCGGTAAACGTCTTAACATCAAGAAAATTATCCCTTATATAGCATCCAGCTACAAGAGAGACAAGATCTGGATGCGCCGTAGCATTCCCACCAAACGGGCTTATCAAATTCTCCTTTGCGTCGACGACAGCAGGAGCATGGGCGAGACCACATCTGGCGGCCTTGCACTCGAATCACTCGTCATGGTCTCGCGATCTCTCGCCATGCTCGAAGCTGGCCAAGTCGGCGTCCTGGGCTTTGGTGCTGATGTCTTCACGGCACACGAACTGACCGAGCCATTCGCGTCTCATGACGCCGGCGCGAGAGTCCTCCAGAAGTTCTCGTTTGAGCAGGACAGGACAGATATCTGCCTTCTGATCCGCCAAACCATCGACCAGTTCCGCGCAGCCAGGCTCCAAAGCGGCAGCCGCGGATCCGAGGACCTGTGGCAACTCGCGCTTATTCTCTCCGACGGCTTGACGCCGTCCTCCGCACACGACAAGATCCGCCGCCTGCTGCGCGAAGCCATGGAGGAGCGCATCATGATTGTGTTCATTATCATGGACGACTCCAGCAAGAAGAAGGGAGACAGCGTCCTAGAGCTCAAAGAGGCCAAGTTTGTCAAGGACGAGTACGGACAAAGCAATGTGGTCATTGAGCGGTATCTCGATACCTTCCCCTTCCAGTACTACCTCATTGTCCACAATCTGGAAGATCTCCCGGGTGCCTTGGCCGGGCTGCTCAGGACATGGTTTGCAGAGGTTAACTCATAGCGTCATTTGCATTCGAAGGCATGGATACGGCGTTTCGGTGTGTTTATAGAAAAGGAGAGCTATAGAACTGGCGGCGGTGTACCTACCAATGCTCAAGCTATTTTTGCACTCACAGCATAGGTCAATAATAAGATAATGTCATTGTAATTAATCACGTCCTATACTAGGCGGATATACGTGTTCATCGCTATGTCAATATATGACCGTGAAGTTGTAAGAATTGTCCACATCAAATCTCGTGGCTACAAGTAAGCACCACCGATCTGACATGACATACCTGAGACTAGAAATCGTCATGGAAGCGCGGACCAGCGATTTCACTAGTCCTACTGCCATTACCACACATCTGCCATTGATTACTCATTCGCCCTTCCTTTCATCTCTAAAACCGCGTTTGCTACCGCTGCCAGAGACGGTCTTGAAGCGGCGTACATTCGAAGACTTGAGCTTCTTCTTGAATAGAATGCTTGCTGTTGTGGTCATTCGCCTCTTCTGAATTGGGGACCTCCTGAGGAGAGAAGTAGGTGGAGATCTTCGGGTTGATGATCGAGACAACCGAGCAGGTCTGGGCGAAGATCTCCTCGTCTCCTCCTCTTCATTGTCCGCAATCTCTGTTTCCTTCTCGCTGCTGGAGAGAAGACTGGTCTCGGTGGTCCTGGTGTCTGCTACGCTGCTCTCGATCCCACTACTCGAACTCATAGTCTCCGCGCGACCAGGCGATACAGTTCGGTTGGATCTCAGGAAGTCATAAGGTGGAGCCACATCGGGGGCCTCGTTGGAGAGCACATCTGGGAGAATCTGTAGCACAGGTGTCACAGCGACCCTGGGCGTCCAAGCATCGGAGATACTCTCTTGATAGGTTGCGAATGATCTACGAACGATTTCACACTGGGTGAGCCATGGATGTTTCAAGGCTTGATCGACGGTCATTCGTAGTGAAGGATTGAATTCGAGGCAGCTGCGAATGAAACTCATTCCTGTCTTGCCGATGATTCTCGTGTCGTGGTTGAGATAAGCGAAGATTCCTTCGAGATTCGGAGAGCTCCCAGACTGGCCCTGGGCAATTGAGCCAGATTCCGTCCTGGGCATGATGATGTCTGGATCGAAAGGATTATCCAATCCCAGAAGGAACGACAGACACAGCGCCCCCACGGCCCACATATCAACAGATTGATCGTGGCCATCCTGACTGATTTGCTCACTAAGAAAATTAGTAAATGACAGGGCGGTTACTGATGAACGGAACTCACGGTGGGTGATACCCATGGCTTCCTGAGGCGCTGGTAATACGTCCAGAACTCAAGACATTGGCGCAGCCAAAATCGCCAATGACAATTCTCTGTGAAATACTCGGACAGACTGTGCAGAAAACTTATTATATAGCAATTAGAAATCAGTAGCTATCTGAGGTCAGTCAATGGGTTGTACATACTGTTCTCCGGCTTCAGGTCCCGGTGAGCCACACCTTTCGAGTTCAAGTACGACAGACCATGCAAGAGCTGCCGCATCACCCACCTAACCTCGATCTCTTGAAAGCGCTTCATCTGATAGATCATAGAAAAGAAGTCGCCACCGGTTGCTAGCTCAGCGAATGTGTACCTTTCAGCCAGTTTCAGCATATCATCCTAAGACTAGGCAATCATGACACTTACAAGGTATGAGGTGTCCTGTATGCGCGCTTGAAAGACACGATATTTGGCTGGAAAACTGTCAGCTTCTGACCCCAGTAGCGCAGGAAAAATCCACATACATGGTCTAGCTGGCACCAGATATCGACTTCTCGAAGAGCCTGTCGGGCTGCGATACCGTTCCAACCTCCCCAGCTCTTTGAGATGTCGTGAATTTTGCAAACGACCTGCTGCTTTGTTCGGGCGTCAATTGCAAGATGAACGCGAGCGAACCCGCCTTCGCCAAGCACTCGATTTGTGACAATGTATTGACCTTCGAACATCTTTCGTACTTTTAGTACATTGGTAGATGAAGAAACGCGAATTGGTGACTAACCTTGACCTCCTTCTTCTGAATGTTTGTGAGCTCGTGTAGACTTGCTCGCATCGCCGGCTGCTGGACGAGGATCCTGACATTTGATTTCACCTCGACGATGTCTCCGTCCTGAAGCAGATAGGCCGGTGTAATCTCAGTGCTACCTTTGCCAATCTGCAGGCCATTGACGAAGGTTCCGTTAACAGACTGGCGATCTCGCACATAGACCAGTGACGCAGCAGTAGACTCCGGGTCGGGCTCGACCGAAAAGAATTCGAGATGATTTCGGGAGATGTTGTAACCCGGGCACGTAATCAGACTGAACATCCGTCAGATCACCGACTCTCTTCGCAATCTCAATACCAACACTTACTTGCTATTCAAGCTGCGGCCAAATTTGACAGGCTCGCCGATACGGAGGAGATGTTCGTCTGATGCATCAAAATGTCAGTGATCTTATCTGAAAGCTCAAGGCTCCTAGGAGCAAGCTATATGAAAAAAACGCTTACGCCTCTCCATGCTGCCGTCTTGGTCAAGATCGACCTCGAACACGAGGTTTGCTACGACGTTCGTAGCCATGACGCTGGAATCGGAGTGAATTGAGGGTTCTCGAGATGGAATTGGGCTACTGCGGATGAGAAATGGAGGGTTCGAGAGGTGTACAGATGGAGGATGAAGGGAATTGAAGCGAAGAAAATTGTCAAGGCATTATATGAGTACGCTGGTGCTTCGAATTGGTGGTGTATATAGATACAATGGGCATAATAGGAGTCTGGGGGCAGGTCACGTTCAGGGGCACATCGTGTTAGTCAATAACGGCACAATAGACAATCAACACTATTGTTCTCGCATTGTAAAAGACCAAGTACGGAAATTTCTCAGTAGACAATACATTTTTATTTTGCTCTGTGATAAAATTGCAGACGTGCTCTCGGCCTATTGTGGCACATCAAGGGAAAGAGCTATTGACGACGATGCAATTCAGGGGTTGAGGAAGGAGTGAGATGAGGCTGAGAGCTTGGAGCCGTGCACCATTGAGGGCCACTAAAACCACCACTATCAGCTGGCCGCTTACCAGTGGAGGTGGAGCTAGGCGAGACACCACAGTGCCACTGAGTACCCCGCCAGCATTTGCAAAACACACCATAGTAACCTACCTATAATTTAGCGGGCGATGCCCCATTGGACATGACGTCAGGAGCTGTCTACCACCTACCTTTCCCCAGCCCTAGAGTAGGTGATGGATTCCCGAGCGATCATTGATGAGCTGGCCTGATCTGGACGTGCAAACACAATTGAACAAGCACAAAGCTTTCTACACGCCTATAATCTCATTGCGCTGGCCCTGCCGTCTCACTCATTCAGGAAGATGTCCACTCTCCTTCTCGCCCGCAGTGCCATCCGCCGGCATGCCGTTCCGCTTACTCTCAGCGTCTCGTCGGCGGCTTTCATGGCCACAAGGCAAAAGCCCATGCGCCTAGATGCCAGGCCCGCGTCTCCTCCACGGCCTATCGCAGAGTCGGACGAGTGGCTCGATCCACAGGTCATCAAGCAGATATCTGGAGGCAGCTTATCCGGTACGCCAACATTCACTTGTCATCTTGCAGAGAGCTAATGCGACTTGCTGATAGGCTTCGTGACGGGACTTCTAGTCAGCATGTTCTCCCGGACTTTGGTAGTCCTTGCTGGTGTAGCTATTGTAGCTATTCAGGTAATAACGTCCCTCTCACATGATACAAGTCATTCCCTCTGACTGGTAGCCAGGTTGCGTCAAGATATGGTATTAATCTGGTGGAGATGCTGAAGCTCAGAAAACGCATCGAATCTTCCAAGGTCCTCTCGGCCCTGAACAAAAACGCAACCTTCAAGCTTGCCTTTGGTATAACCTTTGCCCTGTCCGCATTCTTCCAATTCTAAGTACAATGAATCAATTAATTCAGCAATGCACAATGCTTGCAAGACCCCCAAATGACTGCTATACACTTTGTTTCAAAACGGTTGTGTCTCGCGCTTGAGCCAAGCCGTGGTCAGCTCATCAGATGTGAAGTAGTCCTTCGTCTTCGCAAAGACGTCGGCGTTATAGTCGTTCAGCCACTGCTTCTCCTCGCTAGTAAGAAGATTCGTGTCGATCATGTTGCGGCAGTATGGTACCATTGTGACATGCTCGAAGCCCATGTACGGCTTGTCACCAAATTGCTGATGTGTCTTGACCTCCCTGACCATAACGATGTTCTCAATTCGGATGCCAAACGAACCATCCTCGTAGTAGCCCGGCTCATTCGAGATGACGTTGCCAGCTGAGAGGGCCACCTCAGAATATTGTTTTCTGGTGCCTATGCCAATTGGTCCTTCGTGCACATTCAGGTATGAGCCAACACCGTGACCTGTGCCGTGCCTGTAGTCAAGACCCTCTTTCTGCAGACAGCTGTTAGTTTCAGAATCAGAGACTGCGAAGAGGCATACGTACCCATAGGAATTGTCTCGCCAGTCCATCCAGAGCATAACCGGTGGTACCTTTCGGGAACACAGCCATGTCAAGGGCAATATGGCCCTTCAAGACCAGAGTGTAAGCTAGCTTTTCGGCGTCTGATGGTGTTGTAAAATGCAGCGTACGAGTCGTGTCAGTTGTGCCATCGAGATACTGCGCCCCCGAATCGCATAGGTAGACTGCCTTCGGGTCGATTATTGAGCAATGGCCCCTTTCAGGCTTGTAATGGATGACCGCCGCATTTGCGCCGGTTGAAGAGATGGTATCGAAAGAAAGACCGACATAATTCTCCTGTTTCTTTCGCAGTTCTTCAAGCTTATCCGCCGCTGTCACCTCGTCTAGAGATACCTGCTTGGTAATGAGCTGGTCCTCCAGCCAAGCAAAATATTCAATCAACGCTGCACCATCACGGATATGACACTGTCGCATACCCTCCAGCTCTGTCTCGTTCTTGATAGCCTTAGCGTCGCCAATTGGGCTCTTAATTTCCTCGACATATTTCTCGCCTCCCAAAGCAAGCTTCAATGCCCAAGATCCCTTTGTTGAGATCAGGAACTTCTTTGGATCTTGCGGTTTCTCGCCCTCTTTAGGCACTTCCACAAACACCGAATCACTCAAAGCATTGGCGTCCTCGAACAAGCTCTCATATGACTTGATCGTAACATGGTTTTCAGCCAGATAGCTGTGGCACTCCTCGCTTAGCTTCGTGGAGTCAACGTATAGCGTTGCCGAGTCCGAGGTTACGATAGCATATGAAAAGAAGACGGGGTTGTACGGGATGTCATTTCCTCGGAGGTTGAATAGCCAGGCAATCTCGTCCAACATGGATATCACAAAGCCCGCAGAGTTCTTCTTCTCCAGTTCCTTCCGAAGCTCTGTGAGTTTCGTTTTGGCATCCTTGCCAGAGTACTTAGGCGGGAGGAAAGCCACAGGCTCTCTAGGCCGGGTGGGTTTCGCTTCTCCCCAAGCAATGTCTACTAAATTGTCCGATACAGGAAGCAGGTTAGACCCGCCGCGCTTCTTGATCTTCTCCAGGAGCTTCTCAGCTGTAGAGCTTGTGATTAGCGTTGGATCAACCACGACGACCTTTCCCCCAGCCGATTCGTCCGCGGACCATTCCTGCCACGTGGGCACGTCTTGGAGACCTTGTTTCAGCAGGACCCAATTCGAGTCCAGCTGCCTTGCTGCTTGGTTGAAGTATCGCCCGTCTGTGGCAAGGGCAGCCTTTTCGTGGGTGATGACTGCACATCCCGCCGAACCGGTGAAACCGCTTATAAACTCTCGTCTTGCGTCGCAGGAGGCGATGTACTCTGAGGCATGGCTGTCTTCGGAGGGGACGACTGCATCCAACATGTTAGCAGTCTTCGTTCATTGCACGTCCTCGGGCGACTACTGACTGTATACATCAACGTTGCGCTCTTTCATGAGCTGCCTCAACTTCGTCAAGCGTGCGCTGCTGTCGACGGTCTCCATGGTGGGCTGGGGAGGGTGATATGTTGCGTATCTGCAGACTGAGGCTGCTATCGGGGAGGGATTGAAGGTCGCGGCAAAAGTCCTGGGTGCTCTGCACTTGGGATCGAGAAAGTGGACGATGACAGACCGAGAAGAAGAAGCGAAGAAGGGCCGTGGCCAAATATGTCTCATGGGGAGGTAGGAGAAGTAGGAGAAGGGACGTGAGTGAGTGTGTGGATGACTATGAGGTAAAGGTAATGCAGCAGCCAGCTCGAGCTGCCGTCTCGGTATTGGGTATTGGACTTCTCAGTGCAGATGCAGGTGTATCTGTCCCGCACACCCCACTTCTATCTAGGTGGTGGTCCTCCCCAATCCTGCTGGCAGCCGTGCAGACGGTCTTCCCTAATGCGGAAACGGATCCAGGTAGTTAGTTAGTTCTGTTGTTTCTGCATAAAATGCGGGAGGCTTCTATCGGCTTTGATTTCTGCAGATGGTCAATAAATGCTGTTTAGTCAGTTGAACGTGCAATTAAGACCATAAGATGCTTTTTGAGCCAATCTAAGGCAGGTCGTTTGTGCCCAGGTACATACCTAGCTATCAAGGTTCGGACTACCTGAATGCATGAATACATGAGAAGCACACGACACATGCCCGGCTGCCACCGGCCTCGGGGCTTCGGGCGGCCCTTACCTAATCCCATTGCCCTGTCAGGCCCCGCAATCTCCAGCTCGTCCCAGGGCATGGATAGTGGTTGTGCGGCACACAGACTGCCGGCCCCGGCTGATAGCCACAGCAACTTTTCTGCGATAAGGCGCCTAGAAGAATATATCTATCTACCGAGCTCACCACCCCACCTGTCCTAAGATTCCGTCCAACGAGAGATACTTCAGGCCTCAAGCAACTAAGTCGCCAAACGGGCATGGCAGATAATTGGGCATCGCGAGGCTGCACACTCGCAGCTGGAATATCCTGACAGGAAGAATTGCCGTTATCCGAGATTGCCTCACGTCCTCTGTCTGCCTTGTGCATCGCAACACTCGCTCACCAGACAGAACCACGCAAGTGACGAGAGTCTCCTTTTTCACAGCACATAATTCTCTGCCATGAACCTCCTTTCCGGAACTTCTAGTAGACAGGATGGATCAGCTACCGCTACCTTCATCGCTAGATGAAGTGGAAACAGTAAGCACTTCTCACTGCCCTCTTGAATCAACTTTGAACGGCTAAAGTACATCATCTAGTTGATCTTAGCACTTTACCAGCCAAACCCCCCTGAGACAGTGTCCAGAATTCAGGATGTCCTCCAGCGCGTCCAACGCTCGCCACAAGGCTGGCAGATTTCTCATGGCCTTCTCGAGAAGTCGAACGACAATGTCAAATTCTTTGGCGCCCTCACGATTATAGTCAAGCTGAACACGGCCAGGTAATGCTTGCAAAACATGTCTGAGTCTTCGAAATAGCTGACCATTCTTGCAGTTCCGCACTGAGCGAGGACGATGCAAAACAACTATTGCAAAGTCTGATAGGATGGTTTGTGAGGTCGCTGGCAGACGGCTCTGGACCAGTTGTGATCAGGAAACTATGCTCAGCTCTCGTCACTTTCTTCATCCATTTCTCCCAGTATTGGCCCAACTGTGTGCAGCACTTGGTGTACTGCCTCGATATTGGCCGCGCTGTACCCGTTGATGACGCCAATGATGCCACTCCAACTGCAGAGATCATCAGAAGCTTGGAGGAGAGCAAGTTACTTGCTGCACTATGGTTTGCCGCATCCTTCGTGGAAGATGTCGGGAAGACGGAGATGAATTCCCAGAAATAGTGAGTTGGCCTACAGAAATCAAATCTATTCAGCTCCTGGCCTCAGTCATTGGTAAATGACTAATACAAATCAGCATGGGTGCTCATGAGCGTCTCCTGAAAAACTCTCAGGATATCACTACAATGCTCGCCGGTGGCCTGATGCTCGAGTCTCCCAATAGTCTCCGAGTGAAAGCCGAAGCAGTCAAGTGCTTTCAGGTATGTCACAAATTTCTCTGCCCACCTGTCCGCATCTAGTTCCTGGAGATGTTGGACATGATAGATTGGACTTCTGACTAGTTTAGGCATGGATCCTCTATGCCCAGAGGGTGTCGTCCACCACCGACGAGCTGGTTACACCTCTTCGTAATCTGGTTATCCCCACCATGAAATGTCTCCTTGTAGAAGATCTATATGATTCTACCGTCGAGCTTTTCACGGATGTTCTGTCGAACTATTCAGGATTCTTCACAGAAGAGCATTATGACGCTATGTTTTCGTTATTCGAGACTGAATGGTCTCAAGAACGTTATACTCGTCTTGTGCAAGGCGATTTTGACTTCGACTCGGTTCAATATGGCATGTTTATGATTGCCTTCGGAGACGCCAAAGTTCAAGACCTCATGGAGGGCCAGGACCCCAAATCCAAGAACATTCTCTCTGGCCTATGTGGGCTACTAAGTGCTACAGGTTACCCAGTGGGCGAGGACAAAATCTTTGTCCCAGCTCTCGAGTTTTGGTCTACATTTGTGGAGACAATGACAGACTGTATGTATTCAGAGGAAGAAGGCATGCAGAACTGGATGCCTCAAGCCATGGTCCAGGTGATGCAGGCTGTTTCAAACTGCTACGGCAAGATACAAATGGTTGATAGCATCACCTGGAAGGACTGGGATTCCACAGAGCGAGTTGGCTGGAACGATGCCCGCAAAGACGTGGCTGATTTTCTACAAGCCGTGTATCCGCTTCGCGGGCCGTCTCTGGTAACTACCTTTGTGGACTTGCTCCTTCAGTCCATTTCATCACGGCACTGGGGTCAGATTGAAGCCGCCCTATTCTGTCTTGGTGCTATATCCGATTGTGTCGGAGACGAAGGCACTTGTGATACGGATTTGCACAAAATCTTCTCTTCCTCCCTTTTCCAGCTTTTAGGTGAGGGCAGCTCTATCATTCCCCACCGTCTACAACAGTCGGCGCTCTCTCTAATAGAGCGTTACTCGGACTTTTTCGAGCGTCATCACAAATATCTCCCTGATGCCCTGAACCTTCTTTTCGGCTCTATTGGCGACCCACTTCTTGAGGGTCCTTCATCCAAATCTATCATGACACTGTGCTCTTCGTGTAGGTCTCAGCTTGTAGAGCAAGTTGAGATCTTTCTTTCCCAGTATCAGCACCAACACAACATTGGTGGACTTCACTCATTACCAGAGGAGAGGATTCTCACTGGCATAGCCTCAATCATTCAGGCGATCTCTCAAGAGGAGCGCAAAGTTCAGACTTTCGAGCATCTGCTTTCTATAATTCAGAATGATGCACAACGTTGTCTTCAGTTGAAAACAAACCCACAAGCGTTCCACTCAGACGACCAGTGGCTGCAGGCCAGGCTTGCCATTGATGTTGTCACGGTTTCAAAGCCACCGTCAAGTCCGGACGAGGCTGCTCTGCTTGTGGCGGAGAGAGTCCTACGATCTCTAGCAAGTATTGCACGAGGCATGCAAGGTCTAGCTGAGGGCCCTGTGGACCTGGATAGCGATGAGGCGGCCACAACACAAAGCAGCAATGAGCACTTAACTCGTATTCAAAACACTATTATGAATATCATGGTTCAACTGCAGGACGCTTTTAGCCAGAGTGGAGAAGTCAACGAAACAATCTGCAACATATTTCGAGCTGGCTTCTCTGAGACGGAACCTGGCCCTTTCGTATTCGCACCCAACACGGTCATTGAATTCTTCACCCGACAGACTTGGCAGAATCCTAGGATAGGTACCATGGTGAGCACCGTGTGCTCATTTATTAGTTCATTAAACAACACATCCAAGGCTCAAGTTAGAGACAGCCTTTATAGGCTGCTTCCGTGGATTGTGAGTCTGCTGAAGGCATTGCCTGGTAAGAGCCCCACCAATTCCTCTCATAAGTCGGTAACTGATGTCCTTGCAGAACCGGAGACAGACTCTGAGCTTGCTCAGAATGGCATCGAGTTCGTTAATCGCTCCGTGACCAAAAATCCGGAAGTCCTGCTTGGGCTGCAACCCACTGAAGACTTGGAGTCCTTCTTTTTGTTCGCGCTCAAGGTCCTCAATGGCAAGGAACCTCTTCCCAAGGGTGCGGCCGCGGATTTCTGGGTAAGATAGACGACTTACGTTTCAATGTATGAGCGACTCTAACCATATTCACTAGTCTACATTCATCGCTCTTAAAAGCCTAGACTCATCGGTGCAAGCCGCCATCAACAATGCCATGGAGTATCTGGGCCCCCTCATAGCTCAATCTCTTATGCAAAACATTGGTGGTAACGCATCGCGAAGCGAGCTCGACAAGTTGAGCGATCCGCTCAAGAAGCTGGTCGTCAACCAAGTGCACTCACAACGTTGGTTAGAGGCAGCGTTGTCTGATGATTCGTTCCCAGGCAAACAGGTTTCACGAGAGGAGAAGTCGATGTTTCTGAAGAAGATCATCAAGTAAGTTTACTGAATCTTCCGGGATTTAGACAATGGACTGATCAAGTATCGCTAGCCTACGCGGGAATCGACAAACAAATCAGGTTGTGAGGGAGTTTTGGCTTGCCTGCAGAGGCTCTAATTTTGCCTATGCTTCATGACAGCTTGTATGGCAAGGCATCTAGGGTGGGAGCTGCTCGTGCGCACTTGGTTTAGAAAAGCAGTATACAAGGGAATGACGAAGGAGCGAGCAATGCTACAAACGGTCAATAGAAAGGGATATTGCCAAAAAGTGACAGATCTGGGCATTGAGTGAGGAGTTGGGGTATCTCGAGCATTACGCATAGACCCTCTAAGAATACATCCATGATACATCAGAATATTTATAAATCCTTTACAGTCCTACAGCTGCTCGTACACCTTCCATCGTCTCCTCCGCATTAGCCCTCGCTTTTCGTGCACCCTGCTCTGCCACATGGTCTATATACTTGCCATCATCCTTGGCGAGCATTTCAAGGTATCTCTCGCGGATGTTACTCAGACCGCCATTGATAGCATCGGCTGCCTTCTCCTTCAGCGCTCGCAAATTCGCTCCGCCGAGCTCCTGTGCGATTTCCTGAGGACTGCGCCCGGCTTCATCAAAGATGGAGATCACCTCGAGAAGATTGGACACGCCGGGCCGGGCCTCTGGGTCATAGGACACGGAGTTGGTGGAGTCGGTCAGGGCTGACATGACCTTCTTCCGGATTTCCTCGGGCGTGTCCGTCAGGACGATGCGCGAACGAGGATCGGCGTGTGACTTGGACATTTTCTGCGTGGGCTGCTGAAGAGACATCACTCGCCTTGCCGGAGCTACAGAGTTTAGGTCAGCAGGCAAGTAGACATACGTTTTGCTGAGGGGGGACTTACACAAGATCGTCTCCGGGGCCACAAGCGCGCCGCCGTATGTGTGGTTGAAATTGGTCGCACATTCGCGGGCAAATTCGAGATGTTGCCTCTGGTCATCGCCTACCGGGACATGTGTTGCCCTGTAGTTTTCGGTTAGTGAAAGTGGCGTTGCAGGTACAAGGGAGGAACGTCACCTGTGAACTAACACATCGGCAGCTTGGAGGACCGGGTAGGAAAAGAGGCCAAGTTTCAGTGATGATTTTGCCTTCTCATCCAAGAAAGATGAGTCCTGTGACAGAGAAAGCTTGCTCTATAAGAGTTCATTAGAAAGGCGTAGACATTAGACTGATGGAGCGCCAACCTTCCACTGCGTCATTCGCGATAAATACCCCATAGACGCGGTGCAGCTTAAAATCCACATGAGTTCTGAGTGAGCAGAGACCTGTGGCAATAATATTAGCAAAAGAACATTTGAATATTGCATCTTAGACACTTACAGAAGACTGGTAGAAGAGAATTGACTTCTCAGGATCCAATCCGACAGCAACTAGCGATGCCAGAGATTCTCTTTTCCACTGCCTAAGCTGCTGCGCATTCTGCGGCATCGTGATGGCGTGTAGATCAACAATGGAGTAGAGTAGCTTGGCCCCCGAGGCAGCTTCATTCTGCAACTTGACCCATTGTCTAAGAGCCCCGAGATAATTCCCCAGATGGGGGATGCCGGTGGGCTGAATACCCGAGAAGATCACGGCATTGCTGGAGATGGAGCGCGTCTGCGATAGCCGCGCAAGGCTGCCCAGTGCCCGGGCCGTCCGAACCGGCCTGCACAGCATTAGTTATGGTTGTGAGGAGCTCATCCGGGCGTTTATTATCATTAGATGCGATCGGGCGCCGAAGAAGGTGAGTCTAGAAATCGATGTTGAAGTGATGTTACGGCAGTGGAGCTTGGTCCAAATTTTTGGTCATATCGTCTGATGAACTAAGATCCCAACCCCAGGTACAGCACAGCGCATCGGAGTATCGTCTTATTTGGCCAAAGATAAATTTCGCTTGTAAATGGTGTTCTTTGCCTATGGCTACGCTACTTTTCCATATACGCGTTTTACCCATACTGGACAAACACGTCCACGGTAGAGTGTTGTTCAATGTTGGTCTTAAGCTTGTGATATTGTACAAATTATGATATGACTACAAATCTACACAAGACACCAAGGGCTATCTGCCTGAGTAATGACATTGATCTATCTTCCGCCTGCGAGCTTGAACCTCTCACTTGTGAGAAGTTCTTCGACCTTTTCAATCGTTGCGCGACTCTTGCTGGTATCCGCCATATGCTCCCAGTGTGGTTCGAGCGTACCCTCAATCTCCTTCATGTTAAAGTCTATTTCCTTGCCAACGCCTATTGAGAATGTTAGAAGAGCACAAACTCCAAAAGAATGAGCAACAACTCACCAAGCTTATTAAATTCCCACATGTTGGCCTTCATACCCACACCGTAGTACTGGTATTTCTGTAGGAACGCCAGCCACATCTGCACTGTCTCCGGGTGCCCATCGCGGATCTGGATGAGTCGGCGGCAGGTGATACGCTCGAAGTTCTCTTGCGACTTCTTGAAGATGAAGCTGGCCCTGGGCACCGTCCAGCGCTCCGTGATACGTGGCAGCGGCGTGGGACCGAACGCCGGGAGGCCTAGATAGTAGGCAGCGCGCAGCGCAAAGTCGCAGAAGAACTCGAGGTTGCGGACGCTATATGATCGCAATTGCAGGTCGCAAGATGGCACGCCATATTCAGCTTCGCGGCGCAGCGGCTTTAGGTAAAAGGCCTGCACGTTTCGTGGTAGACGGGAGGCCTTGGTGGGCTCGGGCGCCGCGTTCTTTGGGCTCGATTTCGCGGCTCGAGGAGGTTTCGCTCTGTTTTGGAGTCAGATATGGCATTACCGGGTGTGGGAAACTCGCTCATAGAAGGTTTGGCACATACACCGACGCATTGGAGCGGGTTTGCGAAGTCTGTGAAAGGAGGTTATGCTGCGCTTGCACAGGGATTGCAGGCTGCTGACACGGATCGATTAGCTTTGGATTGAGGCCGATCACTGAATCATCGTTCTCTTACCAGCCGCCTCTGTATTAGGCCCTGCAAGGGTCGTATTAATGGTGGTGCGTTCATCTCTGCATGGCTCGCATGTGTCGATGTCTGGGTGCAAAGATCACGGCTCATCCAGGACTGGACTTTTTAGCGTCCGCTCGCCTAACCTGACGGAGCTGTTATCGATAAGCCACTCCAAACTGCACTTTTTTCGACGGCGGGACGCACTTGAACTACATACACAGGACGATAGTTACGAAACACGTATTTCGAATTTTCATTCAAAGTACTTGATATAGAAGCTTGATGTTGTGGATTGGCTGTCTAAGCTGACGATGCGAGCTACTGCACCCGTTATACAGTATTAATCTCTGCCAACCTCAATTACGATTTAGCGAATCTCCCATCGCTAATAGACTACTCCCTCCTGGCAGATTCATGCTCCCAAAAGCCTCGGCCATAGTGGCGTGCTAAAGACTGGAGCGACGTGCTGATTGAAGGGATATGATATCCTCTTTCGGGGCATCCACTTTCAAGGTCCGAATAGATCTTCCCATGACGGGGTGCATATTTTCGGTGTCCTGTTCCTCGGGATGTTGTGAACTAGGTCACATTGGTTGAGAAAATGTTCTTTCTGACTTGGCAAATAGCGAAGCCAAGATCATTGTATTCTCAAACTCCGCGCCGTCTCCGCGCCATCAATTTCTTGTAATGGCTCTTCTTTCCGCTTGTTGACCTCTCCTGGATTTCGTTATATTTGCTCTTGAACTTGGCATTGGACTCTGCAGAGCCAAGAACTTCTTCGACAAGAGTGCGCTTCCGCTCTTTTCGGGTTAGGCGTGCACTATAAAACTCTGTAGGACCTTCGATGAGAGTTCCTACTTGGGAGAACTCTGGCAGCGGGTTTTTCCTCGTGTCCTTTTTGAAATGGCGCTTCGGGTCCAAGACTGATCGCATGCGTAACAGCTGGAGATCTCTCTTAACATTGGGATCTGCCAGATTCGTTCGTGGTAGGTGATACCAGTCCGGGCCAGCATCGTCTGCAGCAGTCTGTTCGTGGTCAGCGATATGCCAAGTATCATATTATGACACAACGGATAATGAGGTGAATTCCTGTCAGAGTAACTATGAACAAATAAAAAATCATGTGTGTGCAGGACTTGATCCCATGACGGGATCTTGTCAATGCTTCATAGAGATTTGGGATTTAATTTCATCATGCAGGAGAACTGGGAAAGTCATAATTGGACGAACCTTGCTCTTTTTAGCGACCAGCTGAGGAACTCGTACAGAAAGATCCTTGGACTTCTTCACTATTTCGCCTTGCTGTCCGACCTCGCCAGAAGCGGCTCTCACGGCGAGGGAGCCTGCCTCTGGCTGGTTGACCTTGGAGATGGCATGTTGCTCAGAAGCATTGGATGCCAGCCGGCTTTCCGCTTCTGACAGCAACGCCTCTATCTGATCATCAGATATCTCGAGCGTTGCGGCTCCCATGTTGGCAGCGCCAGGACTGGAAGTGCTTGCTGGAGAGACTTTGCCAATATGGACTCGTGGATTCACGACCAAACAAGTGCCCAAAAAAAATCCTGGAGCTGCGGGTAGCACTGGGAAAGCTCAGGAAAGTGGGGCATGACTTTCCATGGATCAACACGTTTATCCGGAGCCGACCAGCCGACCAGGAATCGGCAATAGGCGGTCGGCAGAAGGAGATGTGCCTCAGGCATGGAACAGCCGGTGCTTACTACCATCTGGGAAGGACAGAGCGAAGTACCTATGCCGTCATCTCGTCTCATCCGATCGCACTTACCGGGGCGAGGCTGGTGGTGGATGACTGACAACTGGCAGTTGGGCAGATGGACATGGCCTTAACAAGGGGCCTGGGGGCCTCTTGGGCTGAAGACAAGGGGACCGAAAAGTGTCGGTAAGGTGTGCACTACCTGACACCAACCTACCTAGAGCTAGCTACTCATGTAGACTTTGTGTGCTTTGCGGCCTGCGCCACATCTAAGAGTCGGATGAGGGATGGATGTCATGTACAGAGATTGAAAATTGGGGGTTAGTGTGCAGGTGTGCAGCTGTTCTGCGTGTACCTAGATACCTCACGTCTCAGGGTTGACCTGCCTGACCGCATGTACTGTACCTACCTTCCGGCTTTACATACAAAAAGTGACTGCTGCCCAACCTTTCCCATTTGCCTCGAGTGCTGGTGTTGCACAATTCATCATCTCATCATTTTGGGCTGCCTGCCTTGGTTTTGTCGGAGAAAAAAAGAAAGAGAGTATCGTAATCCGCCCTTCCACGAGCCTAACTAGAGGTTATGCACAGCCAGAAGGCAGCAGAGAAAAGGATATAAGATCATAGGCTCAGGTATGTCATTCCTGTTAAATGTCAATGTCAGCCGCCTACTCGTTTCTTTCAATGAGCTTTCGCCTTTCCCAAGTCCCAGCATTCCCAGGCGTCGAATCGCTGCTCGTTGTCGACCGCTGGTCCCCCAAACCTAACCAACCTTACCTTGCTCGGCACCACTCGAGCTGAGTGGCTCCTCCTCCACCTGACCAGGCGAGCCAGCCCTTCAAAGAGAGCACTCAAAACTCCACCCATTCGCTACCTTACCTCCACTCCACAGCCAATCAACAACCCCAATCCCCCAGAGCTCTTTAACAGGTCGACGAGGCAGAACCATCGTGTGCCTGCGTAAACAAACACTCGACAAAGCGCAGCTCATTGTGCAGGATTGCTGAATATCTCAGAGGCGTGCAGAACCCGAGCGACCCCGACCCAGCCATCTCGTCGCACGATTGCGACTCGCCACAAACCCGATTCCCCCGAATCAGTCATCACGCTCTCGCGTAAACCGCCTGTACAATGGATCCCCAGAATCCATCCTCGGGGCAGCAGAATCGGCCGCAGCCGGTCTACGACACCAGCCACGGTGGCCACTACGGTAAGTCGCATTGCATCCGCATTTCCGGCCTCATGCGACCGTGTACTGACCTGTCGATTGTCTAGGCGCAAGCGCTGCGGTTTGTTTTTGCACGCATCCACGACCATGGCAGACCCCGCTAATGATGTCTCCAGTTGTCCGCGCAAGGGTATGCGCCAGCAGAGCTGTATACAGGACCATGGGCAAACGTACGTCCAGCTGCAAGCGATCTGAGTCGCGCTGTATCTTGCTAACATTCTATCTGCGATCAGGTCCACCAGGGCCTTAATGGCCAGTATAAGGACATCCTGACTACGTACTGGCAGCAGACCATCAACCACCTGGAGAGCGACACTCACGACTACAAGCTGCATCAGCTTCCCTTGGCCAGAATAAAGAAGGTCATGAAGGCGGACCCTGACGTCAAGATGATCTCAGCCGAAGCACCAATCCTGTTCGCAAAGGGGTGTGACATTTTCATTACTGAGCTAACTATGCGCGCTTGGATCCATGCCGAGGAGAACAAGCGACGAACTCTCCAGCGGTCTGATATTGCCTCGGCTCTGGCCAAGTCGGACATGTTCGACTTCCTCATCGACATTGTTCCTCGTGAGGAGGCATCCTCTCACTCCAAGAGAACCACTGGCCAGGCTCAAGGCGTGCCTGCCCCCGCCCCTGGCCAGGCTCCGATGCCAGGCCAACACGTCCAGGCCCCGAATCACGCGGGCCAACACCCTATGGCGGCCACAGACTACTCTATGGGCGGCCACGCTCTCGCTCCGGAGACGGATTACCGTCAAACCCAGAATATGTACCCTGGCCAGGTCCAGCCCGGTCCCTCCGCCCCTTATGGGCAGGCGCAGGCTCCGATGTATGGCGACATGCAGGACATGTACGGCTACGGCACCATGCAGCCGCAACAAGTAAGTGTTCTCTTTGCCTCCTCACTTTGACGTTTGCCTAATTCTTATTTGCATGCACCAATGCCACCTGAGGAATACGAGTAAAGTCCTAACCTGCTTGATCTCGAGTAGAGCGCTTAGGTGTGTCCTCGTTGAGGAGGAAAGATGGACAACAGCACTGTGCCCCAGGTAGTATCGATTTCAGACGACAGTTTTTATTCCCCCCAGAATGGCGGGCATGACATGAAGTTCAGCCCGACCCCTTAAGGACGCATTTCTTTTCGTTGAGGTCGGTTATTGTAGCTAGGCAGTGTTTCGGCGTAAACTGGCAACCAGGGTAAAGGGTATTTATGGCAATTCAGAAGAGCATTTCCCCCGTCTCTTGACTTCGGTATCCGCTATGCTGGCGACTCGTAATTTTCATTTATATCGTAGGCGTGCACCATGGAAATCATGTCAAATGGATTATCTCAAGCCGAAACGGGACGAGAAGTTGGCTAGGGCAGGTGCAGCGCGATTAGGTGCCTCAACAGTATGCGTGAGTTTCTCCAGTAACACAGGCCCATTCATAGCGTCGACACGGTTGTATTTCTTGTTCCTCATGGAAATGTCAAAGAACTCATCGTGGTTCTCGGATTGCATCAGAGCAACGGTCTGCTCAAGCTCTTCCAGATTGGAGCGCAGCATGAAGCCTCTCTCGAGGCCTTCCACAAACTCGACGAGGAATTTGACGTCCTTGGCCAAAGCGGCAACCCCATTAGGGTTGATATGCTTGACTTCGAATGACAATGGCAGTGCCAGGATCTTCTCGGCGGCATGGCTAAGAGCATCAAAGTAAATAAGTTCCTTGATTTCGCGCGGGAGTCCGAGCAGTGTGGAGTTCATAATGTTCGACAGATATCTAGTCAATGTCTGCATGTAACTGCTGGGCTCGGAAGAGGGCGTAGTTGACATCCTGGGAGCGTTGGTCAATCTCACGGATGAACATCACAAGCGGGGCATCGTTACTCACCAGTCATACTCAGCGGTATCAACCAGATCGTCAATCTTGGAGTTGACCAGCTCGAATATACGTTTCTCTGCGGTCTTTTTATTGCTCCGGAACTGCTCTGTGGCGCTCAGAGTTACAGGTCCACCAGCAGATGTTGATGACCGAGCTCGGATCAGCAACTGCTCTAACTCCTGGCAGGCTGTTTCGAAGTGCTCCAGGTTGATCAGGATCTGCACTATCTGACCCAGATACTGCGAGCTCAGTCGCTCAACAAGCGACTGGCAAACTTTTTCCGTCAAAAGCTCATCTAGAGACTAAAGGTATGAAATCAGCGTGTGAAAGGCGATCAAATGGCAAGCACGAACCTTTCGGAGAGTGTCATCAATGACATTGGGGTGTTGAAAGTGGTCATCAGAAAAGAAGTAGAACTGATTGAGGAAATTCCGGATATCAATGCAGCACAGGGGATACATCTGCGAGAACGGGAGGACACAGGGGAAGGTGAGCTCTTCTACCGGCTTTTCCTGTGTGAACCAACTGACGTTCACTACCTTCTCATATTCTTCCACCGTATTTATGGCCATAGGCATGTAGTCATCAGTGGAGACAATCTCCTGGAAATCCTCACTGAAGCGACGCTTGAGAAGTTCTGCATACTTATCAAACAGGGTCAACAGGAAGTTATCCAACATCGACACTGAATAGCCCCAGCCTTCCATGGTCTGGATGAAGAGAGCGATCACACCCTTGATCTTCAAAAGCACCTCGGCATTGGTCACTTCGTTCAGCGCTCTGGAAATGAGCCTGATCGCAGAATGGCACATTGAGTCCCATAGCTCGTCCACATCAACGGTGGTTCGCAGCTGTGGTGCGCGTCGCATGGTCGCCTTCTCGATGATTGCGAAGCCGGCAATACCCTCAAGCAAGCTACTCAGGGAGTTATCGTCGTCAGACTCGAGGTTGACAGTGCTTGGCATCAGCAAATCCTTCTGCTGCCGTCTAGTTGCTGCGTAATCGGAGCGAAACTTATCGCTCTGACCGAGAGCATCGTGGATGTGTAGACACTCAAAAAGTGGAGTGAAATCCACCTGCACCTCATCGTTGTCAAGGACATCAAACTCTTCGCTTTCGTCGAAGACGAGCTCGATTGCAGAGTTGAGCTTGAAATGGGACAGATAGTCATTCTTCTCTACCCTTTCGCGCTGTCGCGTTCTTCTCATTTCAGTATGGTAGAATGCTACTTCTCCTAGGAACTGCGAAGTCTCTCGAATGCGGAACAGCCAAGTGTTCAAGTCCGTCATTACGGCCTCCGATATTGTCTTCTGAGACGCCGGGATAGACTTTTGGATCAACAGCGCCAGCTGATGCTGAGTTGCATATTTGTTTTGTAAGATCGGTATCAGATATTCATTTTGTAGATCCTCGAGCGACTTGAGTGCAGCGTAGTAATTCTTCTTCCGAATCAAGTCGTGCGCGTGATTCACCGCAGTCAGGATCTTGAGCGACTCCTTGAGTGCGTCCGATGCGTCGGCAAGGTTCTGTCGTACCCCCCTTGTGTTCACCAGAGCTTGTTTTTGCTCCGCCAACTTCTCGGTGCTGGACTGTATGGACTGGTTCAATTCGAGGATCTCCGCCGTCAATGCAACGGTACCTTCGCGAACTTTCTGGAGCTGGTTTACGGAGCCCAGAAACTCCTCGTGCTTCGTCAGGCCGATCGTCTCGATGTCGGCTTCCCGGTCCTCGGCATATTGTGAGAGACTCTGTACGAGCGAGGTCGTCCTACTACTAAGAGATGCATCTTTCAAGATTGGAATCAGTTGGTCGAGGAAGTCGGAGTCGGTCGAGGAGAGAATGATCTATTTGATTGCGATTAGACACGGTCATGAGGGGTGGGCTCATCCATTATACGAACCTCGCTGACGGCAGAGCCGTAGTCCTCGTATGTAGGCGCCTTTCGCGGCATCTTCAATGCATCATGCGCTAAATGCTACGGGCATGCTTTTGGAAAGACTGTCCTGGGAACTGTTTTTGATTGTCTCGAGGATTGTTTCGCATGTAATAATAGCTTTGGGAAGTCGTATGTATGGGAGCTTGGACCATGACATCCCATTCCAGGCAGCCCTGCCAGTCGCTACCAGCTGTCGGCAGCTGGCTCAACTTCATCCCAGACATTACAAGATGAGGGAGACTAAACACCTACCATGGTCAAGATATGTCCTCCCTACCAACGGAGGTGTTCTGGATCTACTTGATTTTGAGATTTTCTGTTTCTCCAAAAGGGTCCTTTGTGCAGAGCTTTTTGATGGCAACTGACCTCAGATGTTTGATTTGGTAGAACTTACCCCTTTACCCCTGAATATATTTGAGTGTATATGCAGCCTCAGTCACCTACCTCACTCCTCCGCTGCTGCACTGTGTTTCAATATCTTCTATGTGGTATTTATCTATTGAATACGTGACAGAGGAAAATTGGTCAAGTATGCCTAGGTTCCAAGTTTCTCCGACTCATGGGTCGACCAGTTTTAAGCCATGGATCAGCAGTCTCCCCACGTACAGCTAAGCATACGAGGCAGCTCTTGAAGGTTTCCCATCAAACCAAATACCACTTTACAGCTGTTTACTGAGGATAATAGTAACTCCAAGCAATGAACCGTAGTAAATTAATGATAGTAGGTGTGTGAATCGCCATCTGTGTTCCTTGAGGTGTCCCTACACGTGCACGGAAGATGAATAAGATATGCCCACCTGCTCAAGGAATTCGCACCTACCTAAGGTAGTCATTACCAAATTACATGCCAGATGGCAGCCTTCCACTAAATTTCCCTGCCAGGCTTTCAAGCTATCTCATTATATTGCTATACGTAGGTAGGTCGACAAAACAGGCCAGGTGGGCTACACAAGCTTGGACAGTCAAAGCAGTGACCGGACCATACAAGCAACGCACTTGCCCTCCCAGAACCGAACTAAGCAACAGACAAGCCTTCACAGAAGTCGCAGCTTCCCTCACAAAGTCATCAATTACCCTTATCCCATTCCCTTCTTCCTTCCTAGAACAGAGCGGACAAAAATTTTGAGTAGACTACCGAAGAGCAGCAAGGCTTCCCATTTTCTTCTATCATTATCATATTTGGGCCGTCCTCTGTTTCAACCTCCTTCTCCCTTACACTCACGCTCGCCCGCTCTCACCTTCTCCCCCTTCCACTCTCTTGACCTCTCCCGTTTGATACCATTTTTGTCTCCGTATTTTGGTCAGGACCTGTCGACGAAGATTCCCTCTTTCTTCCCCTTGTCATAGCCACAGTCGTTCTCAACACATAATCCATTTTGGCATCAAGTAAACTGTCAAAACAACACACGATGGCGCAGACCAAGGAAGCTGCCTTCCACCTGTCCTCGCCTCGCTCTTCCAGTGGCGGGGCCGACTCATGCAAGCACGAAGGCACTCCTGACACTCGACTGACAGCTTTCTCTCCGGATGAAGGATCGATCAAGTCATCTAAGCTACTCAATGCTCTCAATCTGAGTGCCTCTAGGCCCTTTCCGGTGAAGTTCACAGTTGACTCCTACAACCCTGTCACCGTTCAGCAAGACAAGGATCCTTTCACTACGGCCACCCCGTCCAAGAAATCGGAGCAAAAGCTGTCTGCCACTGCTTCTGCTTTCCGACCCTTGTCGGCTGCACTTGTTGTTCGCGGCTCAGGAGAAGTAACCCCTAAGCCTCAAGAAGCTCTCCCCGTTAACAGCGACAAGTCTGTGGGTTCCATCTTGTCGGATTTGAGCACTGACCTGCACATCTCACGTTGCTTGGTCATCTCATCTCCGTCCAACGGTGTCACAACTGCCGAAGCAGAGTCCTATCTCTCGGTGAGTTTCAGGATATTCAAACAGCAGAGTGGCTGGGCTAATGCAAGTTTTAGGCATTTGAGCAGCTCGGCTCTCACTTTCAGGGCACGAAGCAAGTACATGGCAAGGCAAATAAAGCCTACGTCCGATTCTCAGATATTCGCGATGCATGCATGGTGCATGGGAACATTCAGATCGGCCGCAAGGACTGGGAAGTCCAATACATATCGCCAAACAACTTCAACCAGGTTTGCAGACAACACTTCTTTCGTAATTTCAAACTGACTTTGAACGATAGGCGGTCTTACCCGGTTCAAGATTTGCTACTTCACACGAGGGCCAGCTCGTTGCCGTTGCCGTTGCTGAGCCGGGCAATAACATCGACTCTGAAAATCTCGAGTCTTTCGTGTACCAGCTCCTACAGGCGGAGGGACAGTTGTTTGCTTTCCAGAAGCAGAATGGCTCTGAGGGCAAAACTTGCCAAGCCATTGTCGAGTTTTGTGATGCAACCTTGGCCCTTAATGTTGGCATCAAGTTTAAAGGGGTAACTGTTGAGGTAATTTTGCTGCCATTCTCCTATCTCTGATGTACTAATAATCATCATACAGGGAGCATACCTTGTTGTCTCAATGTACAAGCCAGACGAGGTCACGACAGTCGCGTCTTCCGATATCAACGGTGGAGCCTTGTCACCCCCTGGTGGTCCAATGACTGATCTCACGATGGGATTTCGAAACATCTCCTTCTCACAGCACCAGCCAACCACTGCCCTAATCAATGCTGGTCAGCAAACGCCGCCTCTCAACATGCACATTCAACACCCAACAGCCTTGATACCCATGGTTTACGGCGGACAGTACACAGCTGTTCCGCTTTTCATCAGTCAACACACGCCTCCCCGCACTCACAGCGCTACGTCGTCGACAACAAGCGTGTCTCTTTCTGGCCAGCTCTATCCGCAACTGGCCACTGCGCCTCAATTCGGATCAGTTCATCGCGAGTATCATAGCCCTAGATCCGGGCACAGCTATCGTCCAGACGCTCGTCGCCAGAACGCCGCACGTGTCAATCGAGGACCAAACACCTATTACAATCAAACCGGCCATCACAATCACGTCGACGTCAATCGCATTCGAGAAGGAATCGATGTTCGGACCACTGTATGTTAACATAGCGGGTGTCTTATACAGAGTGCTGACTATTTTAGATTATGTTGAGGAACATCCCGAACAAGGTCGATCAGGGCATGCTCAAGAGGATTGTTGACGAGTCAAGTTGGGGCAAATATGACTTCATGTACTTGCGCATTGACTTCGCCAACGACTGCAAGTAAGTGCAGCGGGCCAATGCAGTAGTATCGCTTCTAATAGGCAACAGTGTTGGATATGCTTTCATCAATTTTGTTGATGTGAGTGATAATCCTTTCCGCGACCTGCTGCTTTTCACTAACAGTGACATAGCCTCTGGACATCATTGACGTTAGTTATCCGTCTCTTCCACTGATCCAACTACTAAATAAACTATAGTTTGTGAATGCTCGAGGAAATCAGAGATGGAACTGCTTCAAGAGTGACAAAGTTGCGGAGATTTCCTACGCTAGTATGTGATGTGCCTCTTATGTGCAAAGTCGTCTCTAATTCACTTGCAGCTATCCAGGGCAAAGACTGTCTCGTGCAGAAGTTCCGCAACAGTTCAGTCATGCTGGAGACTCCCCACTACCGACCCAAGGTAAGTCTGTCATTCGCTTTGTTATGATACTTCTCTTATCATTATGATAGCTCTATTACACCTCGAACGGTCCCTTGCCAGAGCTCGCTGGTCAAGAGGAACCTTTTCCCGAGCCGGACAATCAGTCAAAAATGAAGCGTAGCTGCGAGAATGCAGAGCATGTTGGTATGTATAAGACTCAAGATCTTTGGAAAACCCGACACTAAGGTCATGAAAATAGGACTTTTCACTCCGAACGCTGGCCAGCACTTCCGCGACGAGCAACGTCGACGTCGGTCTCAGTTTGATCGAGGCACGCGGCTTGCGGCCCTTGAAGAGTACGACTACGAGACAGCCATTCAGAACTTCTACCCAGTCCAGTAGATCATTTGATCTATTAGCGATCTTCGGAGTGTCCTCTAAACACCGAGAGCCTACGATGCGACACTAGCAACTTGTGATCATGCAGGGAACAATTGCACAAATGACTTTAGTCATGCGACATTATTAATTTGCCTGATTTGCTATCTACGGAAGCTTCCTCCCAACTCCATGCCATATATATCCTCTACCCTTGCCAACACATCCACATGGCTTTCTCCAATCGTCACGCATAATAGGTTTCAAGATCCCAGCCTCTAATAGTACTATACAAACGCGATCTGACGGACTTCGTTCTTGGGACTGACAGCTTGAGTTTGCTAAGTGTGGAGGATCATTGGACTAAGTGCCAATTGATGGCCGTTAGTGGCCATGGCAGTCTAGGAAAGGGGGCCACCTGCTTTTTAGGCTTGCCATGCACCGCTCTGGGCTTGGGTTGGTACGAATAGAAGACAGAACATGGCTATGTCTTGCTATCGTGTAACAAAATTAGAGTAGTTTTTCCTAGGCAGATGACCGGAGCCGCGATAATGGGCTGGGCTTTCTTTATACTGCTCGCTGCCGTATTGATCTATGATGTACCTGGTGACATAGACGCGGCTTTCATAGTCGTCCTGCAGCTTTCATTTGACGATCGAAAATTGGGCCGGCTGAATGATTCTCGTTTCCCTACGATGGTATATATACTTCTTGAGTGACTATGTGTAAAAGTACGATAAATGCTTTCAACTTGGGTCTTCTGGCAGTGCTGGCAATGGCTTTCGAGGGTTGCTTATTTGTGACAATGATGATCGCGTCAATGGCGGTTTACTTGCGTCCTCTATACCATGATCCAATGCGTCCCTGTTAACTGCTGGGGGAGGGCTGACGCTGCCCTCAAGGTCCTCGAGAGGTGGGCTGGCAAGCCTTAACTCCTGTGATGGGGTGTAACTTTGCATGTCGCTGAAGAACTCGCCCGGTTCATCTATATGGATTGCAGGCGGAGTTCCATCATGTCCATAGTCTGAAGTTGGAGTCAGGGGAAGTACTTTCTCCGAGTATGAGTCGCTTCGCGTTAGCGGATGAAGACGATGGTCTCCCTGTACACTGTGGGCGACTCTATTGCGCAGTGGGGTGGGAGATTCCGGGCTAGAGAATCCCTCGACGGGCGCAGAGGGCGGCGTGGGTGTCATGAGGTTGGTGTTTCCCAGCATCTGTGGAAAGGCGAGGTCGATGGTGTTGCCGACCAGGCCTCTGGAGAAGATGACCAGCAAGAGGCAGGCCAGGAGCAGCACGGACTGCAGGATGGCCATGCGCTTCTGGAAGACGACCTCGTCGGCCAGGAGGTTGAGGCGGGAGGTCAGTGCGACGACCTCTCGCTGGGACTGCTCCCGCTGCGTCTCGAGCGCGATGACGGTCGACTGCCAGATCTGGTCGTACTGCTGCCTCACATTGTGGAGCTCGCTCAGGACCGTCTTGTTGAGGTTGTCGAGGAACGAGTCGACGCGAGAGATCTGCTTGCGCTCCATCTTTTGTAGCGCCTCCTGCAGGAACTTGGACTGGTCCTCGATGTACTGGAGCGAGAGCGTGGTGTTCGACTCGAGCAGCTGCAGGCGTTTGCTGACCGTCTTAAAGAAGCTTTCCTGAACCGTTGGAGACGAATTGGATGCCGATGCTGTGCTGGTTTTATTTCTGGGGGTTGTGTGTGTTACGCTGGATGACTTGCTTGATGGCGGAACGGGTATCTTTGAGGAGGTAGGTGGTTTACTAATCGGTGAAGAAGATGGAGAAGAACCCGTAGGCGTCTCAGACGACCGGTCCTCTGCGACTTGGGTGATATTTGCCACGATGCGGTCCTCTGGTATCGCAGTCATGGATGCTGCTGGAGCGGAACCATTGACCATAGGAGACGGCGAAGCACTGCCAGACAAAGCACTAGCGTTGGCCGCAGACAAGATGGACGTGTTCCGCACTCCTTCAACGGTACTGCCGGTTGCTGACGATGGGTTCGTGTTTGGTGCTTGTTCCTCCAAATCAACCATGTTGGTCATTTCCTCAACTGGAGGAGATACACGGACAGTTTCTGTAGTTGTCGGCGTTCCTGTAGCGCAAGTCTCGAATAGCGGGCCGGGATAGAAGGTGGGATACCAAGGTGATAAGCCCATTTCTAGAATGGCTTCCGAGGCATTGCTGTTCATGTCCGTGGTAGCTGGAGGGGCTACTTTAGGCTCTGCTGTCTTGTTATTTGACAACGGCTCCTGCTCCGGTACTAGCTCAGGCCCGGAGATTGTCTCCTCCGCTTCATCCTCCTCTCTTGAGCCTTCAGCATCTTTCCAAGAATCTAGCATTCTGGTGCCGTGGACCCTGAGGAGAGAAATCGGGCAGTAATACTCGTTTCCGTAGTGTGTGAGGAATTCAATGCGAATGTACTTTGCCCAGATCTTGGGATTCTCCACCAGAAAAGGTTGGAGATCCCTCGAATTCCTCGCTTCAAAGGTACCAATATCCTTCCACTTGTCGATCTTGACAGGGTAGCGGTCACTAACGCTAACACGAAATAGCCGTACCATGCTCGAGAAAAACTCGAAGTTTGCTAGCACGACTGTGTCAACAAGGATGTCCTCGCTCAACTCGACAATGACAAACTTGTTCTGCTGTGAGCAAGTGAACAGCATGTACGAGTCCTTGTTCTCGAGCAGGATAGCCTTGGAGTTCTTAGCTCCAGGGCTCGTCTTGAGAACTGTGGCGCCTCCGTCGAACGAGGAGAATGAGAATCTCTCCTTGCAAGTCTTGCCTGCGTCCTTGGGGCGCGGGTACTGCGCCATGCCGTCGTCATATAATATAGGCTCCTCGGCGATGTCCTTTCTTATGACCGACGAAGGACTGGGCCTCGTTGACGCTGATATTTCCGAGATCTTGTCTGAGAGCACATCGAAATCTAGCGCAATCTCTGCATCATCTCCTAAGCTGTCGAGGTCGCCATGGCCCGAGTTGATATACCCGTCTCCCCTCCCCTCTTGCTGTTTCCGAGCCTTCAATTCCGCAGGGTCCTGGCCTGCTTTGCGCAACTGCATTTCCTTCCATTCCTCGAACGACATGAAAGAACTCGTGGCTAGATCGCCAGAGTCCGTATCTTCCTCCTTAGCATCCTTTTGGGGCTCTGCACCTTTGTTCTCCTCAGTCACATTGTCGCCGGGCCGCTCGCCTTGCGTCCCATTCAGCACCGTGGGTTCTGCTTCATTACCGGCCGTGGCCGTCGGGGTGGCTGTCGCTTCGGTATGTACAGTCGAGTTCGCCGACGACCAGGCTGTGCGCAGACATTGCTGCGGTAGGGTATGTGTGATGTAGTTGATCGTCCTCGACTCGCACGTCTCCGGAGTGTAGGGCGCTCGCCCGTCTATGGACGTGTCTGAGCCATCTCGGCCTACAGCCAGTCCCGAGAGACTGAGAGCTGCAAGTGTAAGCCAGATCCTAGAGCTCCCGGGTGGAAGCCACATTGTGTAGGTTCAGCGGTGGTGTGGTCTGTGTCGACGGGCCATAATCGAGAGCGAGTTGTGCAGTGCTGTGCCTCTTGTATCGTCGTGTCTTGATATAGAAGAATCTTTCTCCGGGAGGTGAGCGCGGGTGGTCGAGATACCGGGTTTTGCTGCATTCAAAGTGGCCAGGTTGGTCTGTCCTCACACATTGACGGAATTGTTGGATTCGAGATTGCCACCGCTGGGGGCTGCCATGCTACCACACCGACTGCCCTGATAACAAAGCCGGCGCCAGAAATTTAACCTTGCAAGATACTGGGGGGTTGGCCCACGGTAGTGCCCCCACCAAGACAGCATGGGCCCCCTATTTTTAGTGCAGCCTTACAGCAATTGTTCTGAGCGCCGCCATCTTGAAGAACCCCACGCTGCGTTTCAAAGCCTACAAACACTACAAACGAGAGTGTCTTCTGCAATTGTGAATAGATATTAGGGTGCTAAGGTGGGGAGAGGGATAGGAGGTACAATTGTGGGTAGAGTTCCATTGCTCATAGTAATTCCTATGGCTCAACTTCACCTCTAAATTGGCTTCTTCACTTTATGTACAGTCTTCCTGATCTCGGCCATCATCATTTGCCATGCATGCCCTACGATGTGTATCATTCCTGTATAAAGAAGCACACAATTGACGGCTGTGCATAGTTGTGCGCTTCCAGGGGCTGACGGAAGCGCAATTGTTACAATATGGACATGACTCAAAGATTAGAAATCTCTGTTGGTGGAATCTCATAATTGATATCTCATTACGGCGCAATGATATCAAGGAAACCGTTCGTTCAGAGAATTGATTTCGAACGGCAACCCTGAGATATCTGGGCAGAGCTATCAACAAATCATAACAAAGGTGTTCAGTGCAGTGCCTGCATATGGATATCAGTACCTCGAGACCGCGGGAGACAAGACTCTAGCGTATCCACTGACACCGTACAAGCTCGTACTAAGAAGAGCTAAGATCTGGGGTTCTTGGGCTCGATGCTTTCGGCACTGTCATGTAATCTGGCACGGCATGGCCCCTTAATCGTGGCTGATGTGTTGACATCATGGATTTCAACAGCCCCTTTTCCAGCCATCTTCGTGCATCACTTATCCTCTTCAACCATGCAGCCCGTTTCTTCAGTATGATAACTAAATCCTCACCGCAGGCCAGCAATTGTTACCATGGGCAAAGCACGGGTCATCTACTGGTTCCGGACGGACTTGCGGCTGCATGACTCTCCAGCTTTGAAGGCGGCCCTGGACTTAAAACCAGATGTCCTCTGGCCCATCTTCACTTGGGATCCGCATTATGTCTTCAGTGCCAGAGGCGCGCCAAATAGATGGCAGTTCTTGTGCGGTCGCCCTATACCATGGTCGTAGAAATTGTGCTAACCTGGCATGCAGACTTGACTGCCAAAATGACCTCTCGGGGTCAATCACCAAGCTGAACAGCAAGTCTCAGTTGTTTGTCGTGCGCGAGGCGCCGCAGACATTGTTCCCCAAGCTGCTCAAAGCGTGGAGAGTGACTCATCTTGTGTTCGAGAAGGACACGGATGCGTACGCAAAGGAGCGGGATGCTGCCATCATGGCCATTGCGAAGAAGGCTGGGGTGGAGGTGATCATGAAGGCAGGCCGGACGCTTTGGGACAGCGATGAACTTGTAGCGAAGCATGGCGGTAAGCCCACAATGTCCATCACGCAGCTGCAAGCTGCCGGCGAGAAGATTGGAGAGATCCCAAAGCCGATTCCGGCGCCCAAAAGCCTCCCTGATCCTGGAGAGACGCCTCTGAATTTCAAGAAGCAAGAGCCAGACAAGAAGCCTGACTTCAATGAGGAGTGGCGCGCGGGGAACGACAATGGCTATGCCAAGCTGGCTGGTCCGAAAGGCGACTTCGCCGTCGTGACGATGGAAGAGCTAGGCTTTCCAAAGGCCACGACTCCCCACCGCGGCGGTGAGACAATAGCATTGCAGAAGCTTGACGAGATTATGAGCGATCTCGAGTACATTTCAACATTCCGCAAACCCAAGACCAGCCCGGCGGCGTTTGAGCCGCAGTCAACGACATTGCTCTCCCCTTATCACCACTTTGGCGCTCTCTCAGTCCGCCTCGTCTACTGGCAGACGGTGGAGGCAATCGAAAAGTACAAGAAGAAGGGCAAGAAGGACGCCTCGACACCACCGGAGTCTATGACCGGACAGCTGCTCTTCCGTGACATGTATTTCGCCGCGCAGGCCGCCATCGGATACCCTTTTGGGCAGACAGCCAACAACGCCTACGTCCGCTTCGTCCCCTGGCACCTGCCCTCGACCCTCAACAGGTCAACGGGCCGCATAACGGGCTCCTACGAGGTAGACAGCCCGCAGGCAGACGTGTGGTTCCGGCGCTGGCGGGCGGGCGTGACCGGCTTCCCCTGGATCGACGCGCTGATGCGGCAGCTGCGCGAGGAGGGCTGGATCCACCATCTGGGCCGCCACGCCGTGGCCTGCTTCCTCACGCGCGGCGGATGCTACGTGCACTGGGAGCGCGGGTGCGAGGTCTTTGAGGAGCTGCTGATCGACCACGAGCCGGCGTGCAACGCGGGCAACTGGCAGTGGCTGAGCTGCACGGCCTTCTTCTCGCAGTTCTACCGCTGCTACAGCCCCGTGGCCTTCCCGCGCAGGTGGGACGAGCAGGGCGCCTTTGTGCGCCGCTGGGTCCCCGAGCTCAAGGACCTGCCGGCCAAGTACATCTACGAGCCGTGGAAGGCGCCCATCGCGGACCAGAAGAAGGCCGGCGTGCGCGTCGTGGCGGGCGATCCGCTGGGGGAGCGCGAGGCCGGCACGTACCCGAAGCCGATGTTTGACTTCAACGAGCGTAGAAACATCTGCATCGCCAGCCTAAAGAAGGCGTACGAGGTCGGCCTGCATGGGAATGATGCTAGGGCGCTTGACGGGAGCTTCAAGGAGCTGTTTGCGGATGACAGTGGCAACACTGAGATGCAGGGTGACATTGGCAGCGATACGGGGACAGCTGCTAACAATGACGATGATCATGTCAGTACAGATGGAGAGAGGGAGGCAGGCAATGCGACCCAGAATGGTGGTAAAGAACGCTCGAAACGAGGAGCCAAGCAGCAGACGCTTGACAGGCATGTCAAGAAGCGAAAGGCGTAAGGTGGCATCACATCTCGCGAGACCGTTGCATAGTGGTGTGAAAAATAGAATTTAATGCATGTCCACGTGCTTTGATGACCCCTAACCGAGTAAAATGCAGTGAGATACTCCTTACTATGCAATGACTCCAAGACAGCCCTATGCAAACGACGAGTGCAAATGCAATCTATGCCTTCCGTAATTAGACCGCTCCCATCTCATGCGCTTCCGAACCAAAATTACCACTCAAGATCTGTACACAATTTCATACAAATAAAAGTCTGCAGGCGCCTCGCTCAGATGTGCCCCTCTCTGTGCTCAAGCTCGCGCATATACTTAACGAAAGTCTTCTTATGCGTCTACGGCCAACATGTTAGATTCATGTGTTTTGATGGAAAAGTGTTGGGAAGATGCTTACCATGCCGGCATATCGGCCGTTCTTCAGAACACAAATGTAACGAAGACCCAACTTGACGAAACATTCGTATACAAGGTCCATGGGCGATTTAATATCCAAAGCTACAGGTGCCTGTTGATTGTTAGAGGGCTCCGGAAATCCGTGTCAAAGGATGTTCTTACAGGATCAATATATGGTGTGAAGTCTGTCGGATCAGGCTCGCCATCGTCTGAATCATCGATGGTAGGGACCTTAGCCATCAGACACATCTGAGAACCTTCATCAGGGAGGTTGTCAAGTGCAAACTCCAGATCTGGTGCAGGGATCAAGCCAACGAGGACGCCATCGCGGACGACTGGCAGCCCGCCATCGAGCTCGCCTGCCTTGTGCAGAAGTTCCAGCTTACTCCTGAGGCTTGAAGCTGACACCACGGGTGAGTTTGTGATATCAATGACGCGCTCTCGCCGAACACGCGGGACAATGTCAGCAAGTTCAGACGTGAACACTGGTCTGTGCTTGTTGTTGAGGAAAGGATAGGAGTTCATCTCCGTCAGGAGGTCCTAAGAGAGTCAGCCAAGTCACGATGAGTGGCGATAGAAGTGTTCTTACGTAGATGCTTAGTGGCTCTATGGCGTCTGAGGTCCACTTGGCAACAAGAATTGCAAGGGAAAAGGGCAAGACGTAGTCGAGGCTGCCCGTGAGTTCGAATAGAATAACCACGAGCGTGACCGAAAGTCGAGTAACTCCGCACATGGTCGATCCGGCTGCAATCAGAGCATAGACACCGGGCTGGATGCATGTTGCGTCTCCAACGACAGCACAACTTCCCCAGACACCCCATGAGGGCCATTTGAAGACAGTCCATTGTACTGCGTGTCCAATCAATCGTCCCATCAGACCGCCAACAACCATAGACGGGACGTAGATGCCGGCCGGGACTTTCTGTCCATCTTATTAGTACCGCCGTTCATGGCGTGGGCAACAGGATCAGGCAGTCTGATAACTTACGATTCCAAATGTGACAATTGTGAGGAAACCCTTGATGAGGAAAGCTATCAAGAGGCTTGACAAGATAGGAGGTATGTCATCGATGCCGCTTGGACATAGGCCCATGTCATCCAAGTTGTTATCTCGGTCATCACAGGGTGCAGCAAGGTTGTACAGCAGTTGCGCAACGGGTAGCTTTGTCAGGCGGCTCCAGTATCCGATAAGTCCAGTGACTAGGGCGACCAGGACCACCTCGAGGAGAGGATAGGCCTTTATCACCCTAATACGACGGAAAGACTTGGCCCAATGCCGAGATGCCTTGATGAAGAGAGCTCCTGCCGCACCGCCTAGGATACCCACAGCAATGAAGGTGGCAATCTCGAAATATTCCCAGTCCACACTGTAGTGAACTTGAAACATGACAATCTTGTGGGTTCCATAAGGATTTAAAAACTTCAGCGTGAGGGCCGCAACGATACAGCAGAAGAAAGTGCGGAATAGAGTCTTTGCTGGAAAGAAGTAGGCCACCTCTTCGAGTCCGAACAACACACCGCCTAGAGGGGCACCAAAAGCAACGGCAACACCAGCCGCGGCCGCAGCAGACAGCACTTCACGTCTCTTGCCGTCATTGCTGTCGTATTTCGAGAAAATACGGCAGGCAATGTTGCCAATACAGGTGGCGATGTGCACGTACGGGCCCTCTTTGCCCAAGCTCAAGCCCGAAGCAACACTCATAATCAGACCTAGAGACTTGATGATGAGGGTTTTCAAACCTAGGAAGCCGTGGAAGACGAAACCGCTTAGAATCACTCGCACTTCAGCCACGCCACTGCCTGCCGCAGAGTAGTAGATCATGGGAGGACCAACGGAAGCTTCCGGTGGGGTCTGTTGAGGACTGATGCTTGGGCTCTCGTCGTGAACATTGTCCACGTCTTCGAGAGTTGCCGCCTCGGCAGCGAGATTCTCGTCGAACGTTGACAGTCGATATTGGGACGGGACGACGGTCTTGGTAAGCAAGGTAAGCAAGCATGCAATAGTAGAGAAGCCAACCACGAAGCAGATATAGACCGCATATTCGGTCCATTCCTCTCCGTAAGACTTGCCCTGAAGGACCTCGCCCCAGTCTTTCCAATCTGTGCAGGGCCCAAGGGGACAGCATCTCTGTTGAAGATGAGTAAGTATTTATATTCAGCAGTCCAAATAAAAGCGGTTCCATTGGCCACTTACCCTCTCACTCAGGTACCATGCCTTTGCACAGTACCCATCCTTAAAATCGAAGATGGTCTGCTCTGATATGTCGATGACATATGCAAGGACAGCCACCATGACTCCGACGACAGCACTAAGAATCCAGCCCTGTGCTCCGTCGAATAGGACATATACCCGACCCCAGAAGTCCTTGCGGCTGCGGAGAGCCTTGACCCGGTAGGCGTCTGCTATGCTGTCGTGGACCCAGTCGGTCGATGTGAACTGGTCGTACCAGACGCGCTCGTCGGGATGGATGGAGGACTTGGACTCGGCCATGGAAGACTCCTGACGGTCGGAAAGAGCTTGGATCAGGCGCTGACCCCATGACTCGACTCGGCTGTGGTGTCGGCTCAAAGGGATGCTTCCTGTGACAAACACATTTAGTCAGTCTCGGGCATGATATAGTACTGTTCAAATCTGCAGCACGAACCTGTGGAGCTCGCATTTCGAGTTAGATGAGGATGCCGGGGCGAATCGATTTGGACGCGTGCCTTGTTGGCAGCGGTTGTGAGGAGGGGAGACCGCTCGTCTGCCTGGTCAAGGGAGCTCCTGCGACTGCGGTTCCGGTTGCGGTTCCGGCTGCGATCTCGAGGTCTCCGGTAGGTGGTGGGAGATGGCGGCAAGGAGAGATATCTCCCGCTCTGCCCGTTGTCTTCATCCATCTCTGGAGAGACGAGGTCGTTGATACATGGAAGAAGAGCAGCACAATAGAGAAAAGGAATGTCGTGGACTTGGCGGAGGGTAGGTCTGTCTGTCGGTCGGTCGGTCGGTTGTTGTCCAAGCCAGCCAGCAAGAGGATCAGCAATCAAGGCCGATCAACATGTGGGGCCAGATGTCGACGCAATCGCGAGCCAAGCCTGCAGAACAACTGGCTGATTTACTGTAATGGAACAAATGAAATAGAAATGCAAGCAAAGACAAATCAGAATAATATGGCCATTCTGTCCTGGGCAAAGGTCCTCGAAGAAAAGACCTGGTCTGGGGGACGGGGGAAAGCAGAGCTAGAAGGGTATGCGTGGTCAGCGAGACCCAAGACAGTCACACGTGAGGCTTTGGTAGGGGTGTCTCAAGGGACCACCACATGCAATCCCGTTCAAGGCTGTTCACCTCCACCACGCTCCCCAACTATAGAAAAGGCTGTCAGATGGCCTCGATCACGTCAGACAGCTGGAATTATAGTTACTATGCTGTTTGGGTCAATCAGGCCACTTGCTTCCATATTCGAGATGTTCGCAACTATACTCTTGTTGACATGTTGTTACTGTTGTTGTGAAGAGAGAAGAACGCATACAAAGTCGTACAGTAGTGGCATGATACTCCCCTGTCGCGATTTCATCATAGCGCGCCCAAGGGTCCTGCCCAGTATTCGCCGCGGCGATCGCTCGTGTTATTGGGCGGCAGTGTCGCTTGCTAGAAACCCTGCCGGCCATTGATTCCCAGATGGCTGCACACCACCACCACGACAGATGAACCCTGTTGAACCCCAAGAACCCTTATAACCCTGGAGGAATGGTGCACCAGCCAATACCGTATTTCCCCCCAGTAAGTCATCTGCAGAGCATCGTCGCTCAAATGCTGACCGGTGAGCACGAAAATGCTTTATTAGATTATTCTCTGGATCCTCTCTGAATCAGTATCATTGTAGTTCGTCGTTGTAGACGCAAATCTCGGGACGGGTGGCTTCATCATTCAACGCCACCATTGGAACGGCAGCCGGTTGGACTGCATACGGGTAATGCATCGGCTGTGCAGTAGGTAGTTAACGTTGAATACCGGTAGCCAACTTCAACAAGAAGTGTTTGTGGCTTTGACTCCTACCTACAATATCTAGGTATCGCTCTGGGCGGGACAAAGTACCTATCGGTTTACCGCGGGACGGATGTGACCCTAGTAGTTGGTAGTGGGGTAACAGTAAATGATAGGTGACACCTTTAGGTAGGTGTGCAGAGCAGTCAACCGCAACCTTAAGTCAACTCTAACCATGAGGCTCAATAAACCCCGTATGGACGTGCATCAGTGTGACCCGGGCTTCTCCACTCTTTGAGGCATGGGAGATGGGCTTAATTCGTAAAGCAGGGCTATTCCATCATGTCCAGCCACGATAGCAAGCAGCCAGTTGTCCCCAAATTTGCCTCCTTCAAACCAAAGCCAAACGCATCAGAAGCTGCTGCCTCTGATGTACCATCTAAGCCAAACGACAGAGCACGCATAGATGAAACCAAGGAGAGACACAGACGTAGGCGCGAAACCCGGGACGACGACCGTGGGCATTCCAAGTCAAAGTCTCATCGTCATGGTCGTCGCAGGTCTCGAAGTGAGGAAAGACACGGAGCCAGGACAGTGCCACTACCACAAGCAGACTCCTCTCGCAAGGACGAAAGCAGCGAGAATCAACTCTTCACCGTTGACAAGCGTGGAGATCCTCTAATAGTCAGATACGGCTCAAATGACCGCAACAGGATTCCCGCCTACCGTCGGGTTGGGGCGGGGAGAATTCTAGGAGCGCCTGGTCGAATTACCATCCTGCGAGATGGTATAAAGGAAGTGTTTAGTCTTGGGGGCAATAGAGAAGGGGCTTCTGCCTTCCGCGATAGAACCTACCTGGCAAAAGTCCTGCGAAGTAGGCCGCGGCGGTTCAAACAACGCCCTAAGGCACCCGATGAACAAGCCGCCGAGTCAGATGAGGAATTCGTTCCCTTGAAGCAGTCACGGAAACGAAAACGCGGTCAAGATCAACCCAATGAGTCGTCTGATGAAGAGCAGCCGAATTACAGATCCATCTATGGCAAGCCCAAGGCCCCTGAAGACTCTGATAGCGACCTAGATGACAGCAGCGTCACCTCATCCCGGGACGAAGAGGACCTCGAAAGCCAGGACCCTATCAAAGCTAAGTTTATCGAGCTATCCCGGCGTGTCAAGGATCGTCCAGAGGACATAGACTCTTGGCTGGAACTTGCTCAAGCACAAGAGACCGACCTGCGTCTTGGTGAAGATACCGACGCTCAGTCGAGAGATGGAGCTAAAGGCCTGGCCAATGTCAAGCTTTCACTTTACGAGGAGGCTTTGCCTCATGCACAGTACGATGCAGACAGGGAGAGGATACTTCTGAGGCTCATGCGTGAAGGATCAAAAGTTTGGAGCACCAAGACTCTGGCAAACCGCTGGGCTGAAGTCACGAAAGCAAATGAAAAGAGCTTCGCTCTATGGAAGGGCCGCTTAAATTTCGAATTGACGAACATGACAACCTTTACGTTTGATGGCCTCAAGGAGTTCCACCTAGAAAGGCTACATTCTCTACGGGGCCAATTACCTACAGCATCCCAGAATTTTGACGACGATGCAACTAAGTTGTGTAATGAGTTGATATATGTATTCCTGAGGACTACACGTTTCATATATGACGCCGGCTTTGTCGAACTAGCAGTGGCGGCATGGCAAGGTCTACTTGAGCTGACATTTGCTCGCTTTGCCGAGACATACGTTCCAAGTACCGAAGAGGCGATGAGCTCATTCAAAGACTTCTGGGAAAGCGAAGTGCCTCGGATCGGCGAAGACAATGCGAAGGGATGGCAGCATTTTGCGGAGGCTGAGGCAATGGCAGATCTGCCCGAGCCAAAGACAGACAAGCCTTTGCGAGCACCAGACACCAAGGATGCATATAAGGCATGGGCATCAATTGAAGTTGAGCAGGCATGCAATGGGAAAATGCCGGCGAGAACGCTGGACGAGGGAAGTGAGGATGATCCGTACCGTGTGGTCATGTACTCGGACATCGAACCCCTGATATTTTATATTCCTTCCGCGCCAGTATCCGTCAAGACTACGTTGCTCGATTCTTTCCTCCTATTCTGTGGCATTCCCCCAATAGATGCATCCGGCGCAACAAGGGTGGCCTTCGATGACCCCTTTGTCTTTCGTGGAGGCAAGGCTATCGAGAGGGAGTTGACAAGCCAACCGACGATGATCGGTCATGAACCTGAGGACCTTTCGAAACAGCTGCCAGCGTTTTCTCGGGATGGCAGTCACGTAGCGATTACTCCAGACGTCCTGTTCGCTGGGAAGGACTGGTTCAAGTATATTGTTAGCTGGACTAATTTTTACCGATCGAACGAGGAACCCCTTAAATACGACTGGATTATAAAGACCGTCAAGCAGGTGGCGCTCACGTTCGGATTTTGTCAAGCAGCAGAGTACAGTCTTGCGCTCTCATGGAACCATGATTGTCGCAGCTCGAAAAAGACAGCGAAGACACTTCTGAAACAGTATTCATCGAGCATTAATCTCTACAATGCTTACGCCTTAGCAGAGTGGGAGAATGGGAATGAGGATCTTGCTCGGAATGTCTATCTATCGGCCGCGAGCCTCCAGACCACAGAGGAAAAGGATAAGCAGCTGCTTTGGAATACATGGGCATGGAAAGAGCTGAATTCGGGCGAACGAGACCAGTCTCTCGCCTGTTTCGTCTCTTCCATTGAAGAGTCACAAAGTCTAAATTCCTCACAGCAGAAGCTCCCCACTCCTCCATCGACAGCTCAAATATTGAAGACGAGACAGAAGCTCCTAGCTCGACGGGACTACTCTTTGTCCTCTGGGAATATTGTTTCCAGCGCCCTCTTCGCCCAATCTCTGGCTCTACTGGAGTATCTGACAGCAGAAGGAGGCACAGAATCAAGATCGGACAAACAGGGTAACATTTCGGCCGCTATTGAAAGTATACTTGCATTTTCGAACGAGTTGATCTCACGCCACTTCGGAGCTCATAGCGCACACGAACAACTACTGCAATTTGGCGCGAGACTTCTTTACTTCCATGCAAGTCACGGGTCAGTATCATTACTCCAGTGCTAAGCTACAGTATATTGACAGTCCACAGACCCTTTCGACCGATTTTTCTCCGAGAAAACCTGCTGAAATTCATCACCATCTTCCCTAAAAATACCATCTTCATGACACTCTTTGCCTGGGCAGAGTCCAGCCTTCGCATAGACGATCCTGTCCGAGATGTCCTCCGGCACACAGTTCTTGTAGACCCGCACGACTGCCTAAGCAGTAGGTTCTTCGCCATCTCTCACGAACAGCACGTAGGCAACGCACATTCTACTCGGGCGGCGTTTGAGAGTGCTCTTGAAAGTGAGGCTTGTGCTGGCAGTGTGTCACTCTGGGTATCATACATTCGTTTCTGCTACAGCAGGAAAGAGCTTCGGCAGAAAGCCAAGGACGTGTTTTACCGGGCCATTGGAAGCTGTCCCTGGTCGAAGGATCTGGCAATGGAAGCCTTCACCACTTTGGTGAAAACCATGGAGTCGTCTGAGTTGAGAGCTGTCTTTAGCACGATGACTTCCAAGGGTCTGCGCATTCACGTGGATCTGGAGGAGTTCTTGGCAAAATGGTCGCAATCCCAAGGGTCTTCTCAAGTTCGCCCTAGATAGCTAGATAGCTCGAAAGAGAGATATTGATGCCATTGAGGTCGAAATATATCCTTGTTCCAAAGCTTGACAGATTGTGGCCCATATTTCACGCCTGTGAACCTTAACGCCACGGCGAATTAGATTTATCTCCCACATTGCAGGGGTTGGAATATAAATGTGCACTTACACCATAGCGAACCAAATTTCCATCAGCATTCTTAGCCTCATCTCCTTATCGGAACTGCGAATGATTGCTGCCGCTCCCATTGCCGTGAATGAGAAAGTTTCAGCTTGCGGGGATTGACTGCAACGGGGTCAAACGGCGTCTCCGTGGCGGCCGGCGAACCATGATGTTGAGGAGGCGGTTTGTCTGAAGGGGCACAATCAAGCGGTCTCCCTCCAGCACGAGGTCGACAGCTAGGTCTCCGGCCAGCGAGTCGGGGGTGATGCTGCAGTCGTGGCAGACCTCCTTAAGGGGGCACGTCTCTGAGAGGCTCAACTCGAGGCAGTGCTCCTCGCTCTTGGCGCATTTGCAGCACTTGAAGGTGGTGGTTGAGTCGTGGCCGCACTTGTAAATATAACATACCAGCCAGCACATATCGCGTATGTACTTGCAGTGAATGCCAGTTTGCAGAAAGGTTGTATGAGGAGTAAGTGAGGTCAAAGTGACTTATTGGGTTGGCAAAGAAGTCCAGGAGTTAGATTTGGCTTATATGAATGGACCGCCGAGAGGCAACGCAGGATCAAATGGTACTTAGATAAAGGGCACTGTATAGAAATGGGAGTTGTGATCGTGAAAACAGCGGCTCTGCGTTGACTAAGATGAGTCGTTGATTTGTTGGCAGGTAGGCACGGCATATTGTCAAGCTATGATATACGGAAGGGGAAGGACCAACCCACGAATATTGCTGTTGCCCAGACCACCTCGAGGACAACAACCTACCCTCGTTTCCTTCCTGACATTCATCCAAAATCTCATTCTCTCATAATCCATGGATGCTTCTTCCGCTAGATTCTGTCCATTGATTACCCAAACCTCCGCCCAAACAACCGCAGCAAGATAATCTAAATCTCGCTTCTCCTCTCACCTCGTGCGAATTACGCGCCTTCAGAACACATACTTGTGTATTCAGTAGCCATATAGGCCTAGGAAGATATGGGCTCCAACCAGTCTATACCAGGTGGTCTAGGTGGTCCAGGCGACCGCAAAGATAACGCTGCTGACCGCGCCACAGTCGAAATAGATCACGATCATCCTCACCCCAGCTCTCCCTCGTCTTTTCGCCTCTCCCTGGCGGGCCGACAAGTCATCGGTGATGATGGAGCAAGACTCTTCTTCCCATGTCCGGCTAGCACCGCCTTGACAGTCCACCATCACAAGGACTTCGCGACCATCGAAGTTCCCATCCAGTACATCGTCAAGAATGCCGCCCTATTTGACCTTCAGGGTGCCCAGACTCTACTCACCAGATTTGTCGACGCCATGAAGGATGTTGTCCAGCGGCTCAAGCCCAAAGAAGTTCGGCTCGCGAACCCAGCAGATTTCCAGCTAGATCGCTATGAGACGGAATATGCCAAGGAAATTGCATCATTGTACTATGATACAGTCCTCACGTTCGTTCGTAGGTACAATCGAGACAACCATCATCAAGATCCTCCTGCTACAGAGGCGACGGTCACCACAGAGACTACTCAGGAGAAACAGCCAACAAGCATGGGCGAGCCACTTGGCGATGTGACCAATATTCCGGTCGATCTTGGTCCCGATAAGCTGCTAGAATCAACAGATGTATCAGCACAACAGCCATCCCGCAAGCGCAAAAACTTCTCTCCAGAAAAGGTCACTCAATGCGACAACTGTGGCGGGCATCACAATAAGACTTCATGTACGGTAGCCTGTCGATCTTGCGGCAAATTTCACAAGAATCGAGAAGTACGATGCCCCGACGAGTCGAAGCAGTGCTGGTGTACAACTTATCCACAGCATCTCTGCCATCAAGTCCGTTTTATGCCTCATCGAAAACGATAACATTTGAGAGATGATACTGACCAAACTTACAGTGCCCCAAGGATTGCCGCTATTGCAGATTATCTGGACTTCGCCCTCATCAAAACCCATGGGAGTGTAAGGAGATCTGCTGCCTATGTGGCTCGGGAACCCACAGCGGTAACAACTGTTGGCGGGAATGCTTTTGTAAGGCGCGTCATCTTGGCCAGGACTGCCCAAAGAATCAGTGAGTGGCCTGTTTACAATTTCCAGCGCTGGCGAGACAAGCTAACTTGAACCGGTGCAGATGCTTTGCAGTTGGCTGTCCTCGTTTGAGATGTGAATTACATTGCGAGGCATGTGGGATCGAAGGATCTCATCGATGCCAGTGGAGGCGCATTGTGCATAACGGAGGGTTGTTCGTCCAGTGTCTTCGAAACCCCGGCCACCAGCTCCTGTCAAGCATTGGTCTATGGGATCTTCGCAAGATGAAGAATAAACCAAAGATCGAGTGCCGGGAGTGCCGAGAGAACAGTAATGGAAAATAGTTGTTACTGGAAGTACCCGTCTTCGAAAGGTACAAGACAGTAGATTGGATGTACGATAGGCCTCGTCAATGTATCATACAGGGAGTAGTTCATCGGTTTGGTGCTCAGACGCATTAGTTCATCTGAATATCTAGTGTGCCTCTTGCCCGAATAGTCCAGCTGCATTTTCGAAACCGACTTCTAGAAGGTTTCCCGAATGAGTGAAATGAAAGGTGGCGTCTTTAATGCGGCGAAAACCATGCGTACAGACTGAGGCAGGAGTTCGACCGCATGTTCGTTCCCAGGGATGATGAAGAGCAGAGACAGGGAGATGAATCGAGGCGATGACGATCAAGGATCGATCGTGTGCCGCTCGCTGCTGATGTTCCCGAAATCCGGGGGCTCCCCCTCTCCCCCTATCCAGGCCAGGTTGTGGGGCTCTCTCATTACTTAACCCGGCCCGGACCTTAGGGTGGTATAGTCCGGGGTAGGAAGGGGGGGTTCTTTGGGCTTTGTTAAGCGATCGCGTTATGCTGGCTTATGTAACTAACGCAAAAAAGACGCGCCGCACCCTTGCACCGGCTGCCACGTGGGAAAGCGCGGCAAAAGGTGGCGCTTGTCGAGCTAGCGTTAGTTGACGCTAGGTCGCTGCAGGCGATGCACAACGCGCGACGGCAGCGCGCGCAGTAGGGTACCCTGAGATCTGCTGGCGGTAGGTACCTTGCATAAAAACCAAATCACAAAATAAACAGGGGGCACACCCACCTCCATCAGGATATATGCTTCTGCTACCGGTACTCTCCTCTGGCGCGATCTCTCTAAGATTAAGGGTCCTCCCGCGGCATCCACTTTCCTTGTGATATTTATTTGCATGGCACACACAAGGTTGCCTCTTTGTGTTTGGACTACGCGTTGCCAATCTTGATAGACAGTCAACATAGATTGGCTGGGGTCGGGTGTCCAGCAAGTACGTGGACACTGCAGCCACAGTGCTCGAGATTTAGAAAGACATCAAAGAACTCATTCACGCGGTACTGTGCTCAAATTGCTGCCCATCTTAGATGTATTGCTTCTGTTTCATCACCTACAGTAGATGGTCGGTGGCGGGTTCTGACATGTCATGGATGCCCTGCGAATCTCGCCGCCACACACCATGCGGGCGCGCGCCGTCGCGATACCTATCATGGTGGGGTAAAGCATAGACCATCGCGACGAATTATGCGTGTGTAGGCATACGGCGCGGGAGAGAATACGAACTCACGATATGAAGCTTAAGTAAACTCAGCTGGAGACTTGCACAAGCGTCTGGATAGTCCGCAAAGACTCTGCTGGACGATCTCTTTCTCAAGTGTTGTAGAGTAACGTAAATACCGGCGGGGGAGGCATATTCCGACACATAAACTCCATTGGCGAATCTACAGAGTCTAGATAGCAGCCCGTCTATGATATGCCTTCTTTTCCTTCACTCATACAGAAATTTTTCCACCAAATGCACCATGGCCCGATATAATGCATCAAGATACCCCCAACCAGGACCGACCCTAAGAAAACCTCACCTTGCTCTCTCGCCTCTGTGAAGAGCCGATGCAAGTTCCACAATTTGCGACTGGAAGCGCCATATTGTCTACACCGTGATGTTGAGCTTCATAGCTCTAACCCCTAGCCAGGCTCAACAGCCCATTGACCGCACCGCCCCTCAGCGCGCTGCTCGTCAACTTCTCATCCTCTTCTGCAAACCGACTTCTCTGCGGCGTGTACAGACCAGACGCCGCCAGTCTCGGCAGCAGGTTCTTCTCCGGCGAGAATGGATGAGCATGAGCATGAGCATGAGCGTGGGCACGGACAGGCGGCGCGCCCTCGGCCTCACCATCGTCCTCTTCCTCCTCCTGGCCGGAGGCGTTCTGCTGCTCGCCGTCCTCGCCCGCCTGCGCGGCAGCATCGCGCCCGCTTGTCGGCTGCGCGGCAGGCCTGAACCACTCCTGTGATGCATGTGGTGCGGGAGCCCGTATCGTGGCTGCGGATGACGATGGCGGCAGGCCGGGCGACCGCCTCTTCGCGCCGGGCATGGGCCTCATTTGCAGCTGGTCCAGCGGCACGTCGGCCTGGCCGGTCCGCAGCTTGTAGTTCGCCAGGCCGAGCCGTAGCTTCAGTATTTCGGCTTTCTGACAAGGAGGCCACGTCAGTATGGGTCGGACAACAAGAAACACAAATGCATATTGCCCAATGGGGGACAAAATCTCCAGGGCATGGTACATACTTGTCTTGATTCCTCACGCGTCGGTACCCGACGCGGCTGGGGCGGCGGTAGCGGCACATGCACGGCGATAGTCGGGATGGCTCCAATGGGGACAACGCCGTCGAGATCCGGCTCGGTGAACGCCGTCGCCTGGGACGTGTCGACGACGGAGTTATCGAAGACGGAGCACGCGTCCGGCGAGACCGAGCGTTGCCGTGTTGTTGTGTGGGAGCCGTCTGGCTCGGCCTGTACATTACGCACATCGTTAGCGATCTGGATCACGCATTGTGTTCAATCGGTCTGCTAGATGAGCCATACCATTTCCAAGTCTCCCATGTTCGCCTCCACCACTCGTGACTCGGGCACGGAAGTAGGGACAGCCATTGTGTCGAGACAGGGCTTCTTCGCCGGTTGCTGCTGGTTCGATTCGGAAGGTAGGGTTCTCTTCTTGTGCTCCGGAGACACAGAGAGGTGTGCCGCGTCCCGGAACGGCTTCAATATGCCCGAGGGCGAGAGATCTGTCTTTGCGTGTTGTTTGAGGCCGGCGGCTTTCGAGTTGGGAGATGGCGCGTTTACGTCGAGGGATGCAAGCACGCGTCTTTTGGAAGGTGATGAAACGTCCATTGCAGAGTAGAGAGGACTGAGGAGGAGGGAGAGCAAGGAGGAAACACGATGGGATCAATCGTGTTTGTGGTGGTGGTGCGAGAAGCGCGGGCGCGTCTACTATGCAGCAGAAGGACCTGGACGATGATGCAGCACGGAGATTGGATGATAATACTGCTTTGGTAGAAGGATAAAGGTAAGGTAAGGTAGATAGATGAGAGATACACAGTCTCTGAGGAAGCGTAATCAATGCAATTGATGAGAAACGGCAGAAAGCCACGGAGGAGGGTATGGGTGTAGGTAGAGAGAGTATATATTGCAGTCCAATTCAGTTGGTGTAGAAACGTCAGTCGCGTTATTGTTGAGAGTTCAGATGGGCGTTTGGGCAGCGCAGCAGGTATACACACACACACGGGATTTCTACGTACCTACCATACGACATACGGTACCTACAGCATGCAAGTCGCGTTGCCTTTCGCCCTGGAATCGAAATTGGCCCCATGTATATTTACTTGCTTACCCCTTCGAGCATGGAGCGGCCCGTTAGCTGCTGAAGGTAGCTGGGGCTGACCGCGCTTGCTGGGCCTATTCCGCGCTATCCCGGGGTACTCTGCAGCGGACGGTCGCGGTGGTCGAAGCTCCCTCTTAGTGCCACCTACCTAGGTACCGCGTAGCTAGTGTAGGGTCTTACCTACAGTAGGCACACTGCAAGAGGGCGCTTTACCCGTTGCATAAAGTTGGGGACGGGACCCCCCTATACCTACACGCGCTGCGGGAGCCGGGGTCAACCTGGCCGCGCATCTTCCTCCTGCATCCCCGCATCGTCTCTTCTCATCTGACGTATGCAGGAACAAACACGACCCGACTGCGACGATATACAATGAGTATCCATCTGCTTTGCTGTACATGTGTACGATAAGAGCCTCTACTCATCCAGCCATCCATCCATCCATCCCTGGATTGCTCTCTGTCCGTCTGAGACGTAGAGCTTGATCGGACTCCCCACATGTCATACACGTCTTATATCACAGGAATCACGCTAGGAACCGGCATCATAATCAATAATGCATTGCCTTCTCAATTCATTCAATACCTAGGTAACCTAACCTGGAAAACCTTACGATGCAATGGCGGGTATCTTCTCCCCCTTTCCCCTCCCTCCTTGCGTGTCCAGAAACGCACAGTTGCAGTCCCTCATTCACGGCTTCGTACACGTCCAGCTAGAGAGAAGCTGCTGCCGTCTGCTATCGTGCCAAAAACACTATATCTGTCGGTAAAACTGGATTGGGGAAATTAAAAAAAAAGAAGCATTGGGCAAATAAGCAAATCAAAAACGCTCAAAAGCATCTGCAACGAGTATGTCCATCGTCCAGATCGGGGTTCCAGTAGAGAGAGATAGAGAGGAAGAAAAATAGAACGCCTCTGGCCTTGACGGCCATCGCAAAATACCAATCCAGTCATACAGAGCCGTAGAATCACGGGGACGCCTGTGACAGTGCTTTTCCCCCTGAGCCAAAGTATCCGTTCGTAGACCGTCGTAGACTGACGCCGCAGCCTATTCGTTCATCCTTCCGTTATTTTTAGGTGCCTTGTCCGTTCAAAATGTAAACGCCAAGAAGTCACAACATTTTCGCATTTCTGGAAGATGTCCGAGACAGATCATCTTCCACAAAGGTTGCTCGTCTTCGTACCTTATTCCACGCCTCAAGTTGTATCCATGGAGTAGAGTGACATATCAAGCGAGAATGGCTTGTCAAAGTCCATCGTGTAGTCCAACGGCGGCACATTCGAGAACGACGGGTCGTTCATCATGAGCGCCTCTGGGTCAATGCTGCCTTCGATATTGAAGCTGTCCATGTCCAGGAGAAGTCCAGTCTCGCCGAACTGGTAATTCATGTCGATCTCGAGAGCTGCACCTTCCGATATATCGCTGTTGGGCTCAGAAACACCACTGTCCTTGCTCGACTCGGGGGTGTCATTGGGAGTAACAGATCGATATAGGCTCAGATCAGATATCACACCACCAGCAGCAGGATCAAAGTTGAACTGCGCGAAGAGGTTCTGCGGGTCAATTGTAGAGCCTGCCCACGGATCGTCCAAGAGCTGTACTTGGGGCACTTCCACAATCTTTGGTGTGTTCTCAATCTTGCCAACCGCCTTGCCAGGAGTGCTCTTAGCAATCTCATTAGCCTTGGTAGCACTGGGCTGACGATTCATAGACGCAGCTCTCGACATGGGGGTTGCAGCAAGATCCGGTTTGATCATGGGAGTCTGGCCCTGCTTCGACAAAGTGGTGGTCATCGATGGGGCGAATAGCTGCTGAGAGCCATCCTGCCCAGATGACTTGGGAGGGGTCTTGATGTGACCTTCAGAGTCCAGTCCTAGGCTGACAGCCAGATTCTCCTCAAAGAACTTGAACGGCTCTTGGTACGGCTTGATATGTTCCTGATCGATATGCGCCTGCCTTGCTTCCTCGGTAGCAAAACCAGTATTGTGGCTATCACAGTCGGGTTCGGGACAGACGAACAACGGCTTGGGAGGCGGTGGTACCTGCTGCCGCTTGGCCTCTGGTGAAGGGGGCTTAACATGGGGAGACGCTGTCGCAGCTGAGACTGATGGAGACGCATTGGCCTGCGGGCCATTCTTTCTGGCCTTCTTCGTTGGGGGCAACTGCAGGTTTTCTTGAGTGACGGTCGGCTTCCCAACATACGAAGGTTGCCCATGAGGCGAGGAGGCACCAAACGCGAAGGGAGGCTGGGCCGAGGTAGGCGCCGCTGGAGCTTGTCCGCTCTTGCTGTTCGATCTCTGGTGCATCTTGTTCGCCTGTGCTCCAGTTTGCTGGGGTTGCGGCGCAGGTGGTTGACCCTGCTGTGCGGGAGCTTGGGCCTGTCCAGGGGCACCAGCTTGATTCGGTCGACCCATTGGCTTTCCATAAAAGGCAGCCAGATCCTTGGTCATTGTCTCTAATACACCTCGAATCTGATCTAGCTCTCTGGAACTGATACTAAAAGTATCCTTCAGGGCCTGCATCTTCTCGCCATCTTGGAACTGTGCTAGAAGCCGGAGACGCTAGCATTGAAATTAGTATGTACGCAAGGCAGGCAAGAACAGCATAAACTTACATGTCTGAAGAACAGTCTCGTCCGATTTTCGTCTCTTGCAATCGCGTACCACTTGCCAATGGCCCTACCCAGCTTGGCCATATCAGCAGCGATTCTCGTGATCTTAGCCGAAACCTCTTGCTTCTCTGCAGGCTGCATCGCAATGTCCGAATAGCTTTGCTTGCCGAAGGTAGCAGATTCTTCCTGGGCGAGCACCTTGAGGCGATTCATGTCCTCCGGAGCCATTTGACGGGCCTTCATCATCTGCTCGAATTTTTGGCGTTGCTCGGGTGTCATCTTGGCAAGCTGCTCAGGAGTTGGCATCGGCTGTCCTTGACCAGCCGGTCTTTGATTCTGCTGAGAAGCTGGCCGCTGAGCCGCCGCATTGGCCTGCGCCTGGCCATCAGCTTCGTCGGGATTCGGACGTTTGAGATTCTTCTGCGCGGTAGCTGGCGATGGGTTAGGCGCCGCAGCCTGATTTTGCTGAGCTTGACGGTTGTTGTTTCGTGCAGCTGCAGCATTGGCATTTGGTGCCGCTGGAGGCGCGTTGTTCGGAGGCATCTTCTGCATAGCAGGCTGGTTAGGTCCAGGCTGAACCACTTGGGCCGCTTCCACCTGTGCTTGTGTCACGGCGGGCTGAGGCATTTGACCAGGTTGCTGCTGAGGTGGTGGAACTGGTACGCCGCCATTCTGCTTCGCCGCCATAGCTTTGTTAATCTGGTCCGTCTTGATCTTCAGTGCCACTCTCCTAATAGCGTCGTCTGAGGCCTGAGACAGCCGTGGATGCTGTTGACGCAGAGTCTGAATATCTTGTGGGGTTACTTGCAACATGTGCGGAGGAATCTGCGGCATATTCGGTGGCATGTTGTTGGGCTGCTGGTTCACCATGGGACCAGGAGCTTGCTGAGGGTTAGGAGGTATCATCCCTGGCTGGTTACCAGCATTAGGGGTGGCATTGTTCCTCTTCTGCATCATCTGGCGGAACTGATTCTGCTGTGTCCTCAGCAAGCCATGTTTGATGTTGTCGGGGACACCAGGATTCGAAGCCAGCCAAGTCTTGAAGTCTTTCCACTTCTTGATTTCTGCAGGGAGGCTGCCTCCGAACTGCTGATTGAACTGCGTGAGAATCTGTGGCGGGACGTCCATACTATCCATGATAATTGCCGCTTGTCCTGCATCAGGGGCGCCGGTCATACGAGCACGTGCAATTTGTTGCTGAATATACGCTTGTTGGAGGTTGGGTGGGATATTGGCATTCGGTTGTTGCATCCCGTTTGCCATTTGGAATTGAGGGTTGGGGTTTGCGGGGTTGAACTGCCCCTGACCCGGTTGAGGTTGGCCAGGGCGTACTGGCATCTGGGGCTGGTTCTTCACTGCTTGGGCAGCGTTATTCATTTGCATCGCGCGTTGCTGCTGTTGCTCCTGCCACTTGTTCATGAGTTCGTTCAGTCTCTCTGGGGGTAGACCGCTGAACTTCTGTCGCTGCTCCACAGGCATGGCTGCAAGCATGGCGTTGACAGCCGGGCTGTTGGCATTGATATTGCCTCCCATGGAGATTTGTGCTCTTTGCTGGTTGAAGCGAGGGTCAAGCATTCCTCCAAACTGGGCGTTGGGTTGGCCCATCTGCTGACCATCCATTTGACCCATCGGGACAGGTGGACGTCTCACAGGGGCATTGAGTGTGTTCATGGCTGGACTCTGAGAAGCTGGCATTGGGCCTCCTAGTCCACCGGGCTGGCCCTGTAATTGCTTAGCGGCGGCTTGAGCTCTGATCTGCGCTTGGGACTGCGCTGCTGCTTGATCCATCTTCATCTGTGCTTGTTGCATATTGAAGGGCTGTTGCATTTGTGGTTGGCGAGGAGTCTGATTCGGGTTTGGTGGCATGTTCTGTGGCATGCCTCCCATCGGCTGAGGTGTTGCCCTTCCTCCTGGTCCACCACTGTTCGCTGGCACAACAATTTGACCGGCCTCTTGTGCCATGTAACCCTGCTTCTGCTCGTTCATGATGCTCTCCATGTTGCTGAAAGGACCAAGGTTGCCCCCGGCCATGCCACCCGCTTGGTTAAGTGCATTCATCATGTTGGGATTCATGGTCCTCTGCTGAGACTGCTGCTGCATCATGGCGGCTTGCGGGTTGGGAGGCATACCTTGTTGCTGCTGGCGCATCATCTGGGCTTGGTTCTTCAGATGCATGAACGCCTGCTGCTGGAAGTACCACATCAACGGATCTCTATTCTGTGTGCGGAATTCGTGAGCTTGCTGAGGAGTCAGTTTGCCTTGAAGTAGAACTCTCATGTTCGCCTTCTGGGCATCTGGGGTGGTAGCGGCAAGCTTGTTGGCGAACTCGGCCACCTTCTGCTTGTCTTGTGGGGAGAGACTTGCGAGATCTACCGGAGGGTTGTTGCCGCCGCCAGGCTGACGCATGCCGTTCATGGGCATCTGAAATCCTGGCTGATTTGGACCCATCTGGGGTGCGCCTGGATTGCCCATATTCATGGCCATCTGAGGTGGTTGCTGAGGAATTTGTGAAACCTGCATTGGATGCTGAAGGTGCTGGAAGCCCTGCTGTCCGGGCTGCCCCATGCCACGTCCCATCTGGCCTTGGAGCGCCGCAGCATTCTGCTGATTGAGAAGCATCTGCTGTTGCTGCTGCTGTGCTGCCTGAGCGGCGGCGGCTTGTGCGTTGAGTGTGCTGTGGAGGTTCTGCTCGTTCGCTTGACGTTTCTTGAACATCTCGGCGTTCTTCGCATTCATCTTCTGGTCATAGTTGGACTGTTGAAAAAAAGAAAAAGAGTTAGAAGATAGGTGAGAGGGAGGGGAAAGTAGTGGGGATTTCTCACCTTGTCGGGCGAGTTGTGGAAGGCGTCTTTTTCGAATTCAAGTCCGAAAGATGCGGCTCTCTGCCACTCTGCTGAGGGCATAGCTAGCATGACGTTGGTTATTCTGAATAGGGAACAATGGTTAGCGCCACGAACAATAACCACAATACAAAGGAAAGCAACCACCACCCCGCCGCAAAAACGTCGGAGAAACTGTCAGATTATCAAAGGTGATATTAGGGCAACGCACAGATTTAACGTCTTTCCCATACGCTCGGAAATTTGGACTGCCGTTTGCCAACCTTGAAGGGCGAGAGTGTTGGCCATAAGATTTCGGTAGACAAGATTGCTCAGTTGAGCTTGGTTCGGCCGTCCCTGCTGCTGCTGCTGCTGCTGCGGAATCAGCTGGCCGGCCGCAGCCATCTGTTGCAAGTTGGCGGCCATGGCCGCAATAATTTAAGGTTGAACAAGCCCCAAGACCAGGCAGCTGTTCCGGCACGTGGACGCACTGCGACTGGAGTCTCCGAGCCTTTTGATGAGGGTTCGTCGTTGTCGTCTATCGAGAGCCCGCCCGGGGGAGATGATGGCCGTAGTTACGCAAGCAACGGCACGAAAAAAGGCGAATTTGTCGGTTAGTCCTGACAATGAGGCAAGAAGCCGTCAACTGGCTGCAAGCTGCCTAGCGTGCCCCAGTCGCGTCCATATAGATCAAGCCTCGTGTACGACAACGCTGTAATTGGAGCCTTTGGCCTGTGGAAGTTCCACCTTGAGCGCCTGTCGATGGGTTCGTCGTGCTGGCACCTTGGAGGTCCGGATTCGTATATTGGAGGAGTTCGAAGTGATGAGGCGGATTGGGGTCTTAAATCTCGAATAAATGTCGACGTCGATATTCTCTGATACCAGATACCCTCATACCCTCGCTTCACTACTGTTCGAGACCCTTTACACAAGTAGACCGTGGTCGAAGTGCGCGCTATGCTTTGTCAATCAATCTGCCCGTCTGAAACCTCGATCCTTTGCAATGAGCATGTTCTAGACACGTACTTAGTCCTCAAAAGAGTCACCACTGGGCACTATCGTCAAAGTAGAACCAGGCGATCGTAAGGCAGCCACCTCCTAGGCGCTTCGGGACGATGCAAGGTGAAGAGTGGCGAGGACCTCGCTATGTGCGACGTGGCGGCGAGTCGTGGTGAGTAGAAGTAAAGACCCAAGGAAGTGATGATGCAGAATCAAGTCACAACGTCGGGTCGCAGCGTGACGACTCTGGTGGTCAAAGTGGGAGAGGGTTTTAAGTTCGGGCGCTCGTTGGAAACGGGCGGCGCTGGACTTTCGCAGAGCTTATTTCGTCGAGGGGTGCAATGCTAATCGGAGACGAGTCCAGACGGAACCAAAGACTTTCGACGAAGCGAGAGAAATGCGTCCCAAAAAAAAGGTCGCAGAAGGCAACAATTACTACACCGAGAGAGAAATGGATGGTTTAATGGCACAATTCCAAAGTCGTGGGTAGGATGGTAGTGGTGTTGGCGGTGGTACGGAGTACTTCGGTCAGTGCTTCGTGTGCGCAATCGTCTATTTACGCTACTTTGGAGGTTGGCAGCGATAAGTCGAGTTATTGACACGACGATTTACACGGCGGCGCAGAGGGAAAGAGAGGAGGAAGACGAGCTGCTGGAGAGAAATGCACGACACCGACAAAAAGGAAGGCAAAGGCAAAGGCAGCAGGCAGCGGGAGAGGAGCGGAATGGTAAGAGGGAGAAGAGAATGTGTGTGAGTGTGGTGCGTGCGTATGTGCGGTGCGGTGCGGCAGGTAGATGGATGGGATGTGACTGCGTGAGGGAGTGAGCGAGTGAGTGTGAGCAGGGAAGAGACGACGAGGGTGGGCGCAACATGGGAGTGGTGGCCCAGCAGCCCAGGTGGTGGTGGGTGAGAGGAGAGAGGACTGACTGGTCCCAAGGGTGGAGGCGGACGGGGCCAGGGGACCATTTGCTCGTGGACGCAGCAAGTTGATGGATGCCAGACTGCCGCTCCGCACTAGGTACCTACCCTACGGTAGGTAAGGTAATACTGAGGTACTTGCACCCTGTGTATATGTATTCCCTTGTACCTACCCGTAGGTAGGTAGCTTTGCCCAGTCGAGGAGGTAGCGCCCTGCCGACTGAGGCCAGCGACGTTGCTTAGAATGCATACCACCTACTATGCTTGTTCCCGTTTTCTTCACAATAGAATTATCATGGACTGCACCCCAAGGCGAGAAGCGCAATTTCTTAGATACCTGCTAATAACTGTGGCCTCTCTCTCTCCAGGTCTAGCAAGCCTGCACTCATTGGACCTAGCGATGGGCAACGTTCAACAATCAATGGGCAGCATCTGTAGGAGAGTCTGAGGAGGGCGGCACCCGCAGGACTTAAGGGTACATGGGGTACTTGATGATCTCCCTTCCCTGGGTCCCCCTCCCAAGCTCGAAAGCCGCTGGGGTGTGTTGGCGGGCGTGTCGAAATGTGGCACTTGAGAGACGGTTGGATGGTTAGATGGCTTATTAGGTACTGCAAGGTAGAGTACTTCTCCATCCCACCACTTTTGCGCAGAGCGAGACGCACTCTCGATGACTACCCAAGTAGCTCTGTGTTGCACGACCTGTCCCATGTCCCAGACACAGTGGGCAGCAGCAGGAGACAGCCTACGAGGGTGGCAGTACCACTTCAAGGGTCAGTGTGAGGAGCAGAGGGCGGGACGGCGAAGAGCGCTATCCTCAGCGCTTACGGTCTGTTATTTCTTCTTCCAATTCCACAGCAGCTGAACGGGCAGCACAGTAAACAAGGTACGGGAGAGTAATTGTACGTCAAGCGTGTATTAAACTGGGGTTTTGAAGGGGGCATTCCCAGCGCCTGGCTGCGATGTGGGTACTTCCATCTCGCGACAATGGGAATTGTCAAGGAGCCACTTCAGGTGGAGGAGGGGTGTGCTGGAGAGGGCCTCGTAATGAATGCTCGGCTTCAGCAGCAACCTGTCACGGCGGTGATCCCTATGCCTATACGGTCCTGGGCTCCTGGCCACCGTTCTGGGAGTAAAAAATGCGGTTGATGAGGCATGTTTCGTATGAATCTTTGTACCACGCATGCGAGAACACATTCGCCCTTTTATGGGGCGAGTAAGTAGGTCGGGCAGAGAGACAGAGGCTATGTGCTCTGGTCGAGTGTGACGAGACCGCGAAACATCTCTCATTGGGCATACCGGTAGTACCCCGTAATGGCATCGTGGGTTGGTGTAGAGCCTTCGTTCTCTCGCTTCAAAGACCGTACAACTGTAGCGCTTCTTGTTCAATAGCCAGGCGTTGCTGCGAGGTGTCGGTCCATCTAAACATGCTTGCAGCAGAACTTTCGCTTGTTTCAACGGCGTGCTCAGGGTGAAGAGAAGAGACGGCCAGTCATGCAGCTCTCAGGACATGGGCGGCGGCGACGAGAGTGAGCAGGTGGGAGGCCATGCCAGACTAGCAAGCCCGACTTGGGCACTGTACTTAATCAGAAGCAGGGATGTCTCCTGGTCTAAGTAAGCCCCTGCAAGTCACTTTTCCACACCGGCGACTGTGAGCCTTGGAAAGGGTTCAAGGGAAATCAAGAGAGCACTCCTACGGCCATGCGAGCCAGGCTTTGCACCGTCAATCATGTATATCAAGAATTATATCATTATAACAGACAACCTCTGCGCGATTGTTTATCCCCTCTCTTGTGCGAAGATTTGTCGCTTGACAGAGTCTCTTGTTGTTGAGGCGGCATGAGCTGCCAGGGGCAGTCTCGAAGCCTCGAAGGTCTCACTAGTGTGGACACCTGGGGCCGCAGATGGCTTGAGCCCAGTGGAGAGGAGGGCGGGAGGGGAGCCAGACGGGAACCCAAACAGACCCCAATCTGCGCCATTCGAAATGTAGGTTGGTGCTAGGTCCTGACGGACGTTTTTAAGCTCAGTTGCGGACTCCTTCCACGAAGCTGGACGAAAGTAAAGCAGACCCCAGTATAAAAACTCTTCTTCATGTCAGGACCTCTCATGAGATACTGTCGCAAGAGAAATATAACAAGGGCTATAAGGCCACAATGAGACACTGCCAGGGTAATAAATGTTAATTTCTTAAAGGGCAAAGATACTCAATGCTGAGAGTCGTAATACTCATCAAGCTCTCGAATATTCTGCTTATTACCATAGGCCTATCAACTTCTACAAAGGTAGCAATAGTAATGCCTTGTTGAAGAGTAGTGATACCCTTGGCAAACGAACATTTATTACCCTGGCGGAGTAGTAGTAGAATGAGCGCCTGCCAGCCCAGCGAGGGGGTGGTGTAATTACGGCCAACGGTAACAATTCGACATCATCAGCTGCGCAAAACAAGAAACGAGAATTAGGGTCGAGTGATGGACATTGACAACGGGAACGACTTTATGAGGCACCTCCACCTCGCCGGTCTTGTGCCTTCGCCCGCACATTGAATTCAGCCTTCCAAGGATTTGCCAGCGGCAGGCGACATTGTCGAAAGTGAGATCTCCTGCACATGTTCTCAGGTTCGTCACCTGTGGATGGTATGCTTTTCAGGTCGGACGCTTCGACTAGAAGCCAGTACATGTTTGTCCCGGCGTTACCTCGAGCGGGCCTTGCTTTAGCTCTTCCCACTTTGGCTTGCGACTGCATCGGTGATCTGTGTTGGCGTAGACCTCCTAACTGCTTTTGGATTTGGCAGTGATTGCGTCTCAGAGGTCTAGAGTGCTTGACTGTCGTCAATCTTGAAATGGCAATCGCCTTTCTCGTGCCTGTCAGGTCCGTCTATACAAAAGACAGTGTGCACGATACTCATCCAGAGAGACGTACTTTGAACTTCAAAGCCGCGTGATGTCCACTTATGGAGACATGGTGAAGCAACAAGAGCACGAGAGCGTCGCCCCAACTCTCATCTAGCCTTGTCTGCTCGACGACACCCCGTCGTCTGACGAGCCGTGTGAGTGGCAATCTATCTTCTCTCTTCCTCTTTGGTGTCAGCGACAGCCAGGTCAGCCTGCCAGTCATAGCAGCGGAGCAGTGTAAGGGCTTGGGAAGAGGCGCAAGGACGCCAAGCCTTTGACCCCGTCATCCGGCCACCCATTCAGCTCCATTTGTCCCAAGTTTACTGCGTTGGAGTGAACGGGCTGCAGACGTACCTCTTGCCGCTTGAGAGGGTGCGAGGGTACGCCCACTGCAAGTACTGGGGGTGGGAGGACCAGGGGTCTGGACAAGGTACTCCTGCGCAGCTCGATACTTCGAGTTGCCCACCTAGGCGACCTTCTGGGAGGTGCAGTAGAGACGGTACCTGGACTCCTCCGTCCTATTCTCTTATCGCGGGCAAATCCAGGAAATCTTCAGTAAGGATGGTGGAGCCCGTTGGCTGTGGCCGGCTGCAACCAGCTCATCAAAAAAGCAAGCAAGGGAGATGTAAGGTATAATATTTGGCTTGATGTGGTGTGTGCTCTGAAAAATGACGAGGTGGACACCGACCGGCGCCTGGAAGTGGAGAGACGCGGCGGGAGCCACCTTCTTGTTCTTTCTTGTCCTTGGTCCCTGTCCCTCGTGCTGTCTTCGTCCCTGCTCCCCCATCATCCCTCGTTCTTACGCAGTACCTAGTGCGAACGCCCTACCGTACCGAGCGTACCTACTATGCAGTAGGTAGTTGATATTGGAAGTCCTGAATACTGGATAATTACAACATAACTAGACCAGCATCTATCTACCTAGGTGTAGTACCTTCTTTGAGGTCATACATACCTTATCCGGTCATCAGCAGTAAACGGAGACATCAGTCTTCGTCTCCGTGTTGCTGCCGGTTGAGCGGCCCAATCTGGCCTGGTTTTGTACAACTTGCATCTTAAGACCAGCGTGCTATTGCCTCCAGACTCGTGCAGAATGCGGCGCCATTGTGTGACTTTAGCCTGCTGCCCATTTTCCCTCAGAGACTGTGCCAACTAAACTGTCTAGTCTGGTCTAGCAAGGCGTGAGTTTGTATTTCTCCCGCCTGGAACCTGGGGGGTGATATTGCCCGCAGTTTCCAGTGATCCATGGGCAGCGGGAGCGTACCTACCTATGAGGTAGCATGGTGTACAGTACGATACCTACCTACCTTGTTTTAACCTTTTCCCCGCTACCTACGTTCGAGATTCTCGAAATCATCAAGCGCAGATGGACTACCATCTTGGGTTGCTAATCTCGCTCTGAATGATCGATATGCTCGGTCCACTTGCGCAATGTTGCTGCCAATCTGTAGTAATAATAATAATAATACGTCCTCAGTCAATCGATCATGAGCTAGGTAGAGGGCAATTTGACATATCAGCTTGTCATTTGCGAGCTCATTCTCGTCGACGGGAAGCAATGGCAACAATGGAAGGTAATTAGGCCATATTGGATTTGTCCATGTGGGTCTCAGCGGACTAGAGTGAGACACACAGTGGCATTGAAGCAATACAGCAAGCAGACCAGAACGGCCCAGAGGTGCCGCGTCGAGCGTACCGTTCTCCGTCCTCTTTCCCCCTTCCCCTTCCCACACCTCGTCTGCTGCCGGTCTGTCCCAGGGCGGGAGCTAGGTCTAAGAGGAATGGGCACGGCGAAGAACAACATGCGGCCAACGGACGAGATCAAAGCTGCGCAACACAACACAACGCACCGCAGTAGACACTGTGAGGCGTCGACGGCTATGCTCAAGCTCGAACCAACGGCATTTCTTAAACAGCAGCGAAGCATCATCAAGATCTACACAGCCAACAGCAACAGTCACTCACAAAATCAAAAACGTCGGTGTGGCCTGCTTCTGTGGCCTTTCAAAGACATGCGGCTCCGGCGTGATTTGGTCGCTTCTGCATGTTGTCTGAGGCGACATAGCACCCAACCTACTTACCCTTCCTGTTGACACACATTAGCGTCACGCCTGTTGTTTCTGGTCATCGTGCTCGGCAGAGGTGCCAGCAACGCCCTCTTCCTGGCCGGCGACCGGCAGAACACTGCAACAGAGTCGTTCCTGATCTGAGAGTGTGGGGTGTTAGCAAAAAACTAGCTCGCATCATTTCTAGATTCTTGGAAATCGCGGAGTTTTGATACAGCTCGTGGTGTCTGATCGTCGCACTCAATCAATAGCGATCCATCTTCTCCCGCCAAGACGGCCAGGGGACCCAGGTGCGTCTCACTCGATCAGGACAAGCCTGGCGAGTGTGGGAAAGTATGCCAGGAAGAAAACCCAAGGTAAAGCGCCTGGGCATGCATCAACCCCCAGATTCGAGACCTGCACTCCTACAACTGACTTGCCGCGGTGTTATTGATCCTCCAAGGCAGACCTCTTGTAACTTCCATCCAGCCTCACTAAGGAGGATGTAGTAGGATCTTAACAAGAATCCCTATCATGGGCATTTCGTTTATACGTAGTGAATAAGCCAGGATATCATCATTGGTCGCGTTTTTCTGGAAATTCTGTAGGGTCCTACTCTAGGGGAACCGTTTACTTGCAACAGTGCTTACCCCATCATACCATAGGCCTCATTGAATTGGTGCCGTGGCACATTTCGGATAGGGCGACCTGCCAGGGGTACTTCCCGACAAACTTCACCGCATTCTCCGTGTCCTACAATGCATGTATCTGATCCCAATACTCTCGCCCCAACGCCCATCAAGCGGCCGGTGCATTGATTGCTGCCATTCGTATCCAATCTACCTCTTCACTTCGTTCGCACGACATGCGGTTCTTCAGTCCTTCTCAGGGGCAAGAAACATCTTTTGAAAGGGGTTATGATCAAAAGGAAGGCTACGATAGGCTGCTGGGTTATGGCGCTTTAGACAAGGGTTCCCTGCAAGGCTTATCGAATTAGCATCTCATTCCAAGGCACTTGGCGGCTTGCACCGCTTTAAACATCAAAAAGTGTGTCCCAATAGGTGCTCACCTCACCCACTGCTGAAGGAAGACTCGCTCTTATTTCAGAATGAAATCGCTCCTTCATGCATTTTGAACTGTGAAGAGTGGAGTGGACCGTCTGTTTTTGTTTGTTACATATACTGATCTAGGCTATGAAGAAGAATTCCTGCTCGCATGGCATTAGGGAATGTGCGTGGTTCTCATACCATAGGAGCACTAATACGAAATAAAGATTTTGGCACATGCTGGGTCCCCTGCCGCGTGTCTCGTCGTCAGCAACCTTAACCATCTCTCGTCGACTTTACAGTACGGTGTTCGTCAGACGACTGAAACGGTTCGGCTGCTGAGTAGACAATGGGTCTTTCATGTTTTTGCATGTCCGAGGTAGCACAATGCCCAGAAACAGAAAGTTTCGTCGATTGATACGAACGACGAACACCACACAGGCGGCCCGCCAACCATCGCATCTTTGCCAGCCCGTTCCTCCGCCTTGTGCCCTCTCCCTCCCCATCTCCCCACGCCCATAGTGATGTGGCGAACGCCCGGTTGGCGCTGCACGCCTCCTGGTTGGTCTGCTTAGACAGCCTCATTCATCAGGTTGCAGGGCGTTGGCCCCCATCATTCGGACACTTGTCGAAGCGATCAGGCACCCCAATGCTGAGCCTCAGAACAGGCAAAGAGGCTCACACAAAAGACGAGAGAGGACACCGATGTCCAGAAACCGAACCTAAGCTTATGCCGCAATCTGACACACATTAAAAAAATGCTGCCTGGTGAAGGAAGGCCGACATTCGTCAAGCAGTCGATAGGGCTGAGGAGGTGGGTTGGGCAAGCCTCTCCCCTCTCATTGGGTGTCAGGTCCAGGCCCGGTCATTAAGTGGTCAGAACTCAAAGGGAACGCTTTCAAGGATGCCCATACCCAGGCCGCAGATCACAAGCACATTATAGTAGCTATCACCTGAGTCGGGCAACTCGTCCTAAGGCTGCATTCCCTGCATCTTGGCCTATCTGCACTGGCTCATGTGAATAAGTACGCCTGGCTGCCAACCTTTTCACGTGGAATTGCGAGTGATATGTAAAGTAGCGATGAACAAGAAGCTGGCTAAGGTGCAACGGGGCTAGACAAGTTGCAGGTAGCAGATCTCGGTGGGGTTGCTATGTCACTAAGCCGAAGAGGGGAGCTGGTAGCTGGGCTACGTTAGTCGGCTTGGTTAGCTCTAACCAAACGACCTAGCGAGGCTCTGTGCCTGTGTTGATCTACCCTGAACTCGGTATAAGCCTTCAATCACAACGTCAACTGACACCGCAAAGAGCATTTGAAGACATCTCGGAGCCAAGCCAGTTCGAATACTCGAGTTTTCACCTTAGCGAGTACACAGCCGCAGCTGAATGCCCCCCAGAAGCCCTATCTTGGGCTCGTATCACTTCAACGTATTTCGTATTTCGCGGCTCTTAGCCTCGCCAGGTCCTGTCGCTTCGTCCTGCCGTTACTCATCCGCAGCCAATATGGCGCCGCCGAAGTCCGCTCACGAATTTGTCGACTTCGTCAATGCCTCGCCGACTCGTAAGTCACACAACCTGCCCTCTAGTCCCCTCGCCTCACTCAGCCTCCGTGCCTCGCCACTCACATGTGCAATCTTCACCAGCGTATCACGCCGTTGCCTCCGCCGTCGAGAGGCTCGAAGCAGCAGGCTTCAAGAACATCAAGGAGCGCGACAGCTGGTCCTCTGCCCTCCGGCCCGGCGGCAAGTACTACCTGACCCGGAATGGCTCGTCCATTGTCGCTTTCGCGATCGGCGCCAAGTGGAAGCCCGGCAACCCTATCGCCATGGTCGGCGCCCATACCGACTCACCCTGTCTCCGCCTCAAGCCCGTGAGCAAGAAGACCAATGCCGGATTCCTGCAGGTTGGCGTTGAGACGTATGGCGGTGGTATTTGGCACAGTTGGTTTGATAGAGATCTCAGCATTGCTGGTCGCGTGCTCGTCAAGGATTCCAAGGGCGACTTTACACAAAAGCTTATCAAAGTCGATAAGCCGATACTACGGATCCCGACCCTCGCTATCCACTTGGACCGGTCCCCTGAGTTCAATCCGAACAAGGAGACCGAGCTCTTCCCCATTGCTGGCCTGGTTGCCGCTGAGCTCAACCGGACCGGGAAGGAGGAAGCAGCCAAGGATGAAGATGCGGACTCCGAGGATTTCAAGCCATTGAAGGCCATGGCCGAACGCCACCATCCATATCTGCTAGACATCATCGCCGAACATGTCGGTGTCGAGACGGAGCATGTCGTCGACTTCGAGCTCGTTCTCTACGACACCCAGAAATCTTGCCTCGGAGGCCTCAATGACGAGTTCATCTTCTCCGCCAGACTCGACAACCTGGGCATGACCTACTGCAGCATCATGGGTCTCATTGAGTCTGTCAAGTCAACCAATCTGGATGATGAGACATCCATCAGACTAATTACCTGCTTCGACCATGAGGAGATCGGCTCCACCTCCGCCCACGGCGCAAACTCCAACCTCCTACCGGCCGTCATTCGCCGCTTGTGTGTCCTCCCAGCCGGCGGTTTCCCGGGACCAGAGGACGCTTCATCCGACAAGTCTTATGACCATGCCGATGCAGACGCCGAGGTTGCCACCGCCTACGAGCAGACTTGCTCATCGTCTTTCCTCGTCTCGGCTGATATGGCCCATTCCGTGAACCCCAACTACTCCGGCAAGTACGAGTCCAACCACCAGCCCGAGATGAACAAGGGCACCGTGCTCAAAATCAACGCCAACCAGCGCTATGCCACAAACTCACCGGGCATCGTCCTACTGCAGGAGACGGCCAAGCTCGCCGGCGTCCCTCTGCAGCTGTTCGTCGTTCGAAACGATTCGCCATGCGGTAGCACTATCGGACCGATGCTGTCCGCGAAGATGGGTGTTCGCACGTTGGATCTCGGAAACCCCCAGCTCAGCATGCATAGCATTCGGGAGACTGGTGGTTCGTATGACGTTGAACACGGCATCAAACTCTTCAGCTCCTTCTTGTCTCACTACTCGGCGCTGGAGAGCAAGATCTTGGTCGACTAAAAGCATATTAGCTGCTTACTATCTCTATAAGGCTGGTAATGAGATCGTGCGCCCCTGTGGATCGTACAGAAGACAAGGACGGCTCGGGAAGATTGTCTAATCCATTGTTGTTAAAACGAACGTTTAGCATGAAGCTACAGGCTGCATAATTACAGATATCACACATGATCTCAGATTGATAGTTCAATGAACTGTATTACTCTCTAGATGAGTCTATCACCTGTTCCTCTCTGCCTGACCAATTGTATTCGCGGATGATAGCTGTGCGTATGGCTCACTATCGTTCTTCTCCTATGCGAATCAAGAATGTGATTCATCTCGCTCTCCCCCTCTCCCTCCCAATGTGCTCGAGAATGTTCTGTTTTCCAAGCTCCTCGCCATCAACGCTCGTCATGCATTTCTTTCAAGTGAAGACATCATCGTCCGTAGGGTCCAGTCCGCCCGCGACTACGCCGCCAACATGTTCATCGTCCTCGTCGTCCTCCAAATCCGCCCCGGACCTCGCCTTCTTCACCATGCTGCGGCCGTCGCCAATGGCACCGTAGTCCATGCCCACGACCCGGCTCTGCGCCGCCGTCAGGCTGGGCAGCTCCTCGCTGTCGTAGAGCAGCGCAAGCCGGCCGAGGCGCCGCTTCAGCAGGGCCACAAAGACGGCCGTCTGCTGCGGCGTCCACGACACGCCGTCGCTGTCGAGCTGGTCCAGCGCCAGCTGCTCGCAGCGCGTCAGTGTCTTGCCCGTCGTCATGTAGAAGCTGTGGAAGTGGCAGAGCGCCTTGGGCGCCAGCGGGTTGACGCCGTGCAGGGACGGCCGCACGCTCCCCTCGATGCAGATGCAGTGGTCGCAGTTCGCGGTGCTCTCTGTCTTGCTGCTGCTGCTGCCGGGGGCGGTGCCGGCGCCGGCGCCGCCTGGGATGCAAATGTACATGCGCTTGGTGTGGGTGTCTGTGCGGATGAGATGCTTCTCCGGTATGGTGTCGTAGTGTCTCGGTGAGAGTGTGGCCATTGAGGGCTGCGGAGAGGTGGACGGGCTGTAACCCATCCAGTCGCCCAACAAGATAGAGGGCGGTTTAGTGCTGCTGACGCTCCTCGCAGGGCCCTGCTGGGAGTGGCACGGCGACACTCTGAGCATGTATCCCGAATCTGGTGTGAAATCAGACATGTTGTTTGCCGACAAGTTCTGCAGCGCCCATACCGCTGCGCTGTTTGCCGCTGCTGAGATCGCCTCCAGCTCCTCGCCTGTCACGGGAATGCGGTTCTGGGTCTGCTGCCTGAGTTTGGTAATGTCGACCTCTTTTTCGATCCCTTTTACCTGCTCCGATGAGCGAGTTGGGACGGCACTCGGCCAGATAAGTTCTGGTGAAGCTGGCATTTTGTGCTGTCAGGGGTAGAGAGGGCAATCTGATTGGGAGGTGATGCCGTTCCGAAGACCACCTCATATCAATTGAGGAAAATCCTGGAGATAACGGTATCCAATGCAGTGGAGGTCTGTAAAGCACTCAGTCGGAGTGAAATTGACTGTATATTCTTTTTGTTTGGATTGTGGTTGGGGAGGGATGGCGGTAACAAGTTTGCCCTTATGGAATTGTAGCACGTGGTTGTGCTGAGCGGGTGATAGTTGCTTTGAGGAGTTTGTTTAGAAGATCACGAAGGTAAGCTTTTGAATTATTGGAGGGATCATTGTATGATATCTCATCTCTGAAGGTAATGAGAAACTCACCCACAATACCTTGCTTGAAACAATAGGTAACTTGGTTCAGCCCCTGAATGAAGAATAAAGAATGTCAGCACTCCTACCCCATCAATGGCTTCAAAAGGAGAACATAGTCGAAAGCGATATCACTTATCATAAAACCCTAGCATTACTGAAGACTGAGGAGTAAAGACATACATGTTGACGTTTCACAGCCAGTCCAGTCAAGGCCAATCTCCCTTCATCGAATCGCCCATCTTTTCCATATCTTCACGTTCCCAAATATGGACGATTCGACAATATATGGAATGGGTCTATTAGGAATTATGGCGGCATCAACACATGCTTTAGACGACTACGCTTCATTTTGGGAAGTACAATCTCTACAACCGACTACTACTTAAGCCCACGGTAAAATGCCACAGGTAACACTTTCAGATTTAGAAGGTAGAAGGGATATTCTAGATCAAAATCGTGTGGCCGTACAAACCCCCGAGCCTTCTTAAGCATCAAAATATTAATCTCTCAGGAACATTCTCTATTCCTACCTAATAGCTTCTCCTCGAAGAAGAGGACTGCATCGCTGCTTTAGAAGTGCCTTTCCAGAAGCCATGTGTCGTTCCTAAAAATTTGATCTACTACATCTCATGGTATCCGTCAAGAAAAAGCTCTATTCGTTCTCCTTCAATGGAAGTTTCTTTTTCGGGGAATTTGAGTGTTGTAAAGTCCCGCCCACCAACTCCAACAATGCAGGCCAACCCGCCCATTGTCGCAAAAAACAATGTCCTCGAATCGTCGATCAGAAGATAATGTTCACAGTTCGAAATGCTATCTACCGCGTTCCTGCACGAGCTTTTGGAGGTAGTTCAGGAATCCCTTTTTATCAGAAGTAAGGCGTTGAAGGAATTCGCTTCCATCAATGCCGAGGCTAGGGAACAGAGATGATTGAAGGTTCTGGATGAAGACCTCGCCCGTCTTCATGTAGATGGTTTGTTCGAGATTCGCAATCTCAGTCATGACCTGTCTGGTCTGTGCATCCGCTGGCTTGAACTGCTGATCCTGCAAGACCTCCCAGCACACTGGATGGAATCGTTGAATCACGAACTGATCAAAACCAGGGATCAGAGGCGATGGGCTGCCTGTTGGAGCAGCTGGAGGATTGGAAACGGTTGCAATGTCTGGACCACCCCATACAAGGGTCATCTTTGACAGCAAACTAAACGCCATCCTACTAGTAGATAAATTACCATGGGTGATACCTCGAGCCAGACTGATGATGGACGAAATGAGCGTTTCGAAAAAGCCTTGATTCGTCTCACTGACAAGCACGCCTCCAAGGTCGTTGTTGATGATGATTTGGACAAACTGGAGGTATTCTCGCCTCAGCTCCGCAAGCTGTATGTCATCATCTGTACCCGTGATTGGCTGCGAGAGACCAGTGAAGATGCGCTGAAGAAGTGGTGTGAGCAAGAGATTCAGGATTTCGTAAATCTCTCCTTTGAAACCATAGACGATCTGTTCCAGCAGACGCAGAAACATGGCCATCTCGTCATTGGACGAACTTTGGGAGAGTAAACCTTCGATCCACTGTGGTAGTTGTGGTAGAACGGTGGCACCTAAAACGCCCAACAGGCGAGAGAGAGCTGAACGGCAGGCATTGCGAATCTCACTGTTCGAATTGAGCTCCTTGAGAGCGATGAGAATAGCTTCAGCAGCCCGGCCGAACTCATCTGATACTGACTTATCAGGTGGCGCTCTCTGTGTATTGATACCTTGGTTCCAGTCAGCGAACCCATGTGCCAGAGTGCCGAGAGCCATGACAATATGATGGATCTGCAAAATTGCTTGGTTGTCGCCAGACTTTGCTCTCGCCAGGTTTCGTTCCATATCTGAGAATAATGGATCCATAACTGATCGAACATAAAGAGCCTGTTTTTCCACAGGGGTACCGGTGGTGGAGGAAATGCAACCGATGGCCTCAAACAGATAAAGCTGATTCGTGAACAAAGCATCGGCTGAATGATCTGTCTCATCTGAAGACATGTCATCGTCGGCTTCGTCACCAGGAACTTCTGCTTTGATCGGAAGAAGATCACCAATAGACTGAATAACTGTCTCGGCAACATTGCCTACCTGTGCTCGAAGGTGTTTGACGAAGCGATGGAATAAATACCACGAGCGCATACGAACGCGGAGGTGTTCGTGATGTACTAAACGGACGAAATTTTCTAGAACTCGAGGAATATACTCCTGACGGCTCTCGAAGAATGCACAATATCGAACACAGATCTCCATATATTGGAGTAGAATAGCTGGATGAGGGAATTCGGCGATGCCTATTGTGCGTGTAAGCAGTGCATAAGCTTTATGAAAAAGGGTTACGTACCTGATTCGACCATCTTGCTCATGATCGCCAACAGTCTTTCTGAAGCCTCTGTGGATGGTTGGCTCTTCGTCGTCAATCCCTGGTTGGGAAGAGCAAGTTCTCCGAACAGATACATTTCGTGTAGAGCCAGGTCCAGGTCCCTCCAGTCCATCTGAGAACCTCGCTGGTCGAGTGTCTGGAACGTATTGGCCACAACGTTGCTCAAAATCTCCATGTAAAGATTTTGATCAACAGCAGCAACACTCTTTTGAAGATTTTGTAACCGTTTCCGGAGCTCCAGAAATTCGGCCTCGTCTGTTTGCTCATCTTCATTGCCCCACGATGATGTTTCGTCGTATCTCATCTTCATGATGATGGCATTCAGGATCGGCGGGAGCATCTCAGAGTACTGAGGAGTCATTGGGCTTCTCCGGAAGTAAGTGAGGATATCTGTCAAAGATGGTATGACCGTTGAGCAGACTTCGTCGTACTCGTCCGAAAAGAAGTGCAAAAGCAATGGCACGAAGTCGTGGAGATGCTGATCAGCTCTAGACGGGGAGCTACGATCCCACAAATCAAGAGCTTTCACAATATCGGTGACCACAGTGTTCACTAGCTTCGCAACCGCCTCGGCCAGATCCGTATCATACTTCGGCGTGCCCTTGAACTCATTCAGAGGTGGGCTTGCAATGAGCTGGGAGACAATATTGTGCAACTCTAGGAAAGAGATGAGGTCCATCTTATCTGTGGGCTTCATTTTCTTGCCCACAATCTCGGTGAAAGCATCGATGGCCGCATCCCGGACTTTGTCGTCGCTTCCTGTCGTGTTGGCGCGTCCCACAAGGGGGAGGAGCAGATTGAGCATGTCTTGGTGAATGACAAGAGAAATATCAACCCAGCTAACCCACTTGCCAATGACCTTCAGCGTCATCTCCACGATAGCATCGTTCTGTGTCTGATACTGTGCCAGAATATCCTGCCAAGAACGGGCGATCTTCTCCATATCTCGGCCTCTGATGAGGTCTTTCAAGTCCGTATTGCGTTTGGCTTCCTCAGGCTGCCGTGACAGCATCAAGTCGGCAATTTCATCGTGCACCGAGCTGAGAATACGGAGGTAGAGAAAGCACCCAACCGCATTATCCTTTTGGCCACTTCCAGGCAGACTGGTCAGAGCCAGAAAATCGTCTATGAATGATTCCCATCCCTCCTTGTATAAGCGAGCGAACAGAAAGGTCAAGGTTTGCGTGAGTTTGTTTTGCAGGCTGAACGGGTCGACTTGGCTCTGGTCGTTGGAGCCGTAGTTACGCCTGATATAGTCGAGCAGGGTGTCCTTGAGGATTGCTAGCCGTGATACATCCAGGTCGACGACGATGGCATTATTCACTATCTCCAAGCATACCAAGCGTACTACCTCGGAGGGCTTCGGTGTTCGGGTGAACAAAGAGGCACATGCTTGCCATCCCTGTGGATCAGTCCTTAAGTCGGTGAGGAACTGGAAGGCTTGGCCCTTGAGAGCCTGGTCGGAGGTTGGGTTCCATGCTATCTCAATAGCATTCTCGATCTACCAGGGAGAGTTGATAATCAGCATATAAGCTTCAGGACAAGGAGGAGAGGCATCAACAGGGGTTTATCAAGTCGAGGCGGGGTCGGCTGGGGCCCCGCCATCTACGTGGTGCTTGGGCAAAAGGACATACTTGTGCGTCCATATTGATTATCTCCGCCTGGCAAGGAGACTAGGCCAGACGGCAGTGGGTAGAGGAGGTCGTGGCGAGCTCGAAAGCTGCTATAAAGTCGGCAGCGTTGGTCGGGCTACATGTAGCATTGCTGTGGGAGGAGGGCGGCGGGACAGCTACCGAGGGCTCATTGCTTAGTAGCCCCTCGGCTCGATGCTGGCGGGTTTGATGAGTCTGGAGGCAGCAAACAGGGGAGAATGGACAAGGTTAGGTAGGCAGCGACTGGCAGGGTGATATGATGTCGGTTATGCCTCACTCTCGAGCTCTAGGCAAAATCGTTGGTGATAGTGGAGGAAGTGCGCAGGTAGTAGTGTACCTTGACCCGACGTCTTGTCAGTCGGTGGGGCTTTTCAAAAATCGTGTCAGGCTCCGCTAGCTGTGCATTCATTCTACCACTACCACCCTTACTGCTCCCCCGCCAAGTCGTGGATCCTCCAATACGTCGTAGGGCCTAGGTACCTAACATAGCGAGTAAAGTAGGTAGGTGGCAGGCAAAAAGAACCGCTCACGTGCCGATTCTCCCAGGTAGCACTTAGAATTGCTGAGCTACAACTGGCTACTAACACCATACTTTTTGTATTGCCTTTGTGCCTAAAGCCTTTTCCGTTTTCGTTGTATCAAATCATGTTACTAAGTCAAGATGCAGGATCAATAGTTCTGAGGAGACCATTTCTGAGGAGACCATTTCTGAGGAGACCATTTCTGAGGAGACACTTGGCGGGGTGGCAGTCATCAGTCGAGACGTTTTGCATTATGTGCGCGGAAGGCGACGCTTCATTGCCCATTTGGTAGCCAGGCTCACAGAGCTGTCTATACTAGGGATATGCCCTCCTAGAATACATTATGTAGTCTTGCAAATGTTTCTCCCTCACTGACAATGCCATTCAACGTAGAAACCAGCCCGGAACGCCCGCGCAATAATCCTTTGCAGTGAATCCCGCGTCAGAAATCCTCTGCAGTGAAGCCACATGGAGGGGGAATAAACAGAGCTTTTGATCACGAAGACTTCTTCTTCTTCTTGGGTCGCTCCTCTTCTTCCTCTTCGTCCTCATCCTCATCCTCCACCTGGTTGTCGACGTCACTCTCGGCATCCGAGCCACTGCCGGTTCCTGAGCTCTCGTGGTCCGAATCGAACTCTTCTGCCACGTCGCTGTCTGACTCTGCTTGGAAGTCTTCGTCAACAGATTCCTCATCCTCATCTGCGGAGCCCCGGTCGGCCTTGGGGCCAACCACTTCCTCATCGGTACTGAGCATCTCCTCATCTCTGAGGGCCGCCGCGATGATCTTTGCGTCTTCGTCAATCTCGTTCTTGACGCGAAGACCCTTGAGCTTGAAGAAGCTCTCGAGACCCTTCAAGTCCTCTCGGTTAATGTTGCTAAATTGTGATGAACCGGCACCGTTCTTTAAGTGCACAGTGATGTCGAAGGTTGACAGCGCAGAAACTGCGCCACCAACACGGGAGAAGGTAATAGACTGGGTCTGTTCATAGGAGATGTAGGATGCCGGCTTGGGTACAAACATAAATGCCTTCTCCAAGCAGTATAGGAATCCCTCACTGGCCTTGATAGAACACTTAATGCCCATCTGACCACGATGACTACTTCAGGTTAGTATTCCATGTCGGACAAAAGAGTTAGATTCACCTACGTCTGGAAATCTTTCGCTGGCGTCGTCACCTTCTTGTTGGCCAGACCTCTGAAGATGTAGCTGACCACTTGGTGGAGGGGCTGCTCGTAGTGTGACTCCAGCTTGCCCTTGTATCTGCCGTCGAGCTCCTCTTGGGTAATGTTCAGGTCTAGGGTTACCTCCTCGTCCTTTTTGAACTGCATAACGACGAAAGGATAACGAGTCTGGCCCTGTCTCAGAGGAGGATCGAGACCGATACAGAGCATGAAATGCAGCTCGTCGGGCTTGGGAAGGACCATGAACTTCTTAATCGCCTCGTATTGAATCTTGTAGTCATAAGTTTTGCCACGCAGACGGAATGAGCCATCATACATGTCGATGTCGAAACGTCCTCTTGGTGTCAGATGCAGCACGTCCAAGAATGTCGCAATGGTATCGCCTGCCGTCTCGCCGATCTCGGCCTTCTCGATGAGGGTGTCGTAGAACAGGTTGACTGCGTTCTTCTCCTCCTCATCTGCATCACTGCCAGCATCCTCGCCCTCAGCCTCCTTCCTGGTGGTGGTGCCCGGAATGTAGAAACGCATCTCCACAAGTTGGTCTTTGCCTGCAGAGGCCTTGTTGCCCTTGCCACCGTGGCCGTTCGTTGCTTTGCCGTCCTCGTTGACGGCGAACTCGACGGCAATCTCATTGCGACCGGCCAAATTCGTATTGGAGATCTCAGTGTAAGGCACCTCAAAGGCTGGTCTGTTCTGAACGTTGAATGTGAGCTCGGCCTTTCCGAATTCTGCTTTGCCCCAGTTCCAGCCTCTCAAGGAGTGCTCTCGGTTCTCGAGCTTGTGGCTGTACCAGTTCTGGAAGATCTTGTTGAGGCGCTCGTAATCCTAAATTTGTGTCAATATGACAAAATTTGCATCGCGCGGATAGATGCGGCCGAACCTCTTGTTGAAATCCATCGAGCTGAACGATGCCGGAGTTGCGCAGCAGAATCTTGACTTCGTAGCCTTTCGCAGCTCTGCTCCAATGTGCGCCGCCGATGTTGCTCACGTCGAGGGTAAACGGCTCTCCGCCGCCGGCGGGCTTCCAACCGAGACCTGTATCAGCGAACCTGCATTTGCCGTTCTCCTTGGACAGGTCCAAGTAGATGTTGTCGAAGCTCTCTCTGCGAGGTGCCATTTTCATCAGTACTCAGTTCGGAGGTGGTGGTGTTTGTGGTGTGGAAAAGTTTAAGGAACGGAGAGGGGGTGGGGGAGGTGTAGGCAAGTACTCACATAGACATCTTAACTTGCCTCCTCTGTTGAAAATCAATGAGATGGTGAGGCTGGTCGCAGAGGCGGAGATTGGGAAGCTGAAGGAGGTGTCCGGGAGAAATTCGAAGCTGCCTGTGCTGTCGCGACCAAAACGCGACTTTAGATGGGGAGCTTAATTGACTACAGGTGGCCCAAGCGCGACCCTACATAACTGACTCTAGGTGCTGCCAGGCACTTTCCAGGGAGCTTGAGGGGCCAATGGAAAAGGCGGCCAATGGTGGCAGAATATGCATAGCTTGCAAGTTTGCACGCTCGCACGGACCAACTCTGACTGCCTATATAATCCCAGCATCGCTCCCAGCATTTGGAATTTTCCTTTTTTCTTCTTTAGCTCTCTTTGCCTTT